GGCAACTTTCCAAACCCACCCAAGAGGTATTGCCGCCAGAGCTTATCATTTTTCACACAAGGTATGTACAATTTGAAATTATAGAATATAGAATCTCGAATTTCAGCCCTAACCGGTAGCTCTGACACGGGTTCGTTACCTTTATTTTTTAGTGGAAGGTTCGCCGTTAGCCCTATCATAACCACTTGTAGTGATATTCTTTCATCCTGAACTAACTGAATGATTTCACTGGAACTTAACGGAATTAGTTAACATGCATTCTATGGAATTGAAATCTTTCGATAGAACGCATGTTGACTGATTCTGTTCAGTTCGAGTGGAATATTTCAGTTAGTTCAGATCAAAATAATATCACTAGCTGTTGTGAATAGGAAAATCATTCATAGAAATGTATGTGGCAATTCTTATTACGGAATAGGAAACTTATCATGGGTTTCATAAGTTTCCAATTTTTTTTATCCCTGCCACAACATAATTTGGGAATTGCCAGGTTACTAATGCCATTTTCCCCAATGAAATCTCTCAATCTACGGAGAGAGAGAAAAATGGTACGATAATCTGGCTTTTCAAAGAAGCGTTTCTTCGTTATAATATAAAAAATGTGGCGTCCTTCGACGAATAGATAGGCGAATCCCCCCGGCCTCTGATTTTGGCGGAGGAGCTGGTCAACTCTGCCATACCGTCGCCTAAAAATTGAATGTCGTGATGTTAGGCAATCGAAATGGATATATAACACTCACTTGAAGCCTAGTGCAATTCCTTTGGACATTTTAAAATCACTGGACACACAATGGGCCAGCGCAAAATGTCCGGGTGCCGAAAAGAGATCGCCCTTCGTGGTCGTGAAATTGTTGAAGAACACCTTCTTGTGGTTGAATAATTTCCACCACAATTGCCATTCTTCATCAAAATTTTTCGCTGGCACGAAATTCCTTCTTCCAGGCCTATTTCACAATAATGACCTCGATAGTCTCTATAGTCTAGTTAAATAGGAATCCAATAAATCAAACTTACATTTTCAAATCCTTCCGACACAGACACGATAGAATGATAGAAAGCACTTCTAGTGGGCAGTTCAGCAATATAAGCAATACTTGTCCGTATTACACAATACCAAGATTCTCAATTTCCAATTTGAGATTGATCCATAGAACCTAGAACAGATATTTACCTCTGCTGGCAAAGTCTGGCAGCAGTGTTGCCATCCTCTCCTAACCTAAATTCTCGAACATGAGACTCCTCCACGGTGTTTTGAGACGATTTCCAAATGAGGTGTGAGGAATACCTATTAATTTTTGTATCAAGTTTCACTAACACAATATAAATTTCAATCGGTAATGAAATGAAAAACAATGTGAACAAATTCCATGTTTTCGTGTTTCATTATTATTTTTTGATTTTTTCGGGAAATACAAAACAATATAAGTAGACCAATTCAACAATGATATTCTAATTTCAATCAGGAAATGAAAAATTATCCCATAATGAGATTTTCATTTGCACCTACTGAAAATCCCCACAAAATGGGGAAACTGGCAACATCGACTGTCATTCTGGAGAGGGACAGGGTAGGCTGTGGTAGGAGCTAAGATGCATTGGCCATTGCCATTGCATTGCCATGGTAGGGGAGGGAAAGGAAGAGAGCTAGAGAAGGTTAGACAAAGTGAACTTATCTTGTGCGAACGTTGCCGGTTGTATTCAATTTTCTGTCGACGAAAGGGTCAATGGAAACTAATAATATTCGCTTTAAAAAAAAACTACTAGATTCAGAAAGTAATACCGAATATTTCCAGATGATTTCAAGGTGGTAGAAAAATAAGAAAGAATTCAGTAAATTCAGGTATTACCACCCTTCAATATTTTCGAATTCTCTGAATATACGAAGTGATCGTGTATTGATTGATATAATGGTGGATAGGTACGAATAAAAGAATTCGTATTCCTACTCTGAGAATAATCTTGATAACGAAAAAAAATATTTTCGAAAAATCTGTTTTTTTTGTGTGGAGTCTACCATACGATTTCGCAAGGAATTATTTTCTGATAGCATGATTCTCCACATGATTACCTATCTTCCTGACCCGAAAGCATCTGTGCAGTTTTTTGCAAAAGTATCGAAAAAAAATATTTTCGAAAAATCTGTTTTTTCCGTGTGGAGTCTACCATACGATTTCGCAAGGAATTATTTTTTGACAGCATGATTCTACACATGGTTACCTATCTTCCTGACCCGAAAGCATCTGTGCAGTTTTTTGCAAAAGTATCGAAAAAAAATATTTTCGAAAAATCTGTTTTTTCCGTGTGGAGTCTACCATACGATTTCGCAAGGAATTATTTTTTGATAGCATGATTCTACGCATGATTACCTATCTTCCTGACCCGAAAGCAGCTGAGCAGTTTTTTGCAAAAGTATCGAAAAAAAATATTTTCGAAAAATCTGTTTTTTTCGTGTGGAGTCTACCATACGATTTCGCAAGGAATTATTTTTTGACAGCATGATTCTACACATGATTACCTATCTTCCTGACCCGAAAGCAGCTGAGCAGTTTTTTGCAAAAGTATCGAAAAAAAATATTTTCGAAAAATCTGTTTTTTTCGTGTGGAGTCTACCATACGATTTCGCAAGGAATTATTTTCTGATAGCATGATTCTCCACATGATTACCTATCTTCCTGACCCGAAAGCATCTGTGCAGTTTCTTGCAAAAGTATCGAAAAAAAATATTTTCGAAAAATCTGTTTTTTTCGTGTGGAGTCTTCCATACGATTTCGCAAGGGATTATTTTTTGATAGCATGATTCTACACATGATTACCTATCTTCCTGACCCGAAAGCAGCTGAGCAGTTTTTTGCAAAAGTATCGAAAAAAAATATTTTCGAAAAATCTGTTTTTTTCGTGTGGAGTCTACCATACGATTTCGCAAGGAATTATTTTCTGATAGCATGATTCTCCACATGATTACCTATCTTCCTGACCCGAAAGCATCTGTGCAGTTTTTTGCAAAAGTATCGAAAAAAAATATTTTCGAAAAATCTGTTTTTTCCGTGTGGAGTCTACCATACGATTTCGCAAGGAATTATTTTTTGACAGCATGATTCTACACATGGTTACCTATCTTCCTGACCCGAAAGCATCTGTGCAGTTTTTTGCAAAAGTATCGAAAAAAAATATTTTCTAAAAATCTGTTTTTTCCGTGTGGAGTCTACCATACGATTTCGCAAGGAATTATTTTTTGATAGCATGATTCTACACATGATTACCTATCTTCCTGACCCGAAAGCAGCTGAGCAGTTTTTTGCAAAAGTATCGAAAAAAAATATTTTCGAAAAATCTGTTTTTTTCGTGTGGAGTCTACCATACGATTTCGCAAGGAATTATTTTTTGACAGCATGATTCTACACATGATTACCTATCTTCCTGACCCGAAAGCAGCTGAGCAGTTTTTTGCAAAAGTATCGAAAAAAAATATTTTCGAAAAATCTGTTTTTTTCGTGTGGAGTGTTCCATACGATTTCGCAAGGAATTATTTTTTGATAGCATGATTCTACACATGATTACCTATCTTCCTGACCCGAAAGCATCTGTGCAGTTTTTTGCAAAAGTATCGAAAAAAAATATTTTCGAAAAATCTGTTTTTTCCGTGTGGAGTCTACCATACGATTTCGCAAGGAATTATTTTTTGACAGCATGATTCTACACATGGTTACCTATCTTCCTGACCCGAAAGCATCTGTGCAGTTTGTTGCAAAAGTATCGAAAAAAAATATTTTCGAAAAATCTGTTTTTTCCGTGTGGAGTCTACCATACGATTTCGCAAGGAATTATTTTTTGATAGCATGATTCTACACTTGATTACCTATCTTCCTGACCCGAAAGCAGCTGAGCAGTTTTTTGCAAAAGTATCGAAAAAAAATATTTTCGAAAAATCTGTTTTTTTCGTGTGGAGTCTACCATACGATTTCGCAAGGAATTATTTTTTGACAGCATGATTCTACACATGATTACCTATCTTCCTGACCCGAAAGCAGCTGAGCAGTTTTTTGCAAAAGTATCGAAAAAAAATATTTTCGAAAAATCTGTTTTTTTCGTGTGGAGTCTACCATACGATTTCGCAAGGAATTATTTTTTGACAGCATGATTCTACACATGATTACCTATCTTCCTGACCCGAAAGCATCTGTGCAGTTTTTTGCAAAAGTATCGAAAAAAAATATTTTCGAAAAATCTGTTTTTTCCGTGTGGAGTCTACCATACGATTTCGCAAGGAATTATTTTTTGACAGCATGATTCTACACATGATTACCCATCTTCCTGACCCGAAAGCAGCTGAGCAGTTTTTTGCAAAAGTATCGAAAAAAAATATTTTCGAAAAATCTGTTTTTTTCGTGTGGAGTCTTCCATTCGATTTCGCAAGGAATTATTTTTTGATAGCACGATTCTACACATGATTACCTATCTTCCTGACCCGAAAGCAGCTGAGCAGTTTGTTGCAAAAGTATCGAAAAAAAATATTTTCGAAAAATCTGTTTTTTTCGTGTGGAGTCTACCATACGATTTCGCAAGGAATTATTTTCTGATAGCATGATTCTCCACATGATTACCTATCTTCCTGACCCGAAAGCATCTGTGCAGTTTTTTGCAAAAGTATCGAAAAAAAATATTTTCGAAAAATCTGGTTTTTTCGTATGGAGTCTACCATACGATTTGGCAAGGAATTATTTTCTGATAGCATGATTCTCCACACGATTACCTGTCTTCCTGACCCAAAAGCAGCTGGGAAGTTTTTTGAAATAGAATATTCTTTAAATTTTAGTCTTTCATGCCTATGATTTGGTAAAGAATGATTATTCTATAGACTCAATTGAGAATGATTCGAGACCCAGAAGCAGCTGTGCAGTGCTTTATTATACATCGTATCATCGCAAACAAAAGCAGTTGAGGAATTTCGATATTCCCTACCCTAAAAGGGGGGAAACGTGTGCCACTGGTCGATCGGGAAAGTTCGGAAATTCTGGCAGCCAGCTCTGGCAGCCCACTTCACGTAGGTAACATCAAACTACATTCTGTATTGTAGGCATGTTTCCAACAGGTCATGTCATATACAGAACTGGAACATGGGTATCAAGGTTTGTGTAAGGCAACCAGAGTAACCAGACCAACACACTTTTATCTAGGAGCAGTAAGTTAAATATCTTTCTTTGAACCCTTTGAACCTTCTCATTTCTTTCATTGATTAATGCATCTTTTAGTTTTATTTCTTTTGAATCCATGGAAGTTAGAAATAGCAATAATGGAAACTGTGTCCCATCAGTTATTGTTGAAGATGTGGACAATCCAATGCTTGCAATTTCACAAAATTGGCACAGGGTACTTACTGGTTTTGAGCTTTTTTGCACAAACATTATTTGTAGATAGAACTTCAGTTTTTTAATAAATGTGCATTCTTGATGTTTCTACATATACCAGTTGCTATAACTGCTAGCATATCTCTTCAAGCACCAAGATTTTATTCTGCTGGAATCTTTACATGTATCTTGCTCATCATGTGTTATTTTCTTTTTAGCAACCTGAATGTTCATGATCTTAGTGCTCTTTTTATTTGAAGCACTTTTTTTTTAAACATTACCATGCAATCTGAGACATTGATCTTACATTCATAATTATTGTTGATATTTTTCATATTTGGCTATTTTGGTGGAATTTAGGTATATTAAACAAACAGATTCCTTTGTATTGTTGTTTAGATTGCATTTTGTGATGAATGCAGGATGTGTTAAATGATAAGATACATGGTTTTATATTTTTAAATTTCAAACCTCACTGTAGGTTCTTACAATAGAGGTAGTGATACCTCAGTAGACAATCCATACTTCATTCTTATTTACTCTTAAATGATCCAATGAGAAAATGCCAGTACAGCTAATAATGCATGACAAATAACTCATAGTGAATAATTCATAATTTTGAAACAAGTATAATTCACATGATTTTTGTCAAATTATATGTTCAAAAGTTATTCTGGCTGTAAAATTTACCACCTGGTATATTGAAGCATTGCCACTTGATATTCTGTTGCCAACTAATCTATCCTTGTATCTACCTATAAGTAGGTGCAAATTGTTTGTTTGTTTTTTTGTTTTGTTTGGGTGTGTGATAATTTACAAAGTAATTTACTATTTATTTCTTACTGGATTTGTCTGTTAATTTTTCAGAATAGACAATAATATATTCATTTTTTCAGTAAAGTCTTGTAGCAAATTGTATTGCAGGAACTGGTGGGGTGTTTCTGCACTCAATGTTTATGTTTCCTTCTTTCTTCTTACTGGTGTTAAACAGAGGTAAATATACACTCAGTGGCAAAACACTCCACCATTTTCCTGCCAATAGAACTATCTATTAGGTTAGCTATATATTAGGACGCGTCTGAACTGCCATCCTTGAAAAACTTTTTTTTTTCAAGGATATTTGCCTAATTTACAGTTGCAACTGTAAATTAGCACTAATTTACAGTTGCAACTGTAAATTAGGCAGAAGACACTTTTTTTTTTCTAAAAATCGCCTAATTCACAGTTGCAACTGTAAATTAGGGAGAGAAAACTTTTTTTTTTTCGAAAAACCTCCTATTTTACAGTTGCAACTGAAAATTAGCGCTAATTTACAGTTGCAACTGTAAATTAGGAAATATTTTGAAAAAAAAAGTTTCTTCTGCCTAATTTACAGTTGCAACTGTAAATTAGAACAAGAGAACTTTTTTTTTTCTACACATCTCCTAATTTACAGTTGCAACTGTAAATTAGAGTCTCACAGTCTCAGTGCACACAATTTCTCACCAGACTAACAGACATAGGCAGCGCAGGTTTCATTCTTCGATAGCACGCGATGGCGATGCGCTTTTAGTAAAATTCTACTCATTTCTGACTGTTTGAGCTGCAATAAAGTGTTACTTCTTGTTCTAAAAGCGCGTGCTATCGAAGAATGAAAGTTGCGCTGTCTATGTCTGTTAGTCTGGTGAGAAATTGTGAGCACTGAGACTGTGAGACTCTAATTTACAGTTGCAACTGTAAATTAGGAGATGTGTAGAAAAAAAAGTTCTCTTGTTCTACTTTACAGTTGCAACTGTAAATTAGGAGGTTTTTCGAAAAAAAAAAAGTTTTCTCTCCCTAATTTACAGTTGCAACTGTAAATTAGGCGATATTTAGAAAAAAAAGTTACTTCTGCCTAATTTACAGTTGCAACTGTAAATTAGGCAAATATTCCTGAAAAAAAAAAAAGATTTTTCAAGGATGGCAGTTCAGACGCGTTGTAATATATTATGATACTAGGAGAGCCGGCATTAAGCATCTGATAACGAAATTATATATGTATGTCCCAAAGGAAAGTAAAAACATTGTAGTTCATCTAAGGGCCCTCGATTTCATGATTTGATAATGAGATAATAATTTTGCCATCCACTGGCGCACTCAGGAATTTCTCTTGGGGGGGGGCTCATAGAAGCCAATGAAAATAGTAAAATATATAAATTAGGGTTCAATTCTGGGAAAATGAAAAACAATGATAAACAGAATGATACATAATATATGTAATTTCTATTAAAAAATCATTCTGAAGGTAAAAACATTTTGTGCAAAATCAACAATTCTTAAAAATCTAGTTTCCTTCTTTTAGAAGTCATATTATCTAATATTCCAGTCACAACAAACAAGTACATCTAATACCAATTGAATGCTAGGTCTCAAAATCCTACCTAAGCCACCCCTCAGTCTGAACCAAATCCACGGCATAGTTAATAACTTTAAATTTCACGTGGATAATTGTCTGATTTTAATATAATGTAATTTCATCTCAATATTGATTCATCCTTCTTCCTGACAGAAAAAGTCACTGTATTATACCGTTACCACCGATACAACAACGGTGGTAACGATTATACAGGGTCGCTGATATGTATGGAAACAGGTGAATATCTCCGTAACTTGATTTCAGATTTTTTCGAATTTATGTACGGTGTGCTTTCAAAACGTGGCGGACTTGAAAATGCTATAGCCAGTGTTGCCTCTTTTTCAGTTATTCCGGATTTTTTGTAACATCCTTATTTTGAAAGAAACACCCTGTAATTAATTGGATTTTCAGATTCTCCTTGAAGAGCTCTTTCCATCGATCTATCACACTTGGGGTCTAGCGGGAATGATTACATTGGTATAGGGTGTTAAAAATCTAGAATTTTCAACTTTTAGTATTTTTTTGTGTCGAAACTATCCATTATCAATCGAAACCGCTCCAATGTTTCTATATTTACTTTTGATTTACTATCTACTGAAATTTAATAGGAACAGATACAGAGGGTGATCAGAATTCTGAATCTTGAACCACCCTGTATTTGTTTCAATTAAATGTCAGTAGAAAGAAAATGAATAGTGAAGATAGAAACATGGTAGCGGTTTTGATCGATAATGAATAGTTTCGACACAAAAAAATCCTAAAGTTGAAAGTTGGAATCAGCTCTCCATGAAGAATCTGAAAATTCAATAAAGTACAGGGTGTTCCATTCAATATAAGGAAGTTTATAAAAAATCCGGAATAACTGAAAAGGTGGCAACATTGGCTATAACATTGTCAAATCCGCCACGTTTTGAAATCACACAGTACAGAAATTCAAAAAAAATCAACAACAGGTTACCCAGATATTCACATGTTTCCATACATATCAGCGACCCTGTATACACAGGAAAAATATAAAATTTCAGCTCACGGTTTTTTGTCGGGAGACAACACAACCTGGAGCTAAAATCTACTACTTTTTTCCCTTGTATAATGAATAACTATTGCTACTAAATGCTAAATGGAAACAAAATGTAAACTAATAAGGCAACCTCAAATCGGGACATTTTTATTTTGCGAATCTCATGGATTTGAAGTAGTGAAACATACTTTATTGAATACTTGCTGAAAAGATCCCTCGAATCACAAAAATACACAAATAAACCGTCACAAGTGAAGTTTTCTGTACTTATATCACTACCAAAAAATCGAAATGATACACACAAGCAAATCAACAATTTCAAAACAATGTTCTTTCATATAGTTCCACAACCATAGTTGAACCATCGCATAGAAAAATCAATACCACCACGTTAAATCTCATCAAAAGTTGCTATGGAGAAGTATTTTTAGCTTTTCTGTATCTCAAATAATAACGTAGAAAAAAAAAAAGATTTTCCAAAAATTATTTTTTCGATATAACTGAAGAACTATAAACAATTTTGAAAATTTTCCAAGGCCGTTGGTCTAACCCTCGGAATGCGCAAATTTTTTCTCATTTAACCGAATTATTATCCCTTCAATAATAATCGTTTACTCCTTTAAGAAATGTTAGTATTGGAATCAATCCTACAACTTCACAGATCTCTAACGCCGAACTTATTTCAAGTCGTACAATATAAATTCCAGAATGTACACTCATAACTACGAAACTACCTGTATTAAAATTTCATAGAGAATTATTCCATAAGGTATTTAGGTATCTACCAAAAAATGAGAGAAAGTCTTTTTTTTTAAATCTCAATACAATAGCAAAAAAAATTCAAAAGTTGCATATGGTTGCATGCATGTGCGTATCAAACGGATAAGCGGGGTAAATATTTGCGCTAATATTTTTGAACATACATTAACATCACGGATAAAAAATATGATTCAATAAATTTACGCAGAAATGATGATAATGATAATAATTATTATAATATGAAACATTTATATCTCAAACTTCTGGAAATAATGATAAAAAACTAACTTCACAGGCTCCCTTTTAAGATAGTGTGTGTCTTCCTGTTTTTAGCCCTAGTAGACTTTGGTATACAGAGGTAGAGAGGTATGACTTATCATAATCATACTTTCTTCAATGTCAACGCAGAAGTGTGAAATTAAAATTATTGCATACCTTCATTCAGGTATGTTCATAAAATGTTAAAACCATCGACTGTATTTTATTGTGCTAATTCCACTTGGAGAGGGAGATAACGATAGGTATTAATAGACAACTGAAACTATCCATGGGAGTTGTGAAAATGTATAATATTATGATGCCTTGGTATAGGTTGATTGACTGCACATTAATAAAAGTTTTAAGAGATAAGGTGTTTTCCAATTTATTATGTTGTTGTAGCAGTATTATCCCGGGTACCGAAGTATTTATATTTACGCATTTCAAGATCAGTTCAGTAGTTTTACATTAACCTTGACTTGACGCATTTTGTATCTGATAATTGGAATAAATATTTGAAATCGAGTTAGATTGTTAAGGGAAACAGTAAACGAAACGTATCATGCAGTAACTATTATACAAAATTCACGGTGATACAGCTGTCACATGATTTGACAACAAAATGGAATGGGCATGGTTGAAAGACTGGTGGAGACTGAAGAAATGGAGAAAGTACAGGAGAACGAGTGATACAGAGTCCATGTGTTTTTGCGACGAATGTCTTGATAACGAAGTTGGTATTTTTGACGTTTGAATTCTTTCCTTATATGCATGTTTCGTCTGTACTCGTGTCTGACGAAAATTATTCGAGCAAATGATACAGTGTGTTTTATGATAAGTGAAAAGTGATGGTTCGGGCACGGGCCTTATTCATCAGTAAGTAGTGAGGTGATATTTCGGCGGTCACACTTTGGTTCTCGCTATACTGGGAGCCACTAGAAATGCGGTGAATTTTCGAAATTATGAGATTTCAAATAATGCTGAGATGAATACTTGTCATATATTCTGTATATTGGGTCATTTTGTTTTGTAGCACAATCTTTCAAGTTCTAAATGGAAGATCCTGTATTTTTCCACATTTTTGGATTCAGTTGAACCTATTTTGAGTACATTTACTCAAATTTTAATGAAGAATACTCTGTAGCGACTTTATTGATACCTAATTTAGTGTTTCATTTGAAATTCAAGCATAATAACAAAATATATATAAATAAATACGAAAACCTCAGTCATTTCCACACAATGTTCATAAAATGAACAATAATGGTAGATTTCGGGAGAAAAACAACTACTTTCCTGGTTAATGCCACGCAGAACATTGAATTACATCCTCCCGAAATCTATGCTTCGACTCGTATGAATATTTACTGATACAAGTGATTCTTTCCTGAATGCCTATTGATTTCGATTTGGATCACTTGTATCAGTATTCGCTTATACGAGTCGATGCATAGATTTCGGGAGGATATAATTCAATATTCTGCGTGGCAATAGCCAGGAAGGTAGTTGTTTTGAAAGAAAAAAAAGAAAAAAATGGCAAAATTCTTATTGCAACATCAAAAAGTAGATTTTACTCCTGCCGAATTACTAACACCTAAAAACTGGATAAACAATGTTTCAATTTCGATTGGGGTACCTCAGGTCCTTCATCACCCTGTATATGCACCGGTATACTCTGCTATAATTACCTGACTTGAATAATCACGATCGCTGAAAGTATTCGACATTTTTTTTTGGCGCCAGATTTCAATTTTCATCGATAACACAAAAACTGCTAGGTAGGGTATGGCACAAGTTTTTCAGGTTGGTAAATATGATTAAATACCAAAATAAAAAGTTCATTGACACATATACTCATAAATATTCGAATGGTTAACCTAAAAATTTATAATTTTCATGATTAGTTTGAGAATGTTTAATTAACTTATCATAATCCCATTATCACCTCTGACCTTGGATATGGTCGCAAATGAATGATACTCATTTCAAATTTGTATTTAGTCTTCCTAAATGTTTTACATAGGTACCCCTGAGTGCAATCAAACATTTGATAACTGGGTAAGATGTGTAAACGAATGCAATGATTATTGTACGATTATTTCAAGTTAATTTCCTGAAAAACTCTAGCCCCGTTCTTGTCAATCTGGAAACAATATATTAGGTGTTTTCGGCATTAGAGCAATGAATGAAATGGAATGACACGATAAATACCAAGAAAAAATTGTTCTGAATTCATTGCAAAAGTCATTGGTACTTCCGGTGTTTCTGACCTCGCCGAAACCAAACGCTTGGATTCGGCTGTTGACCTCTATCATTGATTTACAGAAATTTCAGGCAAACTTTCCTTCAACATTTTTTTTAATTGTACTTTTACTTCTCTCTTCTAACCCATTTCAATTATCGCGCCAATTTCGGAAACACCCTGTATATTGTGAAACAAATACTGTGTGTAGTGTAATCGAAGAGGTGGAATATTAATTTCTCAAAATTTTTGGGATCTGCTCTCGTTCCTATTTTGGTCTGAAATTAATTCGGTGAATGAAAAAAATCATCATTTCTCTCTTGTCGTTTAACATAGCAAGTTTTAGAATTATTTTCGATTTTTTTTAGGGCGACCTGGAACTATGCGATCCAAACGACGAAAGCTTGAGCCCTCAAGACATGGAGGAAGATGGGGGCAAAGTTGTGATAGTGGGGGTGTGCGCTATGGAGAAAAAAACGCAGAGCAAGCCAATGAAGGAGATTCTGACTAGGCTGCAGGAATTCGAGTACATAAAAGTGACAGTTTTTGAAGAGGATGTGATTTTACATGTAAGTGTTTTCAATTGAGGTGTTGGTTTAAGTTCAGAAAAAATGCGGTAGGCTGGATTTAATTTATTTTTTCGTCGACTTCTACAAAAAATCACATTTTACCTTCTAATTTCCGAAAGAAAACCCGATTGTTTGTTATAACAGTTTGTTTCTTATGTTCAATGTTTTTATTTGTTTTGTATTTGTGTTGTTCATTTTTACTATTCGTTCCTGTTTTTTATATACTCAAATCATATACAGGGTGGGGCATTAGTGCGTCGGAGCTCGATTGCTCGAAATCTATGATAGCTAGAAACCTGATTCAAAAACGAATGTGAATGAGACAAGGTCCATAACTAGAAATTATTGCCGCATATACAGGGCGCACCAAAAATGATCTAGAGGGTCGGGATCATTTTTTTTAAATGGAATGCGCTGTATATTTGCATATTTTTTGAAGCATCCCTGTGACCTTCATCCACTCCTATGATATCGTTGACTATATCTCTTTCATATCAAAGTTATGAATTTTTTTGTCGAAATAATGTCATCTGCAGATGCCTACCGAAAATATCACTGTTGTCACAATTATAAAATTTAAGAAAAAATAATCTCAATATCATTTATTGGAAAGATGAGTGACATTTCTGAAAATGTCTCAGGCCCTCAAATGATACAGGGTGGCTGAAAATGATTTTTCAATTCGGAAATTTTCGAAGTGATTTTTCCCGAGTTTTTCAAATGGAACACCTCATATATTTTTTGACCATTTGATGTAAAATTGAAACACTAACATATTTATCTAAACATCCATATCGATATTCATAACCATTTTTGAATTATTGAACTTTGAAAATTATAGGTTGGCGATTTTGATCATGGTTTTCACCATTTTTCTCCTCGTTCACTTCACTTTCATATCAAAGCAGGAAAAATATATGGTTCCATTTTGAACCAGTATGTACACCTATTTTATTTTTTCAATCCAAAACCGTTTGTCTAACGGAAAAAAGTCAGGAAGTTATTTTTGTCAGCAACTAATAAGAGATTACAAAACTGATTTTTATTTTGATGAAAAACAGTGGCGTGTCATTTTTTAATGTAATAAAATGATATTATGGTCAATATCAACGATTCAAAAAAAGATAGATGTTAAATTATTGTCATTAAATTATAGATAAATTTATCCTTTTTCAAAACATATGAAAATTAATATACCATTACATTTGATTTTTTTGAAAAAAACTCAAAAATTTGCTAACATTTCAGTTAACGCCATCTAGCGCCGACAGCAAAAGTCAAAAATTCAAAACCAAATAAACGTTTTGTAGGGCAAATTATGCTCTTTCATATAACCCTGAGTTTGCTAAAATCGGTAGAAATAAACGGGAGAAATCTTGGTTTGTTTGAAAAAACAATCTAACTTCCCCCACCGCTTTATTTTGATAGCTAGAACAAAACGTTTCAGACAAAAAATGTAGGGAAATGGTCAGTAAATATGAAAATGATTCATCGACATACTTTCATAGGACAAAATTCTATAAAAATCCCATTTTTCTACTTGGTGTTGATTGTTACGCCCTCTAGCGGACGTTTGACAAACTCGAAAATAATTTCCAACAATTTCTCTTGTCGACTTTTATCATGATTTTTTTTTTCTCAAATCTATACGACCAATATCTTATGAGATATGGCCGCTCGCTACCCTTAACTGATCACCCTGTAGAATTGTAGACTGGAGTGACTGGACTATGATTGATAGTTTTTCGTCTTTGGTACATAAATAACTATTTTTTTTTCCAAAATATTCATTATTGAACTATGAAAAAAAAATTAGTTGAAGAATATACAAGAATAAATTCCATAAAAACAGAAAGTAGCACAATAGAGTTTGCCGCCGAACGCCATGTTTGAACGTTCTAGGGAATTGAAAGGTAGGTATTCAAATGCTGTTTTGTGAAGTATTACAACATATTTTATCAAACAATTGATGCTTTCATGCTATGTTCCTACTATATTCCTGTTATATGCACATTTAAATTGAATTCATGTATTTGTGTTCATGTAATCTAATACTTTGATGCTGTAAATGCTTGGAAATGAGATATTTCTCTCTTACAGAAACCTGTTGAAGATTGGCCAGTTTGCGACTGTCTAATATCATTTCATTCCAAAGGGTTTCCATTAGACAAGGCAATTCAGTATTCTCAGTTGCACAATCCTTATGTGATAAATAATTTGCATATGCAATATGACATTCAAGATAGAAGAAAGGTTTATTCCACTCTGAATGGCGAGGGTATAGAAATACCTAGATATGCTGTCTTGGATAGGGATAGTCCAGATCCAAAAAGTGAGTTTTTGAAATTTGAGAGATGAAAATGTAATTTCAGTTAGATTTTCATCCTCTTGTAGCTTAATTTCGGCCTGTTTTTTCTTATTTTTTCCAAAACTGTGATGTTTTCTATGTAGACAAACACAAAAATGTTTTGGGCTTGGGTTTTTTACTTTCCATTTGAAACTGTATGCATAACTTCCACATCAACAGAGTAAAATAAATTATAATAGATGCCATGTGACCTCACTCAGTACCACGTGGTAGACAATGACAATTGTTTGCCCTTATTACAATATTTTCATCTCTTTGTAATTTGAAATTGGTGTATATTGAAGTGAGTCACTGTTAGCAGCAGAACTCAAATAGTAGTTAGGAGACACAAATTTCTTTAGACATAGTTTTTTTTAAAACATAGGCCATAGAACATTTCATTCCAACATCAACAAATTGTTATCCCCCCAATGGAGGCCACTGGAATTTTAATAACCTTAATAGTACCATGGATTTATTTGGTCTTGATTAGTTAGGAAATCATCAGACTATCTTGAATCATATTTTAGTATGTTCAATAACCTAATTTTGTTTGCAATCATATATGTTTGTGTTATATTGCATGTATAATCTATTGTAAATATTGACGTATCTTACTTAATTTCCACAGTAGCTAATACACATCAAATGTGAGACCATGGGCGGGATTTGATTTTTTTTTTCGAAAGCCATAGCCATTATCTTGACCATCTTATTTTGTCGTATAGCTTCACTGGCATGAAATTTTGATTTCCAGTTAATTAAAATTCAGTAGGAATTGTGGAAGGGTATTTTTTTTTTCAGAACATGAATTGGTAGAATCTGAAGATCATGTGGAAGTAAATGGAATAATTTTCAACAAGCCATTTGTTGAAAAGCCAGTATCTGCAGAAGATCATAACATCTATATTTATTATCCAACATCTGCTGGTGGTGGTAGCCAGAGATTATTCCGAAAGGTAAGAGAACATTTTTCTATATTTGTTCCGGATTTATGAAAAATTATTTCATGAGAATCGTTCTTTAGTCTCTGGTCACATGTTTATTCTTATTTTTTATGCACGACCGGAGCTAAAGTAGTACTTAACCGCCTGATTCTGCGGGCGTAAAGTGGTACTTTACCACCCTTGATGGAAATTGACGTTAAAGTCATCTTAACCGGGTACGGACAGATCCTCTTCTCCTCTCACTCTAAAGTGTTTGTAAAACAGTTATATAGTTCCATCCTTATTCAATTCTGGGGATAAACACTAGATTTTCGACATTTGTTGTTTTTTAGGTTATATTGAGGTCATTGGCGTATCATACGTAATTTCCATATGGAATTCCTGATACCACTAGAACTGTGATCTGGAGCCAATGTAGTTTTCGTGATATTTTCATACAAAACTTCAGTGATCCACAATTTGGTTCGAAATATTTTGCTATTTTGTGAGAGATTGCTGCACATACCTTTCAGCGATATTCGTAGACTTCCAAGCACGATTGTCTCCTCCAGAATTTTCAAGTAAACTTGCCGAGTATCTTCTGAAACTCTTCCCGGTATAATTTATGACATCAGGCAGTTTTAAAAATTCTTCAATTTGGTGACTGATAATCGATGACCGATGACAGATGAGAGATGACCGATGACAGATGTCAGTTGATGACCAGTGACAGATGACCGATGACGTGTGACAGTTGACGTATGAGTTGGATGAAAAATAAAGACATATACAGTGTGTTCGAGACAAATGAATATCAGAAAAAACATATACAGAGCGATCTACAAAACCAGATCGAGGCAGATCAAATATCTTGAACTGAATGAAATATACAGGGTGATCTAAAAAATCAGAGCCAGATCAAAATCTTATTGATGAAAATTGAAAAAATGTATAGTGTGTTCGAGACGAATGAATATCAGAAAAAAAACATGTACCAATATGACATATGACCGATGACATATGGCAGTTGGTGACCGGTGACAAATGACCGATGACAAGTAACAGTTGACGTATGAGTTGGATGAAAAATGAATACATATACAGTGTGTTCGAGACAAATGAATATCAGAAAAAACATATACAGAACGACCTACAAAACCAGATCGAGGCAGATCAAATATCTTGAACTGAATGAAATATCGAAAAATATATACAGGGTGACCTAAAGAATCAGATCCAGATCAAAATCTTATTGATGGAAATTGAAAAAATATACAGTGTGTTCGAGACAAATGAATATCGGAAAAAACATATACAGAGTGACCTACAAAACCAGAGGCAGATAAAATATCTTGAACCAAATGGAATATTATAATTCATCACAGGGTGATCTGAAGAATCAGAGCCAGGTCAAAATCTTATTGATGGAAATTGAAAAAATACTCAGTGCGTTTGAGCTGAATGAATATTAGAAATATCATATACAGAGCGAGCTGAATTCCAGAGGCAGATCAAATATCTTGTACCAAATGGAATATTATAATTTATTACAGGGTGAGCAGAAAAACCAGCGGCAGATTAAAATCTAATATATATTCAAAAAATACACAGTGTTTGAGAAGAATGGATATTAGGAAAAAAACATATACATGGAGACCTACAAAACCAACACAGAGCGCAATATTGCAACAGTGAAATCACTTTCCCAAATTTATTTCTCTGTGAAGTTATTCTGTGAGTTTCAAAAATCGAATCAGCAACATTGAACCATAATGCAGGCTCATGTTTGAAGAAAGTTGGTAGGTTAATTGATTTAATTGATTGTTGCTCTTTCTTGGAATGTCCAGTTGATGTGTCTTCGGAGGAGATGATGTCATGAGGCATGATATTGTTTGGAAATATGGAACTTTCACGATGTTCTTCCAAAATATCGAATGTTGCTTCCAACGAATCATATTTTTTATTATTTTCATCAAATTTGACGATCAGAATTTCACACAATTCTTCAAGTCTATCGATCTTCTTCCTAAAAATAGTATTCGAAACATCATTTAGTATGATTCTTGATGAAATCTCTGAAAGAATGCCCCTGTAATCGGCTTCGTGGAATTGGTCCTTGTGTTTTTTTAATGTATCTACTCTGTCAGCATTTCCTTCATATCCGAAAATTCCATCGAATCACTAACATGGATGATGGATGTTGAAACGGCCTAAAATGTTTATGATCTCGCCTTTGCTCAATTGCTCCATGATATCACGTCGGGGTCACCAAATTGTGGATACAATCGATACAAATTGTAAGACTTTCAGTTGTAATTATATTATAAGAATGTCACATCAATGTCAGACTATCAAATCATAATATACCAAGTATATAACATAACTAGTCACCATAAGTATACTCTGGTCAGTTCACTTTGTGAATCTTCTACATATCCGCTTTTTTTCCGAATAGTGTTTTTTCCAGTAGGCATCTTCCACATTTTCAATTACGGGTTATATTAACGATCTTTAAGGCCAAACGATGTGTTGCTCGGATCTAAAACTAAGGATCAACTTCAAATTTGAATCGTGAGACCTACATAGAATACGGATACTGTTTTCAAAATTCGTAACTGGAACGCGATATATTTTTGTAATTCATCAACTATCTCAATGAAGACGAGGCAGGCAGATAAACAACAATTTTCTCTGCAATGAAGAACACTGTATATACCTAACCCACCATGCGTCTACCTCCTTTGCAGAGAGGGTTTATAAACGCCGAGTTGATACTCTCCCCTCGTAAGGGTACCTGTCGTGTTTCCATAGAGACATAAAGCTGATTACCTGTCTATCTGTCTGCTTGAGAATCTGGAAAGGTAATCAATATATCGCCTTCCGTACGAATATAATGATCTGAATTCTGTAAAGTATACTCTGGTCAGGTCTCTTTGAGGATTCTCTGTTCGGTTCGTCTTGACTGGGTGGTTTTCTCCGATTGTGTGGCAAGTATCAAATACTGCTTTTCGGATCTGCAACTGAACATCACATATTGATCGAAGTACATTTAAATCAGAAAATCAATATCATCAGATGAAGTACATGGATGTTGAATCTGAGACATACCTGAATGACATTTTCATCGTCCGTAGCTGGATTGCTACATATTAATCGAAATACATTCAAATCAGAAAATAAATATCATTAGATGAAGTACATGGATGTTGAATCTAAGACATTTCTAAATAATATTTTCAACGTTTGTAACTGGATTGCTACATATCCGCTTTCTTTCCGAATAGTGGTTCTTCCAGTAGGCATCTTTCACATTTTCAACTACGTGGATTATATTGAGGACCTTGAAGGCCAAACAATATGCTGCTCGAATCTGAAACTAAGTATCAATTTCAAATTTGAATCGTGAGACCTTCATACAATATAAATGTATGGAAAGTCTGGATATTGTTTTCAACATTCGTAACTGGAACGCGATATATTTTTGTAATTTATCAATTCATCAACTATCTCAATGAAGACGAGGCAGGCCGATAAACAACAATTTTCTCTGCAATGAAGAACACTGTATATACCTAACCCACCATGCGTCTACCTCCTTTGCAGAGAGGGTTTATAAACGCCGAGTTGATACTCTCCCCTCGTAAGGGTACCTGTCGTGTTTCCATAGAGACATAAAGCTGAATATCTGTCTATCTGTCTGCTTGAGAATATGGAAAGGTAATCAATATATCGCCTTCCGTACGAATATAATGATCTGAATTCTGTAAAGTATACTCTGGTCAGGTCTCTTTGAGGATCTTCTGTTCGGTTCGTCTTGACTGGGTGGTTTTCTCCGATTGAGTGGCAAGTATCAGATACTGCTTTTCGGATCTGCAACTAAACATTATATTTGAATCGAAGTACATTTGAATCAGAAAATATCATTAGAGGAAATATATAGATGTTGAATCTGAGACATACCTGGATAATATTTTCAACGTCCGTAACTAGATTGCTACATATCCGCTTTCTTTCCGTATAGTGGTTTTTCCAGTAGAAATCTTCCACATGTTCAATTACGTGGGTTATATTAAGGACCTTGAAGGCCAAACAATGTGCTGCTCAGATCTAAAACTAAGTATCAATTTCGAATTTGAATCGTGAGGCCTACATAGAATATAAATCTATGAAAAGTCTGGATATTGTTTTCAACATTCATAACTGGAACGCGATATATTTTTGTAATTCATCAATTCATCAACTATCTCAATGAAGACGAGACAGGCAGATAAACAACAATTTTCTCTGCAATGAGGAACACTGTATATACCTAACCCACCATGCGTCTTCCTCCTCCAATTTGTGGTAGAGTAATAATTGTATAAACTAATGTTAAAAGTGCAGTTTTCAGCAGTGGTTATTTGAATACCACTAGAAGAGAGATCTGGAGCCAATGCAGTTTTCGTAATATTTTCATAAAAAACTGTGACACAATTTGGTTCGAAATATTTTGCTATTTTCTGAGAGATTGCTGCACATACCCTTCTGAAACTATGCCCGGTATAATTTATGCCATCAGGTAGATAGATACATTTGCCTGCTCTACAGCAGACAAATAAACGTGTCTGGTATATTTACTATTAAATACCATATGACGTCACTTTCACTTTTTCTCCCAAGGGAGAAAAAGTTAGGGAGAACAAGTACTTTTCCCTTCCTAGGGAGGAAAAGTTCGACGTTGCTCCCTACATTGAGGCAAGGCAATATTTACTTTGGATAGAGGTAGACGGAAAAAGTTTTTTCCGCACTAGTGCATCTAAAAATTTGTTGAGTGATAAGCATAATGAAAAAGTGTTTTTTATTATTTTTACCACGCATATATTGATCAATTTACCGATTTTCCAGTTCGGTCTCTTCATGTTTACTTTCTACTACATAGTTTGTTTTCATCTGTTGAAAAGCTTACAAATTGAAATTTGACATCTAACTGATTGGCACAGCCTAACACAGCACATTTCGTCATTTTTTTCAAAAGAGAATAGGAAAATATCCTATTCAGTAAAAAATATCCTTATTTAATCTTAAAATGTTTTTATTTTCTTGAATTTTATATTCATTAACATTCAGAAATCGTTTGACACTGTCAATATTTTCGTTTTTAAACAATATAGAAAGAGTATAGGGAACGGATAATAAATATCATTACTAGATTACTAGCTGACTTGGCAAACGTTGTTTCGCTTTGCACAATATTTCTAGAAAATATTCTTTTGGTTAAATAATCACCTGCACACTATTTATTTCATTTTCTACTTATTTTCAGTTCGGCCATTCATAAGAGCGTGATTCTTTAGTTTTTCAAGATACTATTCATGTCATACTCGTTTTCAGCTCGGGAATCTATCTCTCCAGTTTATTAATCTACTGTTTATGTTCTACTTCTTCTTAATTCGACTAAGTATCTACGAACGCATGTTCAATTGATTTTTCAAACAACTATTTTCCACAAAGCTCGTTCGCCATGTTGGATCTGCCATCTTGAATATCCCAATTTTGACAAAAAATCATAAAGTTCGACCCCGAATACCCCCAGATAACAATTTTGAATAGAATCGAATCATAATTACAAAACTCGATCCTCATACGATCCTCCCCAACAAGTGACAGCAATGTCAGAGATGCCAGTAGTCTAAACTAAAGTCTCTAGATCATTAAAAAAGCAGCTTTGATCTGTCCGTACCCTGTTACGATGACTTCAACGTCAATTTCCATCAAGGGACCCTAGAAATAAGCATTCCTGTAAAATTCACGACATTTATGTGTCCGTTGTGGTGGTTCCTTATCTAATATTACAGTTAGTATAGAATAGAAAAAATATTTATTGGCACATCAGTTTTGAGTCTTTTTGGTTGGAACCTACTTGTTCGACGAACAAAACAGCCCACCATCAACGTAGTCTATGGGCTCCTTTACGGGAATCAGGGAAAGATATTGTATGCAACTATTATTCTGTTTTTCAAGTCATTTTGTGTTGTGTATGTCTATAAAATTGATCTCAATATCAGTAAAATTTTGATTTTATTTCAGATTGGCAGTAGAAGCAGTGTTTATTCTCCTGAATCGAGAGTAAGAAAAACAGGTAGTTTCATCTATGAAGATTTCATGCCAACAGATGGAACAGATGTGAAGGCAAGTATTATTTTGTTGAATAAATATTGACATTTTCAACTTTATATACTAATTATTTTGATTTGTCATTCAATTCATTTTAGTTTTAAAAATGTTTAATAATTTGGTCTATCAAAATTGTGAAATTTTGCTCAGTTTTCAGTTTTCTTGCATTCTTCTGAATATATATTATGTTGATTTTGTTTGAAATATGAAGAAACTCTTTCTTGATAGTTGTGAATTTGGAATAACTCTCATTTTGGTATCTAAATCATCATTTTTCAATTTATTTTCCAACAAATTGTCAAACTTCTCGTTCCATTTTTGCCCTAAATTGGTTATTTTTTTTTTCGATATTCATATTGTTCAGAATTTGTGGCTCTTTCTTTCAATACAATTTTGTTCATTATCGAATCTGCTGGTTTGAAGTGAACCTAATAGAAATGCGATAAATAATATTCTATATTCTACTAAAAAATGTGCATCCTCGCAAATTTTGTTGGCTGAATCTACGGGGTGTAATTTGATTGATGGCTGAAAATATAGGATATGGTTCCTTAGCTGATTTTACGCTACCCTCCAATTTTCAAAGCCCTATCTAGAATAATTCAAAAGTTACAATCCTGGTCGTTTTTGTGCACTTCTCTGTATGCCCTTAAAATATTTACATTGAATTTTGAATCACCCTGTATTTTTAGCCGACAAGACATTAAGGAACTCTACCAATATCAAGGCAACCATATTTTTTCCTTCGTCCTAGGTCTACACTGTCGGTCCCGACTACGCTCACGCCGAAGCCCGTAAATCGCCGGCGCTCGACGGCAAAGTGGAGAGGGACCGCGAGGGCAAGGAGATCCGCTACCCGGTCATCCTCAGCAACGCCGAGAAGCTGATCTCGCGCAAGGTGTGCCTTGCCTTCAAGCAGGCCGTGTGCGGCTTCGACTTGCTGCGCGCCAACGGGAAGTCCTTCGTGTGCGACGTGAACGGATTCAGTTTCGTCAAGAACTCCAACAAGTAATGATACAATTTGAATAATCAATCATTTACTGAGGATGAAACACTGTGTATCATAGTAGAGCCGAGGGTTAGCGAGCAGGAGAGATAATAGACTGTTTTTCTCCGAGATGCATATACTGATATTTGATTATTTGAAAAGGTTTCCATAGCAACAAAAACGCCTGCAGCGTAGGTGTAATTGTCGCAGCCTACCAGATAAAAACTTGAAATTTCACATCGATATTTTCTGATTTTACTATAATGTAATATTTTCTCAATATTGGTTCGAAACTCGAATGAAATTAGTAATTGAAATTGACACTGACACCGGATGAACACAAAATGATAGAGTTTTCAATAAAAAAATTTCACAAAATTGGTTTTAAATCATTGGGAGAAAAAATTCTATGTTTCACACGGCAGCAAATGTCCTTTGACGAAAGGATCATAATCTCCGACCCCGAAAACCCCCAAATACCAATTTTGAATGAAATCGGATAACAATACTCGTCCGACATATTGGATCCGCCATCTTGAATTTTCGATTTAAAAAATAGATTACGACCGATTCTCATACCTACCGAATACGCACAAAAAATTTCATACGAATCGGTCGAGCCGTTTCGGAGGAGTTCGACCACTAATACCGTGACAGGGACAGGAGAATTTTATATATCAGATTTATAGGGTTTCATGCGTACTCTCACCTAAAATTATTTCCATATCTATAGGGTGTACGAATTCCAAGATATCGGCTGATGATTAAATGGGACATCCTGTTTTCAATTTTTGAATACACTGTCAAAATTGCTATACAACCGCTTTTTGGTTTCTATATTTGGACATTGGAACGAAATAAATCCACACTAGTAGAGTCCAAGATAAATTATGTTCCATTCGTTCCTACAAAATCAGTTCGAAATATTGAACACTGATGTCAATGTAAGACGGAAAAACTTGACAAGATTGAAGATGCCGAAACTTCATTATTTCAAATGGAACACCCTGTGTTTTTCACCAAATTACCCTCAATCTTTATAAAGTATGTCCTATACCTTGATATTGCCGTTTTCGATATAAATCGATTTATGTGAAAAGAATCTATATTTTTCGAAAACTGACAGAGATAACCTCAATAAAGTATATTGGTTTCAAATCAGAAGAAAGAGCTCGTCCGATTAGAAAAATGAAATACATGATGTCCCAAATAAAGAAGATGTTCCATTCTGCAACTTGCTATATATGTATATTAGTACCGAAATATACATTATTTTCAACATTTTGAATTTCGATACGAATCCATTAAATTTCTTGTGTTGAAGACTGGCATACCAAATTTCGAATAGTTTCGCATTATAAGTCTCTAAAAAATGGCTAATGTTTTTGCATCTCATTTCAATACTTATTTTCAATTCCTCTGTATAAGTAAATAATGCGAATTATTCCACCTCGAATGAATACGAAATTTTGAAATATTTGTGTTAACTCATAACAAAATGGCGAATATTTTCGTAACTTGTTGCCTTAATATCCCTTTGTATGAATAGGTAAAGAAAGCGAATTTCAAAATGTTTTCATTTTTATATGGAAAAGGTGTTCCAGAACAACGTACCATAAATTCTACAAGGTGAACTAGAGACCAAAGTAGGCCAATTGAAGCCAAATTACTTTTATACGAAAATGCACCATTGAGACGTGAGAGGGCATTGAAGAATAATTTTATTTCCAGATTTTCTCGAATATTTCAAAATCCTTTGAAATTACTGCTCTAAAATTCGTAGGGCAATTTACTATCGTGAATGTGCATGAAAAACAGGTCATATCAATTCAATTAATATACAGGGAGATAGGTATTCTGCATTCTCTTCAATGAAAAATGATATAACTTTTTTGGAGTTTGCCACTGACCACATTCTGATATTTCAATGAATGACAAAATTGATTATCTAATTGTTTCTATTTCTAATATTTTTATAATTCATAGTTTCGAATCCACCAGTTCCCAGATCATCTGATGATGAGGTTGCGAAATGGTGAACATGGTTATTGTGGTCAATAGGTCAACACAAATAACGTAGAAATTTGCAAAATATGATGTTATCCTAACATTATGAACAAGTATGGAGAAGCACCAAATTTAATTTTTGTATCTCGAAACTTAAAAGGATAAGAAAAACTGCTGTTAGAAAAAAGTTAGATGATTGATTTTGTCGTTCGTTGAAATATCTAAATATTGTCATCAAAGAGAATGTGAAATATCTATCTTCCTGTATATAGATTGAATTTGTAAGACTTGCTTTTCATGCACATTCATGATAAATAGCCCTACGAATTTTTGAGCAGTACCTTTCAAGGATTTTGAAATATTCAGTAACATCTGTGAATAAAATTATTCTTCATCGCCCTCACGGATCAACGTTGCAGTTTCGTTTAGAGGTGAGTTGATTTTGAGTCTACTTTGATGTCTAGTTCCTCCTGTAGAATTTATGGTACGTTGTTCTGGGACACCTTGTATACCGAAGCATAATACCAACCACGTGATGAATGGCTCCATATAATGTATATTATACAAAAACACTTACCATCTTGGAAAAATACAACTTTCACACACTCAAAGGAAAATACAATCACTAAGCCGAATATGAATTTCAATTTTCCACTCCTAAATACTTCGAGTTCTTTTTTTATTATCACTTGAATCGACCGTTCGCAATGAAGTCTAGAACGAGACTACTGATTGGTTTGATTCATTATTCAAATGACTAATTAGTTACGTCATTCTTTCAACCGGTTAATTTACGAACAAATATGACTAATTCTGATATCGATAGTATGTATACTGAGTGGAGCGAAAAGACATTTAAGGATATTTTCTTTCATCTTCTATCTATACGAGGTGTTTTGAAATGAGTTCATATATCCAGCATATCAATAAAATATAGGCTAAGGGTAAGTAACTAACGAGAAATTTGATCTTGAAAATTTGATAAAAATCGAAAAAAAAGTACGCCACCTCAAACCAATTTGAATGATTGAACTCCGCGTGAAGATGACTTTCACACGGAAATTTGTGCAGAGGTGACGTCAGAATAGCTACAGTGTAGAACTTTGGGTGGATATAGAGTTTCGACCTGGATTTCATTTGATCCCTATATTTTTTCTATGGGTGCCAATCAATAGTATTCGTCGAAATCATTTAGGGTTTGAAATATTTGTTTTTATTTCAATGTCATCTGTCACCCTGTATATTAGGCGGAGTTTGGTTAGATTGTTTACAAAAAGTAGTCTCCTTTTTACGCAGAAATGATGTGTTTCTTCTGTATGTACAGGGTGATTCATTAGGAATGAAAAATCTCTGAACTACAGATAGTGAATACCAAAATGTCTCATAGAAATGTTGCAGATACAGAGTGCTCTAACAAAGATTTCATTTCAATTATTTTTTAGATTTGGTCGGACATTTACTTTGAAATTCTATTTGTTGTTTTCATTTTTCGTGATTGTCATCATTGATCACTGTCTGTTTTTCCACTGTCAGTTGGCTAACTTTATAATTTAAAATTATTAAAATGTTATAAGTGGAACATAAATCTAGAGCTAGACATTTTGAAAAAGAGTACAATGTTTATGTAAAATTGAACGGGCTTTCAGAGTGTTCACTTATCTTGATCATCCTTCAATGGACAAAAAATATATGATGTAACTCACCAAAGTAACAGAGTGCCATTAGCGCCCTATCATTTACGAAATGACCTTTCCGGACACCCTGTATGCCCCTCTCTCCCGCGATAAACCAGGAGGATATTCAATTCTCGCCAGGAGATGATAGCTTAATATAGGTCGTGGATTTGTCAATCGTTAATTCAAACGCATTTGCATGTCATTCTGACTGACGGAAAAAGACAAAAATAATGGACTGAATGATCAAGCTCATGCTCGGCCTCATTTCAAATGAGACCACGTGGACCACGGTCCGATCCATAGTCTGACTGCGGTCTGAACGAATTATTGAGACAAATTGACCATGGTCCTTCCCACTGAACGTTGCCTCACAAACAAACCTTTTTAATTCAATGAACGAAAATCGGCTAAGATGTTATTATTTCATCATTAGTCTCAGTTTATCACACATGTCAAAATCAATAAGATATTCCATCCAAGTAACCCTCTTCAATGGTGGATATCAAATAGAAATAAGCTATGGATAAATCCCTCTATTCAACTAGTTTCTCTGAGGATTGACCCTTTTCGCTCGGGTTTGTTCGGTTATGGCATCCATTTTCACGTAGGCGAATGTATCATTTCTAGGTATTATGACGACTGTGCCAGAATTTTGGGCAACATGATTCTGAGGGAACTGGCTCCTACCCTGCACATCCCTTGGTCGGTTCCCTTCCAACTCGACGATCCGCCCATAGTTCCGACGACTTTCGGAAAAATGATGGAGTTGCGCTGCGTCGTAGCGGTGATACGCCATGGCGACAGAACGCCCAAGCAGAAGATGAAAGTCGAAGTGAGGCATCCCAAGTGAGTAATGAAAAAAATACTGAATCACCTATCTCACTGAAAATGATTTCGGAATCTTTTGAAACTGATATCATTCCTGACAGCAAGTTAGCTGAGAAAGTATAGTCAATTCATGAATAGACTATTTTTTTTATTTCTTGCATAATATAATCATTATTCAATTACCTTTCAATTCCATATTTTTTAGATTTTTTCGCTCTTAACTGACAGTAAAGGAACCCATTTGATTCCTAGAAACTAAATTGAACCATTGTATAGACTTATAAAGTGACAACGTTCATAACATGAGACTAAATTATGGTTTCAATTGAATTATTATTATTATTAATTTCAGATTTTTCGAAATATTTGAGAAATATGATGGATTCAAGCACGGACATGTGAAACTGAAGAGACCCAAACAACTTCAAGAAATACTCGACATTGCCCGTTCACTTTTAACTGACATCGAACACCATGAAGCTGAGCCAGCAATCGAGGAAAAACAGGGAAAATTGGAGCAATTGAAAGCAGTATTAGAAATGTAATATTGAATGGATTTCTCGTTTGCGTCATAGTTCAATATTCATTGTATATTTCAGGTACGGCCATTTTTCGGGCATTAACAGAAAAGTTCAAATGAAGTATCAGCCCAAAGGGAGGCCGAGAGGCTCAAGTTCTGATGATGGTAGGTCAAATTGTTGTTCAATTATAAAATATATCCAGACATTGATCAAAAACGTCACACTCTGAGATATCATTGCTGAAGAAATTAAAATCAGAAATACCAAATTTGATAGACATAAACAAAATTTTGATAATCGAGAGCTTTTTGATGAATACAAAATACAGAGGAATACAGTTAAGTGTTCTAAAATGGTTGTAAAATTGTTCTATCCGTCATTCGGTTGCCCCCTTACGAGCAACCCTCAAAAGTCTTCGAGAGTCTTGTGCGAGCAAGGAATGACGGGGATCCCAAACACTTTCTTGGGCCATCAGAAAAATTTCTGCAGTCGACGGGGATCGAACCCACGACCGGCAAGCGAATGCGAATTAGAATATAGACACTCTGTCCGCACGGCTACCTGGCCTCCTGGTTAATGCTTTGATAAAAAGAGCAAAAGCGCAACATCTTAATAGAAAATTTGAAAACTCTAAAGGTAATCAGAAAAACTTGGGGATACAATAAATTATTGTCTAAGAGGTTCCACAAAAGCAAAAAAAGTGATGATATTGAATTGATAAAAGTTAATGTATTGTCAATAATGATCTGGAAGTAGCAAAAATCATGAATTATCATTTTTCAAGCATTGGGGAGAAAATAGCAAGTGAAATAATATCTTATTATAATAGTCTCCCACGTCAAAATGTCTATCCACAGTATAATGATTCCACAATGCTTTTGTTTCCCACTGATGAAAGCGAAATCATTTCTATAATATATGATTTAGAAAAGATATGCCCCTATCCAGGTTGGACTACTAAGGACATATTTGAAGTGAACATCATTTTTTCTACAAAGGTCGCGCATTGATAACAAATTGCGAAGTGACACTTTTTTTCAGTTTCCTACGTTACCATGATATCTTGCACGAAACAATGCTATGGTCCTCAATCGAGCAAACATCCACGAAATCATTTATTTCTGCATGTTCAACAATAACTTTGTTTTATCTCTTGGAGCGCACGAAAGGAAATTCCTATTATGTTCGTGGAACATCGTGCGTACTTAGGGAGGATAGGGGATGCCTTTTAAGCCAGTTCAACACTATTTTTTGTATCAAGCTAAGCAGATTTTTACTTTAGAACTATATTTTTTTACGTTTATAGAAAAAATATTGTTTGCAACTCGAGCGCGAAATACTTTGGTCATCTCGACTATTTTTTTAACTCGGCTAAAAAATCAGTTCTCGATCACCAAAGTAGCATTTCGCGCTCTAGATACAAAAATAACTATTAGCTACTCCAATATGAAAATTGATCAACGAATGTTTCATAAAAAACATTTTCCCACATGAATTGAAACATGCATCAGTAAAAGCTATTTATAAAAATGGAGATGCTCAGGATCCCACAAACTATAGACCAATAGCTCTAATAAGCATATTTTCTAAAACTTTCGAAAACATTTTCAAAAAACGCATTGTAGAGTTCATCAACAAAAAATATATAGCAAATATTGCGACCGAAAACTTGGCATGATTAGCGAACCGTTTTTGCAATAATTAAAAGTTGTTTGTTTGAATACTTCTCCATATTCTTGAATCGCGTGGTTTCTAACTTGACAACTGTCAAAAAAACACCGTATTACTGGTATCAACATCAACAAAATAACGGAAAATATAAATCCGGCGCTCTTATTGGGTAACCCTTTACAATAAGGGTCCCTTGATGGAAATTGACGTTAAAGTCATCTTAACAGGGTACGGGCAGATCATAGCTGCATTCTTTTTTAATGATCTAGAGACTTTAGTTTTGTCTACTGGCATCCCTGACATTGCTATCACTTCACATCCATGGGCGCTACAGAATTTTAATAAAAGGTATGTACAGGGTATTTACTTGTTGAGGAAGATCATATGGCGAACGAGTTTTGTAATTATGATTCGATTCTATTCAAAATTTGAAGGTATCTGGGGTTGTCTGGGGTTGGAGATGATGATTGTTTCGTCAAACTTGGAAAATTCAAGATGACGGATCCAATATATAGCGAAAGAAATTTCTTATTATTATCTGATTCTAATTAGGATTGGTATCTGAGGGATTTCTGGGTCGAACTTTATGATTTTTTGTCGAAATTGGGGAAATTCAAGATAACAGATCCAATATGGCGAACGAATTTTGTAATTATGATCCGATTCTATTTAAAAATCAAAATTGGTATCTAGGGATTTCCGGGGTCGGAGATTATAAATATTTTGTCATAATTGGGATATTCAAAATGGCGGATCCAATATGGTGGACGAGTTTTGTAATGATGACCCGATTCTATTCAAAATTGGTATCTGAGGGTTTTCTTTCAAGATAACGAATCCAATATGGCGAAAGACATTAGTTTATATAATCATTGCTCTACCACAAATAGAAAATATGTAGGATGCAAGAGTGAAAATAACGTGCCTATAAGTTATATACTTTATTGTTACTTTCTTCAATAAATTATTCGAAAATGACTTTTTATTTAAGGGAGACAGTAAAATCATACGTATAACATGGGGGTAAAGTATATTCTATTCTTTATTTTCCTCTACATTGTACGTATTACTTGTTATCAGCCTACTTTTCGTCCTAGACGAAGTTTTATACATATTGTGATATTAGTCACTCCATAAATTCTTCTCCGAGTTGGATTTCCGAAAATATATTTAGCACACATGACATGAGTACAGAGTAGTTTAGATACCCACATCATCGAGGTTTCCACCATTTCTCAATCATAAGGCTCAGCTCATTCAGCTCATAGATAAACTACTGCTCAGCTTGAAATCAGAATTCATTCAGTCAATTCAGTCAACCCTGGTATACAGTCTCTTTTGGTGAAATATATTAGGCTTTCAATACCATTCATATGTTCCCTATCTCGCAAAGATTATGCTGGAGTAGTAAACTCTGAAACTAGAGGATTGTTCATTTATATCTTGGTATAGTTGAATCAGGAATTCCATATGGAAATTACGTATGATACGCCAGTGACCTCAATATAACCTTAAAAACAACGAATGTCAAAAATCTAGTGTTTATCCCCAGAATTGAATAAGGATGGAACTATATAACTATTTCACAAACACTTTAGAGTGAGAGGAGACGAGGATCTGTCCGTACCCTGTTAAGATGACTTTAACGTCAATTTCCATCAAGGGATCCTATAACTAACCAGCGGAATAAACCACTGAATTTTTGATCAAGTTTTGACGATCCTAATTTTGTTTCAGTAGATAAACCTGCTGAGCCTTCTTTGGTGCTGATTCTGAAGTGGGGTGGCGAATTGACACCCGCTGGTAGAATTCAGGCAGAGGAATTAGGGAGAATTTTCCGATGCATGTATCCCGGGGGACAAGGTAGACATTTAGCCGGTTGGTATTCGCTTCTTCCGCCTATTGGTTTAAGCACTTTGTTATTTTTTTCGTTGCGGTGTTCTTGGGGTACTGTCAGTGTTGTGTTGTGTTGGACATCATCGAAAAAATTAAGAAAATGGGAAATTTTCTATGCAATAGAGACGGCAAGACTGGCATTGAACTTTTCAGTTTCAACGATTTCACTGTGTTGTTGCAGACCTCCAAAGATCTTCAATCACATTTAAATATGTTTTTGTTGCAAATTATGTGTGGAGGCGTTTCTCAAAATCGTGAATAATGATCGCCTAAATAACTTATCAATGATTCCGAAATATCCCAAGTAAATTTAGAATAATTCACTATATTCCGAAATGATTTTTCCTCAACAGAAATGTGTCAAGTGACCAGGATTCTTATCTTCTTTTTCTATTTCATTTCATATTCTGAATTTTCATAAATTATTTGTCAGAAATGTCTAATATAATATACATATACGGGTGCGATTTTTATTCCAACATTTTTTCATGCTCATGAATTGAAGAAACCATCAAACTGTTGCAAAATTCCACACCAATTGTTGTTCAATGCACACTTCTAATTTGCTTTGAGAGAATTCAGCGGTTTGGAGAAGATTGAAATGACATTTGAAACATTTTCGGTATTGTTCTTTGTTTTGATTTGATAAGAAACAAAAAAAAATCGAGGATCTTTGGGGCTTTTGAGAGATTTTAAAGGATGGATTGGGTGTTAATTAATAAAATCGTATCTGCCAAATATGATTCAGAAGATACATGACAAACTGACATATAACGAAATCTGTTTTTCCATTAGTGTGTTGAATATTCCATTGCAGGGTCGGTTACATCATGAATTCCATCAGAAAATTGGTAACGTTAAGACAAAAAAGCGCATCTATCAGTGCAAACTTTCTTCGATGGAATGAAAAACACACCCATATTTCTTTGAAAGCTTTATTTTTTCTTTTACTTCAGATTTTCTAAAAAAATTACCAATCTCGGGTTACTTAAAGATCCTCGAGAAGAGCTGTTTTAGAAATCAACTATTCGAAATTACAACTCAATTTAGCGATATTTCGTTCTCACTGTTTCAATTGAATGCTCAAAATTCCCACATGAGAATATTCTAACATAACTTCTCTGTTACCATGATGAGAAACATTTTTGCTTTTCTGAAATATACTCAATACAAATACAATACTTACACATTTCTTTACCTACCTATAAGAAAAACTAATCAGTCTATGACTTATGAACTTAATTTTTTGAATTGGCATTATGCATTAAGAAGAATGATGAATAGAATATAAAGATTGAAGTATCCGAGAATTGACCATAATCAATCAACTTTTCTGGTCTGTCAGTTGAAAGATTCAGCAATATTATGTCATGACTACCTGACATTCAGCATGAAAAATAACTTGTGCTATTTATATATTTTTTTGTAGACTTGATAGCACTTTATTCAATAGGCGAAGTCCATTCTGAAAATTATCCATTTTCAATTTCCATTTTCATCCATCGTTTTGCATAAGTAGTGTAGCTACATATTTTTTTTGTTGGAACATGTTAATTCCTCCATCATTGGTTAACCAACCGGCACCAAGCAACAAGCAACTCGTAGACACGAATTGAAAACTGTTGATTTTTCGAAAATTGATGATGAGGTTCTTTTGCAGGAGAATACGCGGGGGCTCAAGGCTTAGGCCTCTTGAGACTCCACTCGACTTTCCGGCACGATTTGAAAATTTACGCCTCCGATGAGGGCAGAGTGCAAATGACAGCTGCGGCGTTCGCTAAAGGGTTGTTGGCCCTAGAGGGCGAACTGACCCCCATCCTGGTGCAAATGGTCAAAAGTGCGAATACAAATGGACTTTTGGATAACGACTGTGATAGTAGCAAGTATCAAAATATGTAAGTCATTTCAACTTTTGCTAAGTTAGAACATTGAAATTGAGTGCCAATGAGTTGAATGAACGAGTGGACTGATAATCAATTATTGACATTCAATTACTCTACTGTGTCGGAGAGACCTAAATTAATTTTTGCATGCCATGTTCTGTGATACGTCGAATAAATGGTGACATCAGTTTTCATGCTGTTCCGTTATTGGTTAGATAATCTTCCGTTCCCACTCATGAAGCAGAGTTGTCGAGTCACCAATTATAATCAAGTTATCAAAAAGATGTTAGAGTACTGTCGTTGAATAGAACAGAATAGGAGGAACCCATGATATTTTAGTTCATTCTTGACTTTTTCGAGCAACCAGCATGTCCAAATATTTCTAATACTCCATAACAAAATAGCATGTGAATGTTTGGAGCCTTGGCAACATTGTGATGAATGCTGTTAACTGACAAGACCACGCCCACAAGTCGGGCGCCGTGTTGTCACGTTTACACGAGAGTTCACTGGTTCAAATGTCCTCATGTGTGAATTAATATGATTATTATTTAGACAAATGTATTATAACAAATAAGCCACAACACATGCTCAAAGAAAAAATTTCCCCCATAGTTGGTGCCTTAAGAAGATGTTCAAAACTTCTCCCAAATATAGCAAATACCGTTCTATACTCTCACATCCTTAGTAAAATGAACTATCTCATAAATATTTCGGGTCGATGTTCCAAGAATAATTTGAACAAAATATCTGTACTATATAAAACAGTTATTTATGTAATAAGGATCATAAAGACGATCATTATGGTACAAGTCGTGAATGTTATCGGGCGAGGCGTAGCCGAGTCCGATAACACGGCGTGTGCCATAATGATTGTTTATGATTCGTATTACATACAAAATTTTATCTGATGGCATTTATATCAATACATTTTCGAAAAATTAAAAACTGCATTTTCGACATGTCACAATGACAACTATTTTTAAAGGAGTAAGTATTTTTTTTTATCGCTTGGTGCGCACGAAAGGGAATCCCTATAATGTTCAAAGAACATCGTGCGTTCCTAGGGAGGATAAGGATAGGAGGTAGGTATTGAAATTTTTTTTTTCTGCAACCGACACAAAAGTCGTCCATTTTGATACCAAAATTAGCTCTTAAATTGACGTTTCTATTACTGACACAAAAATAGGTATGTTGCTAGGCAACATATTTAGTTCCTAGGAGCTAAAGTTGAATTTTAGTTCCTAGGAGCTAAAGTTGAACTTTAGCTCCTAGGAACTAAAAAAGATGTACTGGACGTCATCAAAAATAAACAACATTGTGACGGTTGGTTATTTGGGTTGAGACGCATATACCTGATTTGTTTCCGATTTCAGCAGATTTGGCCTTTCATACCCATGTTGGAGATATAAATACACCTTATTGTAGTTTAATATTGGAATTATACATCTTAGTTAAGTATTTTTGTTTCGATCAGGGAAGCCTTCAAGATTCAAATACTTGTTTGATCTGTATTTCATTCGTTATTCTCGGGATGGATGACTTGTTTTTGAATAATCACGGCAAGCAATAGTTTTTTTGTCTCAAACAACGATATTGTTTAGCTTCATTTGATTATCAAGTCAAACACAGTGTAGTATGGAAAGGAATAAATAAATTATTTAAAATAATCACTATTATCATTGTTGATATGCTCACTAACCTAACATTTTCCACGTCTTGTTCCTATAGCTGGCGCGGTATTTGCCATTAGAGCACCTGGTCCATACACAAATATGTCACTCTGTGGTTGTAGGTATTTATATTGAAACTACAATTCGAACATCCTAGAAAACCTAACCTGCCGTTAATGCAGGTAGAATATTCTCACCACATGGATTATTTGTCAATATTTGTTGCATTGCATACATATGGCACGGCATTGGTGGTTATACTTCACATGTTTATTTGAGTTAATTGTTTCGGTTGCAGAAAAAATAGCATGTTTCATTCGGATCAAAAGTGACTTTGTTCGACTCGCAAATTTTGCTTTCGCTCGGCTTCGCTAAACGCTCCGCCTCGCAAATGCAAAATTCGCTTGTCAAACAAAGTGTCACTTTTGATCCTAATAAAACAATCTACTATTGAACTTCTGGAGATTATATGTATTGTGTAGTTTCAAATATTAGTAGGTGAGTGAGCTGTGCTTTGCCATTATATTAATATTACAAATTGTAGTAATTGTTCTTTTACCATTTATAATAAATAGTTTTGTACATAGTTATGCATTTTGAATAAACTTAAACCATTACATGTTTTCCTTATTGAATTTCATTATGGTACTTAGTACCATAATGAATTCATTATGGTACTTAGTCCCATAATGAATTCATTATGGTACTTAGTCCCATAATGAGCTTCCTTATGTCATCAAAATTGAGTGACATAACGTTGTCATTATGACATGCCATCAGATAAAAACATTAAAAGTACTGTATCGTCTTCCATATGACACCCCATCAAATCAACTTTAAATAAATAATGTTAAATACTCTCAAAATTTCTTTTGATATTATCAACAAACACCTCAAATCTAACTTCATATTGGTAAGGAATTCTCAAATTCATGAACATCATACTAGACAATATGACTTGTTTCATCTTGATGCTGCTCATTCTACACTTGGTCAAAAAAAGTTCACTCACGGAGGTATCTCAAAATTCAATAAATTACCTGATGATATCAAAAGTTGCACAAATATCACCCAATTCAAAATCAAAGTCAAGAAACATATCCTCTTGCAAAGAGAAAATCAAATCTGAGTGAATGATTTCTCATTGACTAATTTATTTCATCATGTCATAATGTACTTTATTTCTCTGGCAATTGCTGTCCCTCGGGCCAGAGGCCCTCGGGACGCAAACTTTGCCATCGGTAATTAAGGCCCTCATAATTCCCTTAATACATAAATAACTATTTCATGAGCTTTTTGTTTTATTTATTTTTTTCATATTCTGTTGTTTATTTCAATAACTATAATTTAATTTGATAACGCATGAATAATCTCATACCAGATATGAAAATAAATAAATAAAAAATTAAAAAAAAAGTAATGCTAATCAGGAATATTACCAATACATAATTGAGAATTTTTGGATTATTAAATAACTAATATTTCTGAAGTTCCAACAACATATAATCTCCAAAAGTTCAAAAAAACTTCCAATACCTACCTCCTGTCCTTATCCTCCCTAGGAAAGCACGATGTTCTTAGAAAATTATAGGGATTCCCTTTCCTGCGCTCTAAGCGATAAAAAAAATATGGCAACTGTGCTATGGTCTGCCCCTACTTACGAAATCGTGACGTCAGTTGTTACTCGCAGTTAATTTCTAGCCGTTTGAAAATTACCGTGGCAATTATTGATGATTGGTTTAGAAAATATATGAAATTGAAAGGTATTTGAGTGATGATTCTATTTAAGAAATAAAAAAATCAGTCCACTCGCGCCTATTGCGATTATGTTTGATTAATTATTTCTTCTAGTGTCTGTTGTTCCCGATTTCAATTTTCCCAACTAAAAGTAGAAACTTAGATTCGTTTATTTCATTACCTGAAATATTTAACTTGTAATTTTGCCCCGATAGTATTTATTACTTTACTTGTTGCTTTCAACGGTTTGTATATCTGACATTGATCTGACATTTCTTTCAATTTAAATTCTCGTTGAGAATGTCATTGTATAGTTTTGAAAGTTTGTGTGTATGTGAGAGTTATAACAATATCAAGGAAAATAAGCAGTTCCTACCTTTGTACTTTGCTTGGATGGCTTGCAACTGTAACATTTCATCATAGCACTGATGAGATAGCAGCTCCTACCCAAATCCGTAGCATCGATCAATTCAGCTAATATATCATATATCATTTTATAAACAACAGTTTTTTCTTGATGCATGAATAGGAATGCTTCCTGCTCCATAATTGATAATTTCTGTTAATCATATTTCAACTTTCAACATGAGAGATTTTTTTACAATCTTGACAGGACCATGGATTTTGTATAACAACTGACTTCATGTAGATGTCTCTATAGAGCAGTAAACTGCCACAATAAGGGCTATATTATATGTACATACCTACTTGCCTAGTAGTTTTCCACTAAGAATTCAAGTCCTTCGATTCTATTACTACTATTATACTAACTTTTTCATATATAGATTCTATTTGATATTCCTTTATGGTTTAATTGAAAGACACGCGTAATTCCTGATATTTACTAACGTGGTGTCTGGATATATGACAGAAACTAAATGCGCATGCTCTAAGGGGTCCAATTCGTTTTTGTTAATGATGAGCTTTCGTTTTATAGAATTTGAGGTCTAGATAGTAGGTTATGTCTGGGTTATGTCGGTGTTGAGCAATCAGTTTCGTATATTTGAGAGCCTGCATACCATATACGTATTAATAAACAATACAGATCATAACGGGTGCCAGGATGAAGCCAAAAATATGAAACAAATGAATATCCATAAGGATTTGGTGGCATGATACGCATGCGCCATGCGCTATTATAGTAGTCATCAAAGACATGCGTTTCGGTGGACAATGACGTTTACTAGCCTTTCAATCAAAGCAGTATGTGTCTGATCGTTTCAAAACTTTTCCTTATGGATAGTCATTTGTTCTCAAAAATCGGCTTCATGTTTCGCTATGGAAACAGATAGAGATTATCCGTATTGATTATTAATACGTATATGCTGCATACACTTTCTTAGTGACAACTGCTTGATTTACAGCGATGCCAACATAGGAAACTCACCATTTAGTTCCAAATCATTATATTTCTTTCTCCACCTAATAACCAACAATGGCTTGCGAATTTTAGGTGTAAAGCGCGCTTACACGAACTGATGCAGATAGATCGAGATTTCACTCCCGAAGATAGGGAAAAAATCAACCCCTGCGACTCGTCGAGCATAGCGGACGCCCTGGACTTCGTGAAAAACCCCGTAAGATGTTGTAGACACGTGCACGTGTTGATTAAAGATCTGATGGAGATCGTCCAGCTGAAGAAGGAAGATCAGAAAACGAAAGACGCGAATTTGTATCACGGGGAGACTTGGGAACTGATGGGGAGAAGGTGGGGAAAGATCGAGAAGGATTTTTTCACGAAAAATAAAAAATTCGATATCAGTAAAATACCGGATATCTATGATTGCATTAAATACGATTTGCAACACAATCAACATACATTGCAGTACGAGCAGGCAGAAGAGCTGTATACTTATGCTAAGTATTTGGCAGACATAGTTATTCCCCAGGTATGTATAACTTTAGTATTTCAGTTATTATTTCGTTTAATACAAACATATACCCGAGATCGAAATTATCGCAAATCAACTAGAGATTATGAAAAAAGTGTATTTGTCATGTGTTGATATATAGAATTCTCATAAAAACCTGTTATTTCGAATGGCCAATGCAATTACGTCCTCTGTCGGCCGTGCTAGCAACTTTGAAGTAACTTCCAGAGATTTACCTTGGCAACTCTCATTATACTTTTTGTTCTGCAAAACCTCAAATGATTCACAATATGAGATGTCTCACAATTTTCATTTTTTTGGTTTCTTGTTCCGCGAAATGAGCATACCATAAATCAACCAACTCTTTTATACTCTTTTTCTTCTTCTTTTCCTTACGGAAAAAGGAATACGGTCTGAACACCCAGGAGAAACTGACGATCGGCCAAGGCATTTGCACGCCTCTGCTGAAGAAGATCAAGGCCGACTTGCAACGGAACATCGAAGAGTCCGACGAAGAGACCGTCAACAGACTGAACCCGAGATACTCGCACGGAGTGTCAAGCCCCGGTCGGCATGTCAGAACCAGGTTGTACTTCACCAGCGAGAGCCACATACATTCGTTGATCACCGTTCTGAGGCACGGAGGATTATTGGACGTGAGTGCTAGATCGTTCATGAATCATAAACAGTAGGTATATGCCTATTGACCATTCTAGAACACGTGATTTTGTCAAGGTTTCTTGGAGGGCACACAAACCATCTGTAGGGTTACCTTTCATGAGCATAACCCTGCCCACATCCACAATATAATAATAGCTTCACCAAACAAAATAATGAAATTCGGTTATAGAAATGGTTGTGTATACTTAGTATAATAATCAATACTATTGAGTAAGACTCAGGTTATAGTACACAATTTATTTATTTATTGAATAGCAACTCGAACGATTTCGGCACTAGGCCATCAATTCATTTTTCAGATACTCTCCTGATGATGGCCTAGTGCCAAAAACGTTCGAGTTGCTATTCAATAAATAAATTGTATACTATAGCCTGAGTCTTACTCATTAATATTGATTATTATAATGAAATTCTTTTGGGTTCGAACTCAGGATCCATGGAAAAATACCCACTACCTCTCGTTTCATTGAACAAAATTTGACAAGATACAAGCTACATTCCGAATTCTACTGACAGTACTGAATCTGCTGATTTTTCATTCTGAGATCAAAAAATTCACTGAAAGTGACAGATACTTGTCAGCAAATATAGTATTCATTCCAAATATTTCGGCTCATCATTCTGCTGGAATTGCTGACTATCAAAAGGTAGTGTGACTTCACTGAGCTGTTATTATGTCATTTCTGCTGTTTTAAGTTTTGTCCTATCAATGAAAAATTAATAATCTCATGAAAAATTAACGCCCTAGTGCGGTAAAGGGAAAAAATGATTCCAGTTTCCAGTTTTCTACTTGAAGAAAAAAGAAAAAAGAACTAATTGATCATACATTTAGCAGGTACTAAAGGTTCAAAAGCTTCATTTCCTGCTATGTCTTTATCTGAATAAATAATTTCGTGATCAGAATTCTTGTTGATAATTATTTTCTCAAATTGAAATGAACGCGTCAAAGTTGACAGTTATCAGAATGAGTGACAACCGCGAGAACACAATAGATTCACGACAAGTATATGTATACGCCCAACCCTTGCAACGCTTGCTTGTTACATATTCCTAATATGTCGTCAACTCAAGGAATATTAACTACTTATGATTAAATAATTAGCTTTTTTCGTAGTTGGTAAAATATTGTACTATATTCGTATGATAAATTCATATTACGATAATCGATGGGTTATCAAACTCTTATTTAACAAATTTCCCATCACATCATAGTATGAATCTTTTCGATACTCGTGTCGTAAATATCTGTTACGTAAATGCGTCATTTTGCGTTTCCTAATTTGGTTCTACCGATTATATACAATTATTTAGTAGGCAAGTTAACTTCGCCCGTAACTTTGAAGTATCCGTCAAACAATAATAATATGGTCGAAAATTAGCAACTTTTTATGTAAAGTAAAGGCCGATTCATGTAACAGTCATTATAAATTATGAATGTTGAAAACTCCTATGATATAGAATGCGTTCATGCAACACATTAACACATTTTCATTACATTTTCATCACATTAGTCCACTAAGAAGTTGACCAACTTCTAACTTTTCATTATAGTTCTAGTGAAAACGACTGATTTGCAAGATGAGATCATTGAATGATCATTTTTTCCACAAAACTATTTGTGATTCATCTCAGATATTATATTCAAAATAAATCCATATTCTTAAATAACCTATAAACATTTGTAAAATCCAAGCAAATCACATAACCTCGTATAATTAGTTCGTTATGAGCATAAGTTGCATGAACGGGAACCTCGCGGCTATTGAAAATGTAATTATAATGTGGTGAAAATGTAATTATAATAGGTGAGTTTTGTTGTGCCATTCCGGAAGCGCTAGAATGAGTGGGCCCAAGAAAACGGATCGGCGCATGATCGGCGACACACAATGTGAACATTTGGAACTGTTGTAACATTTTATATTTTCAACCTCAAAATCTGATAAATTTTTCCTCGTATTTGTCTCTGGCATGTAACAATTTTACCATCACCATCATTCTGCTTTTACTCCTATGAATCAAAAATTGTCAGACTAATTTAATATCCAAGATTCTCAACTAACGTTCGAGAATAATGTTTGAATTTTTGGGAGACATCAATGCCTCAGATGGAGGAATTCCCGTTTTTCTGAGGTTCTCTTCAATTTCTATTCATTATTAATAGCTTGTATGCGATAAATGCTAACATTTTTTACTTTTAACTGTCAATTCTCATGCCACAATAATAATCACAAGTCACTTTGGAATGCCAAGAACCAGATTGAGTTATGGCACCACAAAACGCACCTAATGAATGTTGCATGAATCCGCCTTGAGACGTTTCAAAACCTCCGTCAGTTTCAAAAAGTGCAACCTACATGTCAAATTTGAAAAACTATGTAATTCGATTCGATGATCATCAAGGTCAAGAAGGACGAGCAATGGCGGCGAGCGATGGAGTACGTGTCCATGGTGTCGGAGCTGAACTACATGTCGCAGATCGTGATCATGCTGTACGAGGACCCGACCAAGGACCCGAGCAGCGAGGAGCGCTTTCACATCGAGCTGCATTTCAGCCCTGGCGTAAATTGTTGCGTGCAGAAAAACCTGCCGCCCGGACCTGGCTTCCGGCCACATTCCCGGAACGAGTCTGCCGCCAGCAAAAATTCCGTAAGTGCCTCGCAAGAATTCAATACTACCATATACATATCGATGAACACCATGGATAATCTCTATTTGTTTCAATAGCAAAAAAGTAGGGTCCCTTGTTGCCAACTGACGTATTTGTCATCTAACAGGGTACGGACAGATCATAGAGCTCCTTTCTCTTTCAATCATCTAGTGACTTTGGGTTCGTGTATTGGCGTCCCTGACATGACATTGCTGTCACGTCACATTCATAGGCGTTAAAAGAGATCTTACAAAATTTTAATTCTATACTTGATATTAATACGACATTATTCAATATTGTTTTGGAAGGATGGTAAAATGTGCTGCGTTAGGCTGTATCAATCAGTTGGATGGCAAATTTGAATTTGTCAGATTTCCATCAAAAGCAAATGAACTTGGAAACATGGAAAGTGAAGTGACCTAATAGGGAAAATTGGTAAATACATCAACAAAATATTCGAGGTAAAACTAGTACGAAATCATATACCTATTATACTTTCTCGCATTTGCAATGCATTTTAGTAGAAATAGTAGAAGATTAAAAGAAGAGGCATATGCCCTACCATTTGAAAAATTATACCTACATTCAGGAAATATTAAGTGTTCGTGAAAAACTGCAAAAATGTCCAATCAAAAAATTAACCAAATCTCCATTAGTTTTTTTTTCGAATATCTCCGGAAGTAAAATTTTCATGTTCATTGACTTGAATGGGCATTTTTTTGCCAATTTAACCTACTGCGTTACTCTTGCGGTAACTGAGAATCCCATGCTGTTCATCCTTATTTTGGGTACTTTGGTAACATGACCACATTCGGCGACTTGAACATTGGCGTGTTTTGATGAATAAATAAATAGTAGAAATTGTTATTTCTATGAAATGAAAATAACTATCTATCTTTCTAAGCTAACACCAGGTAGGCACTTCGAAGGCGCAAATTCATCACTGCATGGGAGATACCCTTCAGATTTTTTGCTATTCAGTGACTTGACCACAATGACATTGACGTTTTAGTCTTCTGCGTAACCAAAATTCAAATGCCACGAGTCGGCTCTTGCCAGATTCGATGTGTATACAGAGTTTTAGTTGAAAGACATAACTGGTTCTTAGAGGATTTAACTGTGCTCTTACCCTCTTAGGAGGAACTGCGATTTGAGATTTGTTTTTGTTGATATTTGTTTTTAACTGACATAACATCATAGACGGCAACCGGAAACGGCACTAACGCCAGTCATTTTTGAGGTATATTGTCGCCAATCTATTTTATATAGTATCTCTTGTTGATTCAAATCATTCACATAGCAGAGTCTGAATACATCTGCCACTGCCACTCCCGAGGACGCGAAAAGCCGATGTTCGCCGAGGATAGACGAGGAGGTGGAGTTAGCGATGGATGAGGACAAGGAGGCGTCGTCGTGTCCTGTCATGGTTAGGGACTCCTCGCCGATGAACATGGCCGACTTCACGCCGCCAGACTCGCCCGAACTGCCTTACAGGAACCACACGAAGTCGGATCCGATACCAATTGGGTTAGTACAAGCCCTAACCACAACCTCAATTTATAATAATAATAATAATCTTTATTATTCCCAAGAAGAGAAGAGCAGGGAAAATTATGAAAGAGCAACTAAAAAAAAAATTAGAAAATCAGATAATCATTTTTAAATCATATGCATAGTACATATAATGTCGTTTCTTCTAGAGAGTGTTGAATATAAGTTCTTGAATTGATTTAGGATGATATAATCAAAGACACAAGTATTTTTTCAGTTTGTTTTTGAAATTCTCAACACTTTATTTTTTCTTCAGTTTGGCAGGTAATTCATTATAGAGAATTGTTCCATTGTATAAATAGACCTTTTACCCATATCTGATTTAATTTTGATGAGAGTTAACATATCTTTTGGTCTAGTTATGTGTTCGTGTTTATGACTATTGACTTCAAAATTTAGATTTGAATGTTTATAGTTAATATCTAACAATTGCCTAGGTTTATAAAGATTTCTTGTTGGTTCCAAGTAATCTAGTTTGTATATACATTTAATAACTTTGTTTTGAAGGATTTTGATTGGCTCCATGATTGATAATCTAGCTGTACCCCAAACTGAAATCAAGTATTGTAATTTTGAATAAACCAAGGAAAAATATATACATTTCAAGTATTTCAAAGTGATTTGGTGTCTGATCCTGTAGGTCCATTTGAAACACTGTTCATGATTGTTTTTCTATCCTCAAAAAAAAAAAATCAAATTCAGTAAGTACTTCTCAGCATCATATCTTGATGTTCAAAAAGATCATAAAATCTTCAGAAAGTGACACTTGTCCCGGGTAATTTTCCGAAAGATATACCTCATAGAAAGAAGGTTCATTTAGGCCTAGTTAGGTTTATTTGTTTAGAAACGGTAGTCTCCTTTTTTTGTGCAGAATAAATAGTATATTGTTCAACGAGCGCGGAATGTTAGTCATTTCCCACGAAAATGAAAATTGCAGCATGCGCTGTAGGCATTTTCGGAACTTTGTTTGTGTGAACTTTTTGTCTCAAAACCACTAAAAAATTCACCCTTTGTTGTTTGTTTTATTTTAGAAGTTCCCATACTGTTAGTGGGCATGAAGCATCTCACCTTGCTAAGAGACTCAACGAAGAACTTGCAAACCAAGCTGCCCAACAGAACAACAAAAGTTACGGGTCGAATCGATCGACTAGCCCAGAACCTGAACAAAGATCTAGGAGCTATGATCACAAGAGTCCACAAAAAGGAAAGCGTAAGTGGATAATTTATCTCTGTTTTTTTGTTTTAAATTTTTTGTGAACTTAAATCACATTTACTTGCTTATACACTGTTGAATCTTTTTTTTTTTTGAAAAACAGTAGGCGGTCATTCAGAATACACAATTCTGTCATACTTCCGATTGTTTATGGTACATATTAACTCAAATAATAGGTTTCTTCTCTAGTTGGGAAATAGCAAAATTGAACAAAATATTTTCACTGGATTATATATGATTATCTGGTAAAAATGCTTGGGGGCTTTTGATTCTAGATTATTTTGTCCCGAAATTATCTTGCACTGAAAAACATATGAAATCGGTCAGAAATGTGTCCTGAACACGTTTACTAAATATTTCCGGAACGCTACACAATGATAATTCAATAGGGAGTCAATTAGTTGAAATAGGAGAGAACCACTCCAACATAGGGAAAGTCTCAATGGGAGTACCGCAGGGATCAGTCTTGGGCCCTATTCTCTTTCTCCTATATAAACGACTTAGCCTCCATTGGTATTTAGGGTAGTTTTATCATTATCGCTGATGACTCATTTATGTGGCGTGGTAAAGATATAAAACACCTAAAGGAAACAATTGTTTCAGATATAATAGAAACTAAGCAGTGGTGCGACTCCATTAAACTTTGCTTCAAATTGAATAAAAATTGTTGAATTACATTCAAGTTCAATTATTGTGATGATTTTTATTTGGCGGGCCATATTATTATGAGTAAACCTAACACAAATTTTTTAGGGATGATTATACATAGATAGTAAGCATGAACTTGACGATCGTGTCATTTCTTCGAATAAAATAATTACCTCAGGTTGTTTGGCGATAAAAATCGTATCTGAGGAACTCAATGTAGCCCCAGCCAGGATGGTATATTTCTCCTTGATTGAGTCTCTTTTGAGATATGGTATTGTTATTTGGTGTTTATGTAGTGAATATGTATTCAATTCTGTATTTTTACTACAGAAAAGAGCAATTCGGTATCTGGGTGTGGCATAGTATCGTGATCATTGCAAACCTCCATTTATTAATCAACAAATTCTGACACTGACTTGCTTATTTATTTTGGAAACTGCCAGTCTCATTTATGAGAAATATGGTAAGACTCTTGAGTGAACGGAACTATCAAACAATAAATGAAGGTTGTATCTCTTTACCAATACCTAAGTCTAATCATCTGCCAATAGCATATAAGAAGATCAATTCTCTGAACATACTGCTATAAATTATACATACATAGGTTTTCACGATGTGCGCACCACTATCCTATGTTTGTGATACAATTTTATTCCATTTTATTTATGTTTGTTATGTGTTTCTATACATTCCATGCTATGTCAATAAGATCTATATCTTCGACAATAAAGTATACTTTTGATTGATTGATTGACTAATCCTGTGATCAAATCTCACGGAGTTTTTGTTGTTCCTATTATCAAAAGTTGTATGGAGTAGATTATTTTATTGTGAAGCATTTAGAAAATATCCAGGAGGAAACGTCTTCAGGACCCTACTATCTCAAAGAGCGATTACCTGTGCAGCCTTCTTTCAACTCATGTTTGTCTGCAATTGTTTTTATTATTTTTGCTCCAAGAAGCAGGTGATAAAATATTGCACGTTAATATCGGGACACCCTATATACCCGCTAGCAAGAGCAAGATTATTTAATCTTCTGAAAATACGGCTTTTGTCGAGGGTTTATATGAACCTTAACAACTGGTTCATGCTGTGATTATTTTTCACAAATTATGATATTTTTTTTAAATCACTCTCCGCTATGTATTGAAATGAGGTGCCTATTCACAATCGAGATGTGAGTATTTATGCTAGTAACAATAGAGTAGAACTAGATTATAATATTATTTAAGTTGAAGTATTGACCTCAGCGGTATTTTTTTCATTTCTTTTAGTTCTGTATCAGTTTTTACCAATCTTCTATCATGCATTGAATGCAAACAAACTATTCACTATTATTCACTTGACACTTACTATGTTTTAGCTTGTGCTTCTTTGAATATAATACTTTATTCGCACATTCATGATTGTATTTGATGAAGTCACTGTAATACGTTTTTTTGTAGAATCTGTTACAATGAGATATCACATCAAGTACAAGAAGCTTTTCTCTGTCTCTGTGGGAAAGGAGAATTTCATTAGAAATTGGATGATAAATCATGAGAAACCAAAATAGAATATTATACAATGAATATTGTAGGTAAAATTGAAATTTTGTTAGAATAAATAAATGATGTTTCACCATTGGATATTGATGTCATTATTTTAGATTGTTTCACGGAATAGGCACCTCAGTATTAACAGAATCGGCAGCCATTCGTTTCTTATTAATTTCCTAAACATAAATTCTTGTAATTTTTGTTTATCGCTTATTATTTGGCATGTTTTTTTAATTACAACTTTATTTGGGCAGCTGAAAAGTTACATCAAAGTTTGGACGCGGTTAATAACCAAGGTATGCTCTTCATATTTTTGTCCAAAGTTCCCCTTTTTTATCCATTTAATGAGTGTAAACGCTTACTGACAGTTTTGATATTAATATCACAACATTCGTATTTTATTTTTCATCATGGACAATTAGTTTCATTTGAACCTTCGAGCTATCAAGTGAATTTTGGATATGCGTTATATAATTGTCATTAATCAATTTGATAATTTTTTTTTCTTCGATCATATTCAAATTTACTCGATAACGTGCATGTATATTCGATTCTCATAACCAGTATTTCATCGTGTTTGTCTTATTTATTTTAATAATCCGATCGAGGTGTAATGGTGTCTCGTAGATGAACTTGGGCTTCGCATGAGCAAAGTCAAGTTGATGTGGCATAATATTATGTACTCGAAACTCATCTGTCTGGCAACCCTGTGCGACTGGTGGTATAATCTGTAACGGAGGTGTATCAAATCCTTGCGTTTTATCTTAAAACGTTTAGAGTTTGGTACATCTTCGGCTATTCCCTTGGTATCATTCTTCATCTCCCTTCTACCAACATCAAATGCTCCTCTTCTATTGCTTGGCTGATATTTGGCGTGGGTATTGTTTTTCTAGTGATGCATGTTCGGTTTCTCATTAGTATTTTTAGATTTGAATTTTTGGGACTAACACTAACCACTAATATCGTGTTCAAAGTTTTTCGACATGAAATATGCAATTATTTCAACTCATTTCTCTCTCATAAACATTGGCAATATTTTTCAAACTAGTTAAAAAAAAGAGTAAAAATGTGATCAAATGTTTTTGAATAATATTGATTCTTTTAAACAAATCATCTTTTCATTTCTCATCTCGTTGGACTAAACTGAAAAGACCCAACATCTTGCTAATAGCAGATTGAGTAAGTGAAAATATATCTAATAAAACTCTTGAAACTGTGTTGTGGAGAGCAGATAAAAAAAACGTTTTATCGTAAACTTCATGCGAATGTTATGCACAAGTATTGATAGACCAAATTATTGTTCACTCTAAGGTAAGTAATGGAGATACGAAAGTAATATACTTATAGTTTTCAATATGAGACCATCAAAAGGTTGACACTCGACGACTAACATTCGGGGTATGATTTCAACTCATGCTTTTGTAAACAAATATTGCTATTAAAACGGAGTTCAACTGTTTACTTGTGAATGTTGCATTTTCTTCTAGACCGCAATGTTAGTATTATAAAGGAAGGGTTATTAGCATGTATAATTTCAAGTTATAGAACTACACGGCATCACTAGAAGTACTAATTGGTGTATTTTATTTCTTTTCCTCTATCCCTCTGCCGGCTATCCTCATATGTGTACGTTAACATTTGCATCACCCACGCATACACTAAATCTCTACTTCCTCCCCATTCGTACAAAGATTCACCTCACGACACCGATCATTCCATCACCCCCACAAACACCCCTATCACCCCTCCTATCGAGATCCCCATCCGAACTATCAGTCCAGAAAACCGGCATATTCTGCAGGTGGACAAGTTCAATTTCGCTCCTATAAACGAGGGCAACCGTAAGGCAGAGTTGAGTCCTATCTCTGGCTCCTTTGACAGCAACGCCGAGTCACCTCTAACCGTGCAGACCCCAAAAAGCGAGGGCACTGGGGATTATAACAAGTCCAGCCCTCAGAACGCCGCCACCAACGAACTACCTCTCACCGAGCTCAATCTAGCTTTGTTCACGTCCAAATTAGAAACTAGGAGCTCGTGTATAATGAGCACCAACGAACTGCCTCTGAGCGACCTGAGATTCAGCAGCTCATGCAAGGTTTCCCGGCAAAATACGGTGGACAGTCAGATCGACGACGTATCCATAGAAGCTAACTGGGATACGGACGTCAAAGAGGACGAGCACAAGCTCAAATGGAGCCGAGAGACACGACACAGATCCTTCTCGGATCCTAACATACTCGAAGGGGAGTGGATAAACCGCACCGACAAGCACTTCTTGCTGCAAAAGTACAACGACAGTCTCAAAGCGGAGACCGCCTACGCAAGCCTATCCCCACCCACCTCGTCCCGCAACTTCCCCTTCAGCTCCTATCCCGAGCATGCGCCCGAGGCGAACTGCCCGCTTTCCCACCCCCCCTCCCTGCGCTCGCCGTTTCGCCCCCTCCCTACGTGTGTTGCGCCCCCAGAGGCCGGGCATGCGGTCGCGAAGCGCCATCGTCACAGCATTGCCGGGCAGATGAGCTACTTCAAGATGCTGGGGTTCGGCTGCGGCGGCCCAATGGGGATCAAGAAGATGGTTGGCAACAGCGCCAATTCGCTGTTCTCGACGGCGGTGATCAGTGGAAGTTCGAGCGCGCCGAATCTGAGGGATATGATAACGAGTTCGAATAGTGCGACAGGTATGGTACATTTCTCTTCTATTCATTACACCTTTTTCAATAATTGTAATACAGAAAGTATAAAATGTAATTCAGAAAGTATAAGATGTAATTCAGAAAGCATAAGTTGTAATTCAGAATAGTCAATTGAAATTCAGAAAGTATAACTTGAAATTCAGATTAGTTAATTGTAATTCAGAAAGCGTTATATGTAATTCAGATTAGTGAAATGTAATTCAGAAAGTGTTACTTGTAATTCAGGATAGTGAAATGTAATTCAGAAACCGTCAATTGTAGTTCAGAAAGCATAACTTGTAATTCAGAAAGTATCACTGATGATTCAGAAACTAGGAACAACCCGTATGCATCCATTCTCCTTGAGGTCCGGGTGTTGGAGAACGACTTCTTCATCTATGTAGAGCAGAATATTGAACAGGCCAATGATACAATTGTTGGAGGTGCTAAGGCTGCACAACATACCACCATTCACCATGCTGCAGCTCTGGCATTTGATAAATATAAAATATTTATGTTCACCACACAATGAACCATTCGTTGATTTCTATTCCCTACCCTTATTCAAATCCATAGTATTTATAAATTACAAGTGATGCTTCCTGAATTACAAATTACGCTTTATCAATTAAAATTTACTATTCTCAATTACAAATTACACTTTCTGAATTACATTTCACTATTCTGAATTACATGTTATGCATTCTGAATTACAATTGACTAATCTGAACTACAATTCACGCGTTCTGAATTACAATCAATTTTTCTGAATTACAAATTACACTTTCTGACTTACATTTTACTAATCTGAATTACAAGTTACACTTTCTGAATTACAATTGAAAAAGGTGTAGTTCTAGGCAAAGTTGGCAAGCTATACAGGAATTAGCCTGTCAAACTTCTCTTGCGGCTTCTACGACAAAAAATAGGAGGAAAAGCTTCAATGAACATGAGTAGAAAAATGTCTCCTAAGGAAACTACGGCGCTTGAAAGTGGGCTCCTGGAGATGATATTCCTCGAATATTTCTATAACACCATGTGATAAACTGATGAAATTCGGTACAAATATTCAACTTCCTAAGCCGAATGCAGTGAAACTAAAATTCTTTCAAAATTTCATTCAGGAAAGTATAATACAGGGTGAGACTACCTTAAATATTACTCCAACTTATTTGTAGGCATACTTTTTGACAGTTTAATTCCGGATTATGTAAATACACACCAGTTTATAGAAAAAAGGTACTTTTGTTCCGTATCCATCAGATGTGTCATTTTCGAGTAAATTCGATTCAAAATTATTGTTACATATCAGATATTATGCATAACATTGCAATAAATCATAGTGGATATGAAAAAAAAAATGCTTTTTATCATGATTTTCCTATTTGACGCAATTCGATGAGATTGTTTGGTGAAAATAAAGTATTTGATTTTATTATAGTCACTGTCTCTATGATTTGAAAATTGGCAACGTTATGCATAAGATGTGAGTGCTACAATATTTTTAAACCGATTTCACTCAAGAATTATACATCTGATCGATATGAAACAAGAGCCCCTTTTTTTCTATAAAACGGTGTGGATTTTTTCAATCCGAGATTGAATTGTCTTAAAATATGCATATAAAAGTTTGAGCAATATTCAATGTAGTCCCACCCTGTATTATACACTACTGAATTGAATTTTGGAATGATTTTATTTCCAATGCATTGAGCATGGAAAGTTTAGTTTTTGTATTGAATTGCATCATTTCATCACTGGGAGTTTTAAAAAAATTTCAAGAAATATCATCTTCAAGGAGTCTCCTCTCGGGGGACCGTAGCTCCCTTAGATGACATTTCTCGACTCATGTTCATTGAGAGTTTTCTTCCTATTTTGGTCGTCGAAGCCGCAGGTGGAGTTTGGCAGGTTAATTTCGGGACACCCTGTATAAATATCAGTGATAAATATCTGGATATATATCTTGAGATATCAACTTTTTTTTTCTAAAATCAGTATAAAAATATGGCCACGCTGGCGCTGCACCGGCAATAGCGTTACATACCACAGTTATTTCCGGTGATTCCCCGTCTTTCCGAGACGTTGAAGCCGAACCACCTTTTCGCGTGACATTTTTATTTATTTTTTATTTCTGATTGAACGGAGAAATATCTTGCCGTTAGTTCTATCAATAAAAATTGGATCCAAGAAACCTGGAGTGAATCTTATGTGATATTATAGGTACAGATAGGTATCAAATGTATTTAGATAGGTACTTATGGAGATTTTTCCTTTGTCCTCATGTTCAACAAGGAGTTATGCAGTTTTGAACATATAACTTCATCGCAATAATCAAGTATAAAATTGATATTACCTAAGATCTAATAATAATATTCTTGACTTTTCGGAAATGAATTCAATGACAATTTCTCACAAGTAGCAGTTAATAAAAATTGCAACATTTCGTTGTTCGTGAACTAACCGATTAAAATTGATGACCTACGTCTCAGTAGTTTCTCTCTCCTATATTACCATACCTCCACGTAAGTCTGAGATCAATTAAATTTGACCCATATTTCAGTGCCCATGTTCTGTTCAGAAATTTGGTATGAAACCATAGGATTCTAGCATTCTAGTCGTAAGATATAAATATTATGAGTTCTGTGTTCAGATCCTATAAACACAGATTCGGTTCCAGTTTTGGCGAGGATATCGTCTCCTCAACTATATTGATTTCAGATTTTTCAAAGACATCCGACCTGACAACCAACCAGTAAATCACTGCCATTGTTAATCATTATTAACAATTTCATTATTAAAAACTGGCTCGGCATCTAGACCACGACCAATGAAAATCGAGGTCAAACAGTCCCTAGGCTTGTTTTGATTCTTCTAGAACGGTCATACTTAGGAATGTGCAGTAAAAATTTTCAACTGCACATGAGTAGATGCAGGATGTAAAACGGAAGAAGAACCACACGCTTCATTCTTAACTGCCAGTGGTGGAAAACAAATGTTCTCTTCTGTTTTCATCAGACATCAAACCCACAGTGAACGATTGTTCTGCAGATTTTTTCACAAGAAAATATTAGCTACGAGATTTAGTTCCTATCAATTTGTTACTTGAGGTTGTAACCCTGAATTCAAGGACAGATAAAAATAAAGAAATTGTTATGTTAGATGAGTTAACTGGGACTACTGGAAAAATGTATTAAATACAGAGGGTAGATTACCAGGATACAAAAACTCTCCACTGATAAAAAGCTCGCAATTTGATAGATATCACATTGTTTAAAAAAAAACTATTTGAAAGTGTGAACATTCTCTATTGGGGAACAATAGAGGCTTGGATCCTTAGCGGTCTAGATAATTTTCGCGTTTTATTTGTTACATTCTGGTAGCGGTGGTGGGAACAGAATGACGTTTACAAATAAAACAAGAAACTTCATGACCTTGCATGACAGAATTGACATATTACAGATGATAGAGGTTCCGAATAATTTCAAAATCATATTTGGAGCACTGATTGTGGTGATGGGAGACAGTTCTCTGATATCGAGAGAATTCATTTTACTGGGAATGAACATATGGAACCTGTCTTACTTGAAAGAATCATAAACTTGTGAACCTCAAAATGTCTTCTACTGTCAAAAAGTTTCGTTTTTCGTCAATATAACCTAATTTTTTGACAACTGTCAACAATCATTCCACGTCATTCCTTGTAGTGAGGCGAAACGAAACGTAGCAACCGGAATCCGGAAAGTTGCAAATAAAACGATACATTAAATTAAAGTGATTCCGGTGGCGGAATCGGATAAATAAAACGTAACTAATGGGTTAGGTTCGTGAGTTTACTGAACAGTTTTATACTCTTCATCAGGTGCACTCCTTTTTTTTTTCACGTATTAATGGACGCCAACTGAAGACATAATCCGATTGATGTATTTTTGTCTGCCTCAAATTTTGGAAACGGATTTTTGATGGAGCCATTATGCCATTCTTTCTATAGACACAATTTCTAAAAGTTGTTGCTGATGTTCGGATAGTGGATGAAACATCCTTATCATTTTTCAGCCATAGACGGTTTCGGAGGAGTACCAGCAATAAGACCTTTGGAAACGCTGCATAACGCTTTATCTTTGAAGCAAATCGATACGTTCTTGGATAAAATGACATCGGCTCCACTGTATCGAACTCCGTCAGACACTCCTCCGAGGTACCCTTCAACACCGTTGCCAACACCAACCAATGGGACAATATTGTCGACAGGTTCGATGTTGGGAAAATCCAGGCCGCTCAAGTTACAATCACCGTCTAATAGTAAGTATATACATATAAATACCACTTGCTCGTCAGCTTTTCACTATAATGCCGTAATGAATTGACGTATTGATGATGAATCAATTTTTGATTGAAGATAGCAACAGGAAAATCAAATTTCTATGGCAGTTTTTTCGAGTTTAGTTTTAATTTTTCATTTTTATCGAAAAAGGGTATGAAATATTCAGCAATGACTCGTCTATTTGAGATGGGATGATAATGCATAATCAGAATGAAAAACAACATGGTTCACACTAAACATGGTCGAGATTGAATTCAAAAGTATAACTTTGAGTTGGTATGAATATTTCTGGCTTCGACCTCAGATCTGATTACAGATCACCAAACCTTCAATCTGTGATTTGATGATGCATGGAATATAGGTTCAGGCCACCAAATTTGCAAGGTATTCAAAGGACCCCGCACTTTTTCTATATAAAAATGGCGTTCCGTCGAATTTCCCCAATTTTTGGTAAATGATAGTACTCGACATACTGATTGAATATGCCAAGTCCCAACTCAATCCTATGACTAGTTTACGAGATACAGGGTGTTGAAGTTGAAGAATACCTAATTTTTCTCGGCCTATATCTCTAAGATAGGACAAATGAATTCCAATTTTTCGGGAGCACGTAATAGTTATGCCCTTAGGCGCAAGAACTATATAGGTATTCGACCAAAACTGATTTTTATTACAGGGTGATTCTCATTTCAAATAATGTGTTTTTTTGAATATCTGAATATCAATGCTACAAATTGATAACAATTACAAAATGAGATTTATAGCCAAGTATGCTCTTCTTACATCAATTGAATTCGTAAAATATAATAATTATACATGGTGTTTCATTAATGCTGTTGATTGCATAATTGGTCTATCCTAAAGTTCATTGGGCCACCTCGTATTATCGGGTTGATTCCAGACATTCAAAATATTTTTGAAGGATGTATCCCAATGAGTTCCATGATATACAGAGTGATTCATCGATTGAAAAAATTGACAACCACGAAAAAATATTCAAAAACCACTATTTTTTTCATCACCCTCTAATTCGAAATTATTACCGTCGATGTAAGATTTTTTTCCACCAATATACTCAGTATGGATATTTCAATCAAATTGGGAATTTTCAGACCCATGCTATGACTAGTTTTTTTTATACATCGAATAATGTGAAAATAATTATGGAAAAGTAATTACATAATAACACGAAAAATTGCTCCGAATCGCAAAACTAGTAGTCACTAGTCAACTATGTCAAAAAATGTGATTTGTTCGTAAACAAAATCTAGTGGTCTTATTATAGGTCCGCTAGCAAAACATCTCGAAAATGTTTTTCAGAAAACATCAAACAAATCACAATATGCCCCCGAAAAAATCTCATCAACGACACAACTATTCTACGCACCCCTTTCATCAACTTTCAACTCATCAACGATCCCACTCATAAACGTGCTAAAACTCATGAGCGTTCGAAGTCGACAGCGGTTTTTCCCAACTCAATCCTATGACTACTTTTCGAAAAAAGTATGAAACTAAACTTCCGCAAACGCCTAGTAAGAGGTGCGCGTTAATATATTTTGCAACTCTCCTATATCCAACCAACTTCCAATCTTTTGACCATACTGTATATTGTTAGAATCGAAGTTAGTATATGCACATCGCAAAGACACTAAAGTTGGAGTTTTGGTTATGTAGATATTCGTTACCGGGTTCAGTATAGGCCTGAAAGAAAAATGTCAATTAAGAATTTCAATCACAGATTTTGAAAAAATAGACAAACCAACTCGTTTCCCCACCACCTGAGAGGTAGAGTTTCAGGCGCGTTTTTTTTATTGTGGTATCCCCTGTAGGCCTAGTCCACGTTAGAAAGTGAAAGTTCCAATACCTATAATATGATTGTGTGTAGGCAGGATTGGCGCAGTGGACGAGCACCCGAGTCAGGACTGCGGGGTCGTGGGTTCGATTCCCAGACAGCGCAAGGAATTTTTCGAATATTAATATACGAATTAAATATTGTGAAGTTTCGGAGCATCGGCTGGGGATAGTCCTGCACGATTCACTGTTGCGTGCCTACATACAATATAGATACATGTTCAGAACACTATGGGCTAAAGGACCTCATTAGGGATCGATGGTTGGTTGGTATGTACATACCTACCAACGAAGGACATATACTACTACTACTACTATAATTATGTTTCACAAGGAACACAGAAATCAACTAATCGCCAGATTCAAATCAGTTCCGGACCGATGTTCATATTTTCAGGATTCAATCGATTTGCAGCATCGTCGATACAATTCAAAAGGCGATCAGATGGAAAGGTAATATTTCCTTGGTTTCTTGCGTATCCAAGGAACCATACCACACTGGCTACGTGTGCACACGTCCCTAATGTTCTAGCACCGGACCTACAAGTACAGTAGTACCCTAAAATGGGCGGATCTTGTAAATTATTATCATCGATTTCTCTGAATACTAACCACAGCATATGTTTAGTGGCATTTCTGAACCGAGAAAATACTCGAAATCTTAAAAAATTGGGTTCCTCAATGAGTTCGTCAATATCGAGTGTATTTTGTTCCCCTCCATCTCTTTGTATCGTGTCTTGTATGTAGGAGGCAGCTAAGTGAATGTGATATGACCCTGTGAGTGTTTTCAAATATTCTAAGTCAAGTCGAGGAAACGTCGGTACATGTCTATGGTTCAAACGAAACCATCGACCATTTCTTGTACGGAGGTTTTCAGCCTCAACTCGGGCCTGAACAATGTTGACTTCTTCGATATCATGCAACATTTGTGTAGCTAATTCCAATGTGCCCGGCATCCTTATTGGAGGATGGTATTTGTTTATTAGGGCGCCAGCAATCAAATAGAATTCGCGTAATTTTGCAACATGTGTTATTGATATCGCTCCTCGGAAAAATTTGAAAATCGATTTGAAATGCCCATTTCTAGCCTCTACAATCCATCTGGTGCTAGTAATTAAGCGTGCCCTATTAGTTTCGATTGTTGTGAGTTGTCTTTGGTTTGGTGGTAGAAATGGTGGCATATGGTAATGGAGACCAAGATCCTGTAAAAGACCAATAGAGTCCCTATAACCCCTATCGACTATCACTACATCGCCTTCTTGAAACCATGTCCTCATTCTATTTATATCATTCTGTAGCTCATGCTGCAGAATGGTGGCATCATTATTTCTAGCATCAGAAAAGTATGGACCATTAATTGCCAAGATGTAGCCATCAGGAGCGACCATAATTTCAGGCTTAACCAGGTGCTCATTTTTATGGAAGCAGTAGGATTGTCTCAATATCCGGAAATTACTACTTTTTTCTATTTTGTTATATGTACAGTCTATATACACAATTGCTTTTGGGATATTGGGAGAAGGGTTGTATAGCTGATTGGTGTATACAGACACGTGTCTATTAATATAATCGTCTCTTGTAATAGAGTCGAAACCAATATTATTAGTTACAAATCTTTGCATTAGAGATATCCTCACATTCGATATTATCAAGCTAGTTGTTTGTCTTGAAGAAAAATGAAACAAGATTTTCAAAAACTCATCTGAAACTCCATGTTTCATTTTGATTAGAAATGTCAGTAAATGTTTCTTTTTGATATGCCTTCTATTTCCCCCTTGCTCGATTGTATCACAAAATCCATAAAGTTCTTGAAAATCTTCTTTTGAAATCGACGTCAGAGCTTTGAACTCTTCTTCTGTAAAACTATCAATATCATCCCAGTTTCTAATACGTCTATTTTCATTGGCAACTGTTCTCATACACTGTAGAAATTGAAGCATATTTGATATCAAATAGGGTTTGTTGATAAAATTCAAACCTCCATGCAAATTATTCAAGAGAAATCCATGAGGGTCAAGATGATGACCACAAATTCTCAGAAAGTCCGGAACATAAATATTCGTTACAACAAAAATGTTCACCCTACATGCAAGAGTTATTCTCTGAACATGTTGACGAGCATTACAGATTATGCAGGCACGGCTCATTACTGGACTCAATACATTTAGGCGAAGACAGTTTGGGTTATTTTCCATCTCATTGATATCAATTATTACACTGTTATGACAATTGAAACAAACTCTGGTATCATCAAAAATGTCAATTGGAGGATTTCCAGCAGCTTGTCTTCTAAATGTTGCAATTTGCAGAAAATCAACATTATCTTCACGATTTATACGAATTGTGAGTCTAGGAATGAAATTCCCTTCGCATACATAACATCTTACCCTATTTGCAAATGCCATAATGCGCACTAAATTCACTAAACAATTACTGAAAACGACTTAAAAAACACTCAGAATAAAGATATACGCTGATATGATATTTTAAGATACTGACAACCCGAAAGTTGCTGGATGACAGACACATTTATTGATATCATGATTTTGTTTTCTAAGCCTACTGAAAAATATTCTATCTGGTTGCGATAATCCAAATTCGACTTCTACGAAGTAAAACATACTTATTAATTCGTGACAACCCAAGTTTCTAGACTAATTCGACCCCGCCGATTCCGAAAATATCAGTTGTCAACTTGAATTGGGACTAGAACTTACCCTAAAATATAATTTTATAGTTATTTGAGGATGTCTATCGATCTATTACGGTATGTATATCTTACGATATACATTACCTAATGCCACTATTTCTTCCAACAAATAGATGTTGTTGGAAAACGAGTTGGTTCATGTATTTTTTCAAAATCTATGATTGCAATTCTGAATTGATATTGAGTGGAAGAAAGAGGCTTCGAGATTGTTTCATTATTATTTTACTATATTTTTGATGTGTTGGATAAATGATGATTCCTCGGTACCTACTGATGTTCCTGTATTCCATTTTTCTTTCAAGTCTATACTGAACCCGGTAACGAATATCTACATAACCAAAACTCCAACTTTAGTGTCTTTCCGATGTGCATATACTAACTTCGATTCTAACAATATACAGTATGATCAAAAGATTGGAAGTTGGTTGGATAAAGGAGAGTTGCAAAATATATTAACGCGCACCTCTCACTAGGCGTTTGCGGAAGTTTAGTTTCATATTTTTTTCGAAAAGTATAGTCATAGGATTGAGTTGGGAAAAACCGCTGTCGACTTGGAACGCTCATGAGTTTTAGCACGTTTATATGAGTGGGATCGTTGATGAGTTGTGTCGTTGATGAGATTTTTTCGGGGGCATATTGTGATTTGTTTGATGTTTTCTGAAAAACATTTTCGAGATGTTTTGCTAGCGGACCTATAATAAGACCACTAGATTTTGTTTACGAACAAATCACATTTTTTGACATAGTTGACTAGTGACTACTAGTTTTGCGATTCGGAGCAATTTTTCGTGTTATTATGTAATTACTTTTCCATAATTATTTTCACATTATTCGATGTATAAAAAAAACTAGTCATAGCATGGGTCTGAAAATTCCCAATTTGATTGAAATATCCATACTGAGTATATTGGTGGAAAAAAATCTTACATCGACGGTAATAATTTCGAATTAGAGGGTGATGAAAAAAATAGTGGTTTTTGAATATTTTTTCGTGGTTGTCAATTTTTTCAATCGATGAATCACTCTGTATATCATGGAACTCATTGGGATACATCCTTCAAAAATATTTTGAATGTCTGGAATCAACCCGATAATACGAGGTGGCCCAATGAACTTTAGGATAGACCAATTATGCAATCAACAGCATTAATGAAACACCATGTATAATTATTATATTTTACGAATTCAATTGATGTAAGAAGAGCATACTTGGCTATAAATCTCATTTTGTAATTGTTATCAATTTGTAGCATTGATATTCAGATATTCAAAAAAACACATTATTTGAAATGAGAATCACCCTGTAATAAAAATCAGTTTTGGTCGAATACCTATATAGTTCTTGCGCCTAAGGGCATAACTATTACGTGCTCCCGAAAAATTGGAATTCATTTGTCCTATCTTAGAGATATAGGCCGAGAAAAATTAGGTATTCTTCAACTTCAACACCCTGTATCTCGTAAACTAGTCATAGGATTGAGTTGGGACTTGGCATATTCAATCAGTATGTCGAGTACTATCATTTACCAAAAATTGGGGAAATTCGACGGAACGCCATTTTTATATAGAAAAAGTGCGGGGTCCTTTCTTAGTAGGATATAGAACATTTTTCAACGCATTTTTATCAACATACACACAAAACGAGAGATTTGATGTTGAAGAATAGGATCGCATTGAGAGAAAGAGCGGAACTCACAATAAACTGAGCGAGTATCGAAAAGAACCTTATTCCAATTTTGAACCAACAAGAGACGAAAAACTTGCAGAATTCATTTCGAACATATTTTGAAAAAAAAAAGATTTGAGAATCGAATTTTTAGAGCAGGAATATTAAAAAATCCAATGTTTACGAGTGGAAGATAGTGGGGAGACGCTATGCACTCTCATACAGAAAATCAAAGACAGAGAAAGATATATGAATGTACTCTTCCCAGGACTTGTGGAGGAAGAAAGATGCGAGGATCCTTTATCCAAGCGAAAAACATATTCTTGTCCTTGTCTGGCAAAACATATGATTTGCTTCAAAATCGTTTGTGGTTATGTTTGATTGTCACTGCTTGTCTAGTGTCTGTACTCTAATATACAAAAAACGTGAAAACAGCTGTCAAGTACATTTAGGAACTCTAGTCTCAAGTACATTCAAAGACATGTGATTCTTGTTTGAGGAAACTCTACTCAATTCAAATTGGTAAACACATTTGAAATTACATTAATTACTCGCATAATATGGAGATGGAATTATTTTACCTTACCTTAATTTTCTGATCGAGCGCACAACGCATGTACATCCAACTGGTAGGTTATCTGTCAATCCAAGGATATTTTTGTCAAGTGAGTCAACTGTCACCCATCAGTTGTAGCGCGTGCAATTTGAAATAATTGCCATATCATCCGACGATTTGTTGAAAGCAACTTCATGTCCAGTACACAGCTTCGCGGATGATAGTACTCTCCATACCGCATTCTCTTCCAGTGCTCCAATACCAGCCAGGCAAATCAGAAACGAACGAGGAAGAAATGTTGACAACATAAATATGGACTTGGCAACAATTCTCGAATGGGGATCCAATAACTTGGTAGATTTCAATGCGAACAAAACACAAGCATGCCTTTTCTCTAGAAAAGCCGATCTCACTGTGCCCAACATAAGCTTGTCAGGAGAAACCATACCTTTGAAGACATCCATTTCGATGCTTGGTATTACTATCAGCAATAACCTTTCCTGGGAAAATCACGTGAGATCAATTGCTAAAAGTGCATCCCAAAAACTTGGTTTTCTGTTTCGGGCCAGGAGCTATTTCACTTCCAGTCAGCTGCTTATGATCTATAAGGCACAGATCCGACCTGTTCTGGAATACAGCTCCCATATCTGGAGTGCAGCACCCAAACATACCCTGAAACTGTTGGATTCTGTCCATAAAAGGGCAATTCGTCTCGTGGGTGATGCCTCGCTCATGAAGTCACTCACTTCTCTGGAAGACCTTAGAAAAGTTGGCGCTCTGGCTCTATTTTATAGATATTTTCATAGACGATGCTCTTCTGAAATATCAACAATTGTTCCTCCCTTGGCAGTCCCCGCGAGATTAACCCGTCGAGTTGAGGCTTCGCACCCCTTCGTCTTCGTGGTCACTTTGGAGACCGGCAGAACATCTCTTTCCAAAGACTCGTTCATCCAACGAACAGCGAGGCTCTGGAACATATTGCCAAGGGAGGTGTTCCCCGAGGCATATAACCTCCAGAAATTTAAGAACACCAATTCTTACCTAATTTCTCTTGGTTCTCACGATGTTCTCTGAACGTTACGGGATATCCCTTTTCGTGGGAATCAGAACATGGAAAAAAATGTTATTCTGGGATCCCCGTATTCCTAATTTGAAATAAACTAATCTAAATTTGAAAATAATGAGTCTTAATTTGTAATTGAAAAAGTGCAGTTCTCAGAACATACCCCTTTCACAAACACAAAGTAACAAGGTCGTAAAGATATCTAATATACCACATCAACGGTTTTTCTGAATGAATTTGATTTTATTCCAGGTTTTGGTTGGAGCGGCCCCCCTAGTTTGATGTCCAGCAGTGGTCCCTCGTCTCCGGGGTTCTCCGAAAGCAACTCCAAAGGGGAAAGCAGCAGCGACATGTCATCAAGCCTCATAAGCGGCGACGGGTATTGAACATTATTATTTTTTGTAGTATTAAGGGATTAGGTGATTGATTTGTTCTCTCTTCTTATTTCGATAGAGCACGACTTTAGCTGTGAGTTTAGTATTCAGGTCATTATCAGTGTTCAATAGATGTAGTTAAGTTCGCATGACATGGGTATCTCTAGCAAATTTTATTTTATTTTTATTTAGAAGTAGGAAATAAATTATATTTCAGTGGTATTCTTGAGTTTTTATGTTTTCTTTATGGCTTATTTTTCCTCACAACCCCTTTCTTTTAAATTTAACTCTCTCTATATATCACAAGTAAAGTGGAAAAGTAAATTTGGTTCATAGGCGATTTTAAAATTCAGGCAAAGACGATGTATACAGAGGGTGTTACGAATTCGTGGCTAAGCATGGCGATCTCGGTAACCTTAATTAGAGATACAGAGTAGGTCAAACTAGGGCAAAGTTGCACCATTTCATGCTCAACAAAACGGTGCATTGAAATTGGAAAAATTCCAATTATTTCCGGAGATATCCGGAAAAAGGAAAATATGCAAAATCGTCGGTATTCATTTGAAGATATATTTCAAAATAAATGTCACTTCATCATTGCCACTTTTTCTCGTCTACAAAATGGAATTAACAAATCGGAAATCCGTCGTTCATTCTTCTGGATTTTTAATTCGATTTTTCTATAGTTTTCGATCTACTCGATATGATGGTGTATCAAAACATCACTGGAAATGTTTACTTCAATGAACAAAATGTTTATTAAAGGTATGGAGATACTCATCCTTGTCTGACACAGCGTTTATGGTATTAATTTGACTTTGTTTAACACATTATTCAGTGCGAAAGTACCTCCTACATAATAGAATTGCTCTTATTTTAAATGCATTATTAGTTATAAGAAACCAAAAATGATAATTGAGCAATTGTTCATTATTTAATGAAATAATATTTATGAATCATGAAAACACAATTTAATCAATATGCAAAAGATACCGAACCGTTACCGTTTTCTTTCATAGTAAATAATAAAATATTTCGGTATAAGCATTCTTTGCTTTTTCTAAAACTCTTCTCACAGACCTTACAACAGATCGCCTTCGTAAAGATCTAAAAGCGGTTATAATTTGCTGCCGCAGTTCTTCTATGGGGGCAATGGGGACGTTTTTATGAATGGTGTTCTTCTTGGTGCAAAAAAAAATCAAGTGGCAGTTCTAGAAAGAGCAAATGAATGTTTAAACGCAAACGGTAATATTTTTGAGCATTTACTATGAAAGAACACTTTGTTAAGTTCGGAACTTTCTTCATATTAGATAATATTTGTTTGAATAAATTTCGTTTTCATCATTCATAAATATTATTTCATTGAATAATGAACAATTGCTCAATTAGAAGGAGAAATCCAGGTCCGTATTTAAAAAAATAAAGTTGATGATGGTCGCTCTGAGAAGAAACGTCGTATTTCCAATTTGACAATTCCATTTTGTAGAGGAGGAGAAGTGGCAATGATGAAGTGACACTCATTTTGAAATATCTCTGCAATTAAGCTGAGTAATAAATAAGAACGATTTTGCATATTTCCCTTCTTCTCCGGATACCTCGGGAAATAATTGAAATTTTTTCAAATTTCTAAGCAGCATTTGGTTTAGCATGAAATGATGCAACTTTGCCCAGATTTAACCTACTCTGTATCTCTTGAGGTTACCGATATCCCCATCATGCTTAGCCACGAATTTGTAACACCCTGTATACTATAGTATTCTCATTTTATTTGAAACATCTTTTGAATGCTGAATTTGTAATATCACACGATCACAATTTAGTGAGTGTTATTAAAAATTTGTGAACATTGCTTTTGCTTATTGTACTACTTGTTTACTGATTCTTTGCTTGGTGGTGTTTTAGTATTTTTATCCATCAGCACTGTAATAAGAAGCTAAATGGTGATGTTGAACAAGTTATAGGGTCTATAACCCACGTGTGTCTTCATTTCATAGAAACTTCTGACAAATGTCATATCAATCTATATATTAATTGAAAATAAATTTTCAAATACGTTTGTGCTTCGTTATTGAGAAATAATGAATTTTGTATGGGACTCATGTGTTATGGACCTATACAGGGTGTCCGGAAATTATGCGCAAAAAATCAAGGGGGTGATTCTGCATGAGAAAACATGAGTTTTATTTCATATATACTCGTATCCGGAAATGCATAGTTTTCAAGATACAGTGTGTTGAACTTTTAAAAAAAAATCGGTTATTTATGAATATCTCAAATATCCTTTCACCGATTCTCTTGAAATTTGGCAATAATATTCTTTATAATGAGGAGCTGATTTATCCATAACTAAATTGGAATTGGGGAATCCAGTGGCGTCCCGGGGGCACCCTACCGAATATTATTGTCAATAAAATGTGCGCCACTAATTTTTTCAAATTCTATATCATCATATCCAAATGATTAACTGAAAATACAACATTTTGGTCTCTTGAATTGTTTTGCTATTTTGCTGCGTTTCTGTGGAAAAAAATAAATACCAATTTATTGTATAAATTTGTGCCAAACATAGCATCAAAAACAGGGGTGAAATTAAATGTGTGATCCATGTCCATAGACGTAGAATGAGAATGATTATTCATTTTCTTCAAATATTTTATAATACATATTTGACACACTTTGTATTATCGAAAACTACGCCTTCCTGGACCGAGAATACATAGTTCTCAATATACAGAGTGTAGAGTGGGTCAAAGATGTATCAAGAAATATTTGAAGAAAATTAATCTTCCATACTCATTCTATGTCTTTGGACATTGATCACGCATTTATTTTCACCCCAGTTTTTCAAAGAATTTTTGGCACAAATTTATGCAATAAATTGGTATTCATTTTTTTCTATGGAAATGAAGCAAATTATCAAAACAATTCAAGAGACCAAAATGTTGTATTTATAGTTGGTCAATAGGTTATGGAGAAGAAGAATTCAAAAAAATCAGTGGCGCACATTTTATTGACAATAATATTCGGTAGGTTGCCCCCCGGGACGCCACTGGATTTCATAATTCCGATTGAATTATGACTATATCAGCCCCTCATGACAAGAAATATTATTGCCAAATTTCATGAAAATCAGTGGAAGGACATTTGAGATATTCATAATTAAGAAACCGACCTTTTTTAAAAAGTTTTAACATACTGTATGTTGAAAACTATACATTTCCGGACCCACGTACATATGAAATGAAATTCTTATTTCATCATGTAGAATCACTCCCTTGATTTTTTGCGCCTAATTTCCGGACACCCTGTATAAGGTACTAAAAAAATTGGTTAGCGGTGCCTGACAGACTCTTTTACTAAACTATCTGCACATGTCTATATGCACTATCAAAACATTTTTATCGTGAATAACTTATCCATCATTGAATGAAGTCATAAAGCATGGTGCTTTTGAACAAAATTTCGATATCCACGCGTGACAACTTGTATTTTGGTTGAAATTTCAAACAAATATTAGATAATTACTAAAACTGAAAGTCATTTCCACAAATAATGTTCATAAAATAAACAACAATGGTAGATGACGGAATAACAACTACTTTCCTGGCAATACTGCCCAGAACATTGAATTACATCCTCCCAAAATCATTGCATCGTTTCGTATGTATAAATACTTATTATTTCCTTGATGCGGATTGTTTTTAGATTATAGTAAGGTAAACGCTTGACACCTACAGATCGGTTTCGGGCTTTTGGCCTTCATCAGTGATCGCTTCACCTCGTAGGACAATTTTAACACCGCGTCTTTATATAAAAAGCTATTGTATTCCACCGGATCTAGGTCAGTGGAAAAATGTATTCACTTGGCTTGATTTTCACTAGAATGTGCAATTGTGCACCATTACATAACTATTACATAATAATATCTGGTTTTTTTTTCATGAAATCTTGAAATTTACAAACGGTATGCATTTTTAATTCGAAAAAATAAAATCATATTTTGGCATGTTCAAACATGTTAATTTCACTTCAGCATTTTGACTACATGTGTAGTAATTTCACCGCCTCCAAACAGCGTATTCATTGAATAATATACAGAGTTCTTATAAATGAATTTCAGGTTGGTCAAATTGATAATACAATTGTGTTATAGATTCCTCATATGTAGAAGGCGGTAAATGAAAAAAACAATGAAACTATAATCATGCAAAGAAACCCTGTACTTTATTTTCTATAATCTCGGAAATGCCTAGATTCATCTATCACAATCAATGAGTTATGATTCATTTGAAGTGAGACTGTGTAGTAATTCTTGGAAAAAAGACAGGAAATAGTTGATTTTAGTAGAATTTTATGTTCTCAGAATCACTGAGTGTTACATGGAGCGAATACATGAAATTATTAAAATAACATATACCCAATTTCTTATTTCATATCAAGACGTGATTCATTCAAATTTGTGCTGTAACGGTTTCAAATTATCTTTGAGATGTGAAGTGAGTGTGTATTTTTTTTTGTTTTCAGCTTGACAGTAGACAATATCAATAAAATATTCCCAACTACTCCAGGCCTGGATCAAGACCTGGGCAGTGTTGTTATGCTTTTGGATTCTTTTGATAGAGACATGTCAGAGTCCATGGAATTTACTGATTATTATTCTTCTTCCACGAAGCCAAAAGGTAAGTAGTATTTTTTTCTTCCTTCAAATTAAAATACATATAGTCGTGGTAGTTAGAGGAACTTTTTTTTTCAAATACACAGACCGACAAAATTAGTACTATGGGCAAAATTGACGATTAGGTGCACATTAATTTTCTTCTGCACCCTTTTCTCATTTCCGATATATTTTATTATGAATTGTAGCTTCATTCTTGAAGAATAAATCTGACTTATTACCGTATATAAACGGTTGGTGTACCCATTAAAAAAAAAGACATTTATTGCAATTGTTCTGAGCTATGCGCGTATCTAAAGTACATATTTTTTTATATCAAAGACTGGAACCTTTGGCACGATAATACACTGTTTGGTTAGTGGTAAAACATATTTTTTGTTATTCAATTATTTATTTTTTGTTCTCATCTAAAACTACTATCACATACTTACACCAATTTTCATTCTCTCAGTATTTTTTGTTGTTATTTCACATATTAAAAATTTCAATCCAATCGGAAATCGGTCCACTAGTTTTTTTCCGAACATTTGCATTTTGGGAAGGAAAGGAAGAGAAATTACGTATTGGAACTTTTTTGGAATATTAGAGGTTGAAAGTTCTTGGGAATACTTTCTTAGGAAAAGATTTTCAAAGCTTTGCCAATATTTTTGAAAACTGCTGCGGCAGTATAATTATCTTCAGAAAAACCTACATATCTTGAAAACTGTGAGATATAGTAAGTTATAAATAATGTCTAAACTCTTGCTTAAATTAGACGTCTAAATCGGACCGTATGAAAAAATGTTGGTTACTATTTAATCTAAGAATGTTGGTGCTGACTTGGCACACCCTGTATAGCTGGAGAACACCAATTTTCAAGTATCTAATCCAACTACAAATTGGAAAAGTTCTAACGACTTGCCTACGTAAATCACCCTGTATTTTGATCTCGTAAAGAGAAGCACATCAGCATGTAAGTTCAAAGTTCTATTGTGGTATAAAAAATGTTTCATGTTCACAATGGGCGGCCTCTCCAGTCATTCCTAGAATAAATATTTCTTGAAATATATGGCTCTGGAATACCTGAGAATATTTTTTTTCCATCAATTTATCATATAATTTTTTTTTAAAACGTCAAAATGAACGAGCGAATTCAAACGATAAGACATGGCCGCGAAAGGTGTGACGTCAGTGCGCGAGCAATTTGGATTGGTGATTCTCGACCTTCTTGCAAGTGCCAATAAAATGCACGATGGACTTGACAATTAATGTTGCCAATTTGGAGAGAAGACTATGATAAGTCGGATACTCATTTCTCGATTTTTTCATTTTAGCAAATAAGATGCTGTTAGCTCAAATAATAACTACTTACCTGAAAATTCGTGGTATTAAAAATTTGCATTGCATGATCAGTTAGTTGGTTGATTTTGGTTGGAGAATTATTCAAAATTGTAAGTGAAATTTCATTTTGTATTGAATTACAGTGTAGATATTCGTGACATTCAGTTTCAAAACCCTTCCAGTAAAGTACTCACCTATTATGTACCTAACTATACCTATCTACAATGGGAGAAGAAACAAATTCTATTGATTTAAGCACAAGCATGACTGCCTTCTTGTCAATAATATTGAGAAATGAGAACAGTCACGTTTTGCGGGGTATGAGCAATTTTTGATTTGGCAACATTGTGTTAGCGCCAGTTGCTTCATCTCTTTCTCTTGTAGACATAGTTGCAAGATTAGCAATAAAATTTTCCGGGATGAGTGTTTGAGATGTAGTAAAACCGTTCAATTTGTTAATAATTATAACAATAATCAATTAATTTGTCGTTCGATTTTCTCGAAAAATAAGTGGTCAGGATAACGTTTCAAACTTCCTCTTGATAACATTAGAGCGAAAAAAGGTCGAATTTCACAATACTGGAAAGGCCCATTGATGTAATTTTGTATTTTCCCTCAAATTTTGTCAATTATATTTTTCAACCTCTCATGTGAACTTTTGTACAGTGGATTTGACTGTGAAATTCATAACACTCCTATTATCATTTCTAAATAGTTACCAACTGTTGTTTATACTCAGGGTCTTGGTAGCCAAGACCTTTGAAAACTGGAAAGAATTCAAAATTGAGATGTTGATGTATTCAAGTTTTCAGGTTTGTTTGTTTTGTTCAAGGTTCTGAGAGTGGGGAAATCACTCCAGTGTCAGGTTCCGAAGTGGATTTCAATACGAACGATGCCACAGCCGGATCCAGCGCGGATTGCGACGTCACAATGACCGAAGACATGGACACGTCGTACGTCGCGCCTGAAGATGACAGCGTAGATCCTGACGAAACGGTGACCAACGCCAAACTGAGCGCTTTCTCCAGTATTTTCGGCACACAGCGTAGTGCCGTCACCCTGGATAACAATTTGTTCCAGCCACTTCCCGTCCAGAGAATCATTTCTCCAACGAGCACAAACGTTAATCTTTGTACAAATGTTTTGTCTTCGAATTCCGATAGCTTAAGGCACGTGGAGAATACAGAAAGGACCCAACCAGCTGTTAATATGACAGTTAACGAATTCAATGAGAAAGACTTGAAAAATATTATAAAGAAAGCGAATATATTCGAAAAAGAAATTGCCAGTTCCAGTGTTAACCTGAGTAATCCGAGCATGGACAAGTGGTCTACTAATAAAGAGAAGTTCCTGGAAAATAAAACCTTCACCAAAACGGACAATATCGATTTCGGCAAAAACTTGAACACGAACTTTGAGAAAAAAGTGGAAAAAGAAAACGAGTTGACGAAAATCAAACCTGGGAGCATCCTGGTCAGAGAAGGTTTCATCGAGCCACCGAGGATATCCAGGATTTCGAGGAGTTTCCATGGGAAATCTAACGCCGAGAGTGGGTCGATGGATATCCTGAGTAGCCCTAGGAGGGCTAGTGACGGTCCGGTTGCTAAACTGAACATTCCGTCAAATTTCCACGAGCCTAACGCTCATACGGGCGCCAGACCTAAAAGCAACGTTGAGAAACTGGCTTATTCGAGTAAACCTCAATTGATGACGCAGTTGTCACAGCCTGGCCCGAGCACGTTACTGTCACCGGGGTCTCAGCCCAGGAAATCGTCTCTTTTAGAATCGGTATGTGTTATTGTTTTTTTCAATCATTTCATTTTATTAGGCAAAGCACAGCCGTCCCTATAAAAATACGTGATGTAATAATGGCAACGTCGCATTAACATGAACCGGAAGTCGAAGAAATTAGCAAGCAATGATGGGTCAAGCTTGATACAAGTAGCTATCGTTTTTTCTTAGGTAAGATACATCGTGTATAATTTGTAGGACAAAATATTCTTGTGATAGGAGAAAAATATATATTGTGGACTTGTTTCAATAGTATGAGGTAAGCTATTTTCTGGCCTGATTCTTGGTTTTACACTGAAGTAAGATCTGAGCTGTTTCTGAATTTTGATGTGAAAAATTTCAAGGCAACGAATCCATTTCAAATCATTATCATTATCGAAACATGTCGGATGTCTTTCAGCGGGATTCATTTTCAATTATGTAACTGGTTCACAGACATATACTTGGCAAACTTGGAAAAATTGAGGGACCTGCAGTTTTTACTGAGGGTATCATTGGCAAGTTATTTTGAACTAATACCTCTGGAAGAACAAATGTAGCACATGCTGCAGAACGTTTGGGTCCAGTTCTTATGAGATATTGCAGATATCGAATTCTTTCATAATCTTTGTTCTTCAGAAAAAGAAAAAAGAAGAAACATAGCATAACCTCAATAGAAAAAGTTCCATGGACTTCGCATACATTTTTGCTAATAAACTCGGTCTCTAGGTTATTCCTTGTACTATTCATTGGCTATCAACAATATTTCACATTGATAACACATCAATCGAATTTTGAAAACGTTATATTCACAAGTCGTATATTCTGTATATCGGGGGTTTGTTGTTCGGAGGTATATACATTATGCCCGACAGAAGATTCATGCCCCCCCTTTAGTTTTTGAACGGTTCAACGAAAAAAATTCAAACTTGGGGTAATAAAATGGATGCATGAATACTATATTTTGGAGTAAAATTGACAGATGAACATTTCAAGATGGCGGCTGGGCGCCATCTGGGGAAGAAATTAAATGGAAATGGGGTCTTGTGATACATCTTCTTGAAGCTCCTGACGAATGCTTCACAACTCTAGAATATAAAGTCAATTTATTCACCTACTACAAAATGGCAGAGTAATCTAGAATTTTTCCGTTTAACCTTAATTGTTGCAGTCAAAACTAATGCCCATTATATTTGTTTTTTTTGTGATTAAAACACAGATACTTAGCTTCGCACCATTGCTGAACCGTTCCCAAGTCTCTAGCAATATTATTTCTTATGTTGTCACAGCTTTTTCCGTGCCATAGTAGGGTAGTATCATCAGCAAACATGGTGAATCTTCCCTGAATGGGAACAGTGGACAGGTCATTTAAATATAAGAGGAAGAGAAATGGACCTAGGACAGATCCCTGTGGGACTCCCCATGTCATATCCCTGATGTCAGACAGACTCTCATTTGATTTCACGATCTGTTTCCTATCACTTATGAAAGATTCAAACCATTCGTGACATACTCCTCTGAAACCATAGCAGTATAGTTTTTCTAATAGTATTCTATGATTCACACAATCGAAGGCTTTAGAAAAGTCGCAGAATACTGCAGTCACTGCTTCACCATTGTTCAGGTTGGTGTATACATGTTCTAGGAAAGAGAAAATTGCATCATTCCTGTTTTTTTTTGCTCTGAAATCCGATTTGGGAATCAGTCAATATATTATTGAAGTATAAAAATGATAACATCCGTTTTTTCACAAGTTTTTCTATAATTTTAGATAGTGTAGAAGTAACCTTATTATTTCAGGTGTCAAAACCTCAACGATTCACTACGATAAGAGTAGACGAGGCGGAACACGCTGCTTCAGTTGCATCGAATGTTCCACCTAATGAGACCAATGAACTACCGAGTAGTTGTGAGACCGTGGAGCATGTTCCTAATAACAGTTCATTTTTTATATGCAGAAGCAACAGCAAGAAGAGGAATAGTAGCGATAACAGCGAACGCGTAAGACTAACTAGAAATAATTCTGATAAATCGTCGACTTCATAGGAATTTGGTACTGGCAAGAAATTATTGATATTTATTCCAGTACATTTTTGTACAATCAATCATTCATCTACTTACTTTAGAGTTAGTATTTTATTCCATATACATGAACAAAACATGTTTTCTTCATATATTTTTTATTTAAAATGTTTTAATAATCAGTCTTGCATATTCTATATTAATTTACAGATATAAAGATGGTTTGTATGGTATACCAATGATTGAAAAATAAACGTCATATTATGACATTCCTCCAAATGCTGTAATTACTTATGCAATGATGCATATATCTTTTTTATTCTTTATTTTTGACGAGCTCAACACCCATTACAGGCTATTTTAATGAGCAAATAAAAGCTATTCTATTCTATTTTACGTCTTGAGGTATGTTACAAATGAATAACGCTATTAAACAATATATACGAATTTATTTTTGTAATATTGGATACAAATAGTATACACCATAACATCCAAACTAGTCTACAAACGTTTCAATTCACCTTTGAAATTAATTTGTACTTCATAAAATAACAGCTCTTTACAAATCTCCAACAATGTGCTGCAAAAATATTTTGAAATTTTTCCAAACTTTTTACTCTACAAAATGAGCTTACCAATTACGTTTCAGACTTTTTTCGATAATAATTATGTTTCCATTGGGTGATTTGTGGTTCAAATTTAAAACATTTAAATCTGACAAGATTTTTTTGGCATGTTTTAGCCCTTGAATTTTGAACAATATCAGTCCCAGCAGATTCGTTCAATCACTAACTTGCCATTTGATAAACAAAACTTCATTGACTTGTCAATAAATACACATACATTCAAATAGAGTTGTATCAAAATATCATTTGTTTAAATAAAAAACTTGAGAGAATGCAATGTGAAACATTGGAATAAGGAATTGAAAGTGAGATCTATTATTTTACTAATTTGAATCAATTTCATGTCTTGATTTATATAAAATTTCTATTTCTCAGTTAATATCATCTTTAATTTATTGTCCAGATTTTCATTCAAACAATGGTATTTTGATAAAAAAACTATTCTATCAGATACATTGTCAATGGGGAAGACCACTGATTTTTTAAAACGACATGAGTACTGAAAAACTACCAGTGAATTAATTTTGAATTTTTTCATTCATGCTAAGACGATGAAAAAAATAAATTAGTATAAGTCCATTTCAAAACACACAATTCCTGCGCCATTTGAAATTTCATCAATTCATCGGTGTGACTGGTGCGACGTCTTAGTCCCAACACGCCTATTGTCCTTGAACTGACCAATTACACTGCAACACTGCACAATGACGAGGTATCAGAGAGAGATAGCTACAGTTCGGGACTAATACGTCACGACTCCACCATCATATTTGGCTGTTTGAAATATCGAATGAAATATGCTGATTTCAGAACGATATAGATTCGATTCCCTTCAACTTCAACTCATAATATTGATTGTACATTAAATGTAAATCATGATTCGTCGATTGAAAGAGGTTTGCACGGATTTCTTCCCTCAGTGGTCTTCCCCATTACCTTCGAACACACATACTCTTTTCCAAATCAGTACATAAAATATGAAAATTAGATAAAAGAAAGATAGGAGGCAGTAACTGTGGTTCAGTGCAATTTTAGAATTTCTTGTGATGCATTTCAGGTAAGGTAGCATACAAAAGCACGGCTGCCTTGTTACAAATTCCAAACACAATACATGACCGTTGTCTGGTGCTGTTGGGAAAGAGGTACCATATTTTTATAATTTTTGCACATGACCAAAATATTAGACAATAGTTGATGAAGAAAATATTGAAAAAAAATACCCGACCAACAATAAAGCCATGATTCTTTACCTCCATAGGCCAAGAATGACTTTCCGGGTGCGAATTTGATCTAGAGAAGTCATAGTCATCATAAGTACCTCATTATAATAATATTAAATGTGCCCTCATTGATATTCCACTTCGACGTACCTACTCATGACAGTTTTTTGATAATTGAAAACACAATTTGCCTGTGCAACGATAGGTATAAACAAAGCCGTTTATTCGCGAGATTCACGAAGTGGGCGACATCTAGGTTACATAATACGAACTTCAAACTGGGGGAAAACAAACTGTTGTCTTTGGATGAAGTGCATAGACTACATTGCATTCAGCTTGCTGTAGCTGTAGTCAAACTTGTTACTGACATAAAGTGTTGTCACTGTTGGTATTGATGATCGTTGAGTTGGTTAATTTTTTCACATCATTACATTTTTATTAGTTTAGTGAACAGTGAACGGGTGAAGAATTGGAGATAGTTCGAACAATTCAAACTAATTATGACGAGCAAATCAATTGACATATAAAAGAACAGCTACAACATGTTTACAATACCCAGATTGTCCTGCTTTGTATGAACAAATACAAATCTATTGTTCTACAGGCGTTCCGCTTGACCCCAAATTCAATTTAACTTCATGTGGGGAAGATTTCATCGCCGAAGTTCGTAGACAAAGTTCAAAAATGTGCCTTTTGTTGAAGTCTTCTGCCTCACACAAAATCACATGATTAGCACGAAGAACTGCTTCTCCTATCACTACTGGTCGACTTTTTCCGTCTAAATAATGCAAAATATCTGCCAAAAGAACATCTACACCTAGCGTTTTCGATCGAATATTGACAATTAATGTCAAGAAATTTGAAAACTTATCACTCATCAGTACACAGTACACAAGCTTATGGTACTAATGGGTTTGAGTGAGAATTGAGTTTGTTTTCCCCCAGTTTTGACGTGGCTTTGACATGGAACGATGAAAACCGATCGCCACCTGGTAACATTGATTCCCGCGAATAGATGTTAAATTAATCGATCGATATCCAGAACCATCATCAAGTTTCTTGAGTGAAAATGTCTTCAAGTGAAGATGATCTACCATTCGATATTGAAAATGCGGCGACTAGTGGCACTAGTGCCTCAAAAGATTTAAAAAAGCACTAGTGCGGTAATTAACGTCATTATAACATTAAAAAAAGTGTTAAATCATGATCAGACAGAGAATTTACGAAATATGCTACCACTTTCCCAATCTTACCATGCCAACTCGCGTGAACAATGAACATGAAAAACATCAAACAAAACTTGGATTTTTTGGTCTTGGAAGTATTTCATTCTCTCTGCTATGGATGTCGCGAGCATTATTAAGAGACGGGGGTCTACGGGACCCCTGTTAAAAGATCCTGCATTGATGTGGGCAAATAGTCCGAAATTCCAGGTAGTTCAACTTAAATTCTTCATATAAAAAATAACCACTCAGCAAACAGTATTTGTTTGTAAGTAACTGGCATTAGCCAGGGAAACACTTGACTTTCTCCAGTTATCTACCATTGTCGTTCAATTTATTGAACATTTTGTGGAATTGGCCAGTGTTTTCACTCATTGTTAAATATTTTTCTTGTTCATTGTCAACATATTTTCGCCGTCACTGCCATGAAATGGTAGAAATTAATATATTCAAGTTTTTTAGATGTTGTCATTAGAATTTCTATTCGCTATGGTGTAAAAAACTAGGCACAGGTTATTAGGCGAACGGTAAATATATTAACCTTCACGAAATCTGTGTTCAGCTGTATCACTGATCGCAATTCTGACAGAATACATGGCTAAACTAGCTATTTACAAGTGTGTATTTGTTAGTAGAGTCGATACAATCACCTTAAATATGACACTAAATTCTTTGTTGCATACTTAAGATTTAAAAATTCATGAGAGATTACTTTAGAAATATGATATGGTACATAATCAAGTCACGTAGTCAGAATTTCGTTATTTGGTGTCAATTTAAGGTTAATTTTCTTATTCAATCTATTTTTTTTATACCAGATGTCAATTTATTAGACAAGTCATAACTTCTAGAATATTAGGTGTGTTAAAATCAGATTTGGATCAATCAATAATGAAAATGCACGGCGATGTCCAAAATTATGTTTGTCTCCAACTGATCATATTGATGTGTAAATTTGGGAAGATATAGAGGGGACCGTTTGAAATGATTTTGATAAACTTAATCCTAATATTCTTGAAGTTATGATATGTCTGATGGATTCATTGACTCTCAGTATAATTTTATCACTTTGGAAAACTCTACTAACAAATTGAAAATGCAACGCTCATTAAAACTTTCAAAAAAAATAAAACAATCTGCAGGTTTTCAAGCCAACTGTTGTAGTTTTCAAACACATTAAAATAAAAATGGATAATACAGAAGTTCAGTGAAAGTTGACCTAAAAAACACAAATGAAACAATACTTCAATTATTATTAACAATTATTAATATGGTCCTGGTGACAAGAATTAATACTCCTCATGTTTTCAATATCATCAACTACTGAACTGAACTCCTCTATTCAACGAATTTATATATATTTTTTATATACTTTTATTATCATCCGAAAACTCAATTTGTGAATTTCAATTTCCTTTTCATGAAACAATAAATTAGACTGGCAATAAAAAAATAATATAATAATAAAATTTATATCTCAAATGAAAATAATAGTTCTCTCAATATTCCAAAATACAATTTATCACAGATAACCTTGTAAAATTTGATAATTTTAAAATTTCATAAAACCTACCTATTGTTTGACAAAAAATAAAAAAAAAACATTTAAAATAATTTTGACATAAAACGTCTGTTTAGTTTGACCAAATAACAGTACCATATTTCTACAGCCTCAGAAGAATACAGACAAATATTTTTAAAATAGCAATTAAAAAATCTGATATCAATAAAAAACGGGCAATATTCATGCCTCACATACACAACAAATTGTAAAAATTGGTCATCAAAGTTTTTTTATCAACCGAATTTGTCGGCCATCGAAAGGTGAACTCAAAACTTAAGTTTGTAGAAACATTCAGAAGATCATTGATAATTGCTGCTCACAAGTGAAAAAATATTAAATCTACAGCCTATAAGCATGATTTGTCTTCTTTGAAGCCAACATTAAACATTCCTTCTAGGAACTAAATATCTAACAAATAAAATATGTTAGTTTCTCTTTAAGCCTGTTATAATCTTGCCAGTGATATTATACATAGATAAGAGTACTGACCATTGAGTAATGTGATCAAAAAATTGATGAAATTCCATAAGACAATGACCACCTACTGAAAGTTGATTTCATCCTTCATCAATATATTTTTATATTATTACTTAGCCAAATTACCAGAGTGCATCTCAATTTGTCCCAGTGATAACCAGGGTCAGTAAAAAATTGGACATGATAAAATACCTCAGGATAGAGTGACTCTCACTATGAATACAATACCAAATTTGATGAAGATACATCAAGTGCCTATGAAGATATAGTCAAAAACGATTCAAGTTCAATGCAATGTAACTGTTGAAATGAACAATGGCTGTCGGATGAACAATATAATGCAAACATCTTGTACATCAGAAGAAATTGGATCGACGGTGTCCGAGATATTTGACAGTTTCGATACATCTCGATATTCCTGTATAATTATTGGTCATTTGATTGATAACCAATGAGATCAGTGAACGGCGTGAATTCACTTCCAAGATTGATAAACTAGACAGGTTGCGTCATACCTGAGAAAGGTGACATTTTGTGTTGTTCCTTAATCATTAGTTTTCAATTCTAGAATTGGACTGCTTTGAAACACTGATGCAAATGGAAAAAGGCAACAATGTCAGACTTATGTGAAGTCCAGGGCATAAAAGAATCAAAGGAAATGAGGTAGCTGATCGATTTGCAAAGACATGTAGAGTCTGCATTCTGCCAATACAGCCCACCTTCAATATACATTATCGTTTGTCAATATCAATTTGAGGTAGTTTGAAAGACGAACGGTCCAAGATAATTCACCAGTTTGGAAGATAACGAAAATTGAATCTTTTTTTAGAAAGTAGCTGATCCACAATAATTTGACATTTGCCACTTTTGCAGTCAACCCTGACACGAAATATCTAACCCTTGAACTACTTCAACTGATTTGTTTCTCCATTCCAACTAAGTATATGTTAGAAACAATAGGAAAACGTCTGATATTATTACTCATAACATTAGGCTTGAAGCTTATTTTCGGAAGATGATCAGATCTTCACATTTCATGCCTATTTTGTATCAATTGACAGTACAGTGCTCCTTAGAATAATTCTGAATTCAGAGTGTAACTAGTACCTAAATCATCAGTAAGGTCATGATTTTGAATTAGGCACCAGCTTTTCATTTCTCCATCCTTCAAATTCCTTCAGAAGTAGCGCCACCCACTATCTTCTCATTTGGAATGTACTATAGATAATCATTTTTCAATCATTTGAATATATAGGTTGATTGGCGTCAGTATACGCTGACGTCACCTCTTCAGTTCATCAATGTTGCATTCATTCTCAGTTTTATTGATGTTGGCGCTGTCAGCCAACTTTCCTCAACGTGTGACCATATTCAAAATGGTTACCGAACTAACAAGATGAACCATTCTAATGAGAGCAATGAAGCCGAAAATTCTTTTCAGTAGGTGTCTTTGAGCAACAAACTACTTTTTGTTGAGTAGCGAAGGGTAAAGATCGGTAATGCAGTATATGCTTTTATGCAAGAAGGAATGTTGCATCACCACCGGTTCAAATATATTTTATTTAAAAGTCAGAACATCATTTTTAGTGAGTTTAGTGCTTCAGAAAGAAGGATATTTATAGATAGTTCAGCAACTCGCAAGTAGATGAATTCGAGCAGATTCCGAGAGTATCGACAAATCTGCAAGATTTTGCTGAGTTTCGTTAGCCAAATATGGCTTCAACATTTTACATGGAGGTGATTCATCTTGTTAGTGTAAAAAACAATCAAGAGTTTTATATACTTTGGCGCTTTCAGACAACTTTTCTCAATGTGTGACCATGTTTGAAATCGCCACCGAATAGAAAGTCTGTAGAAATATGGTATTAGTACGAAATAAATGAAGTGACCCAATCCAAACAACGACTCACTCGATGTTACCGGCATAACTCGGGTCCATGAGAACGGAACCGATCAACTGGGCGTCGTTCTCTACCATCACATAATCCTCCTCTCCGCCGAAACTCTTGTCGTTCGCCAGTTGGTCCACATTGTTGTCGTTCATCTCGAACGGTCGCATCATCTCCATACTCTCGCAGTCCGTCCTGATTGGCTGGCCGTTCAGGAGGCAATCCCCGTTCAGGTTGTAAGTGAACGTATCTTCGGAATTCATCGGCGTAGATGGGTAAGACCTAGAGGTAGTGGAATACATTGATAGATGTATTATATGAGAAAAACATAGAAGAAGAACTGGATCTCATAAATATAGGCCGTCTTCTCAAAGAAGTCGGCGGGAGATATTATCTGAAGACCGAATTTGCGATTGAAAATAAACGTCAGAGTTCTTGAAAGCTGTCAAAGCGGCCTGTTACTTTGTTTTCATTGGTTCACATTTGTTTTTTGTATGTGTTTATTGGTCACATCATCATCAAATTGTTGCCGTCAGGTGGGGCAAACGTGTTATTTTCTATCGTGAATGGTGGTGTTACATTTCCAAATTACATTGGCCACGTTTATACCGTATGGATATTGGGTATGCATACCAAGGTGATCTGGCCAAATTTGGTCCACACACTTTAGTTAAACCATGTATCTTTAGTTGACTAACGTTACCAGCTTTGATTTTTTTTTATTATTATTTTGAGGTTAAGTTGTTGAACTTCACTTGAATACGTAGCAAGATTTTAAATCAGCTGAAATTGAATGAAACTGAAATTGAATGAAACTGAAATCAAGGCTGTGTAAAGGTAGACCAAAGTGTTTACACCGTCTTGGTCATCATACTATTTTAGTCTGGTGTGCAACACATTTCGGTACCAAACCAAGATGGCAACTTTACCAATTGGACAGTTTATACCACACTGACCAAGAGTATTAAGTTAAAATATCAGCAAACCAAGACACGGTATAAACGTGGCCATTATAATTGTACAACCGATTCTACTGTCTAGATCGCTAATGGTGTAAGACAAAAGCTCCTACATTCACATGATTCAAAGTGAGTCTCATGGAGTATGGGCATTTTGGACCTGTAATATACCTTCCTCACTTTAACTCACATTACTGAATAACAAGTGACATTAGTCGATGTCATGAATGACAGTTTGGATTGATTTCGATCCTTCGGCGCCTTGGATGTATAATTGTATAATTATTGTTCACTCTTTATAAACATTCATTTGGTAATGTTGTCAAGGATACTGATAGAATTGGAATATTTTGCTATATGATTGAGACACCCATTGAAACTTCAATTTTAAGACTAAAAACATCAAAATGATTAAAATTCCTATATATCCTTGATATACTAGCTGTATTGTGGAAATCAGCCCCATATTGTTGTAGATGAAATACTACATGATGCGGTTCGAAGGACCATGTAGGGTTTCGATTGTAGCAGTATGGGACTGGTTTCTACTTGATACAGGTAGTATAATAAAATATATTTAATAACGGTAGGTCAAATAATTCGATTTCGTCGACGTTAATTTGTTACATTTGAAAATACAACAATGAAGTGAATGTGAAAATTACTAGTAGAAAGTGAAAGATAAATACATTGTTGAGTGACACTTCGTCTTTTCATTGTGTAAGAATAATCATCATTATTGAATTATGAGAAATGTTTTAGAAATAATTAACATCCTTCAGATGAATTTCCATAAAATAAGTTCCAAACTTTACATTCTGAATCTAATCTGAATATGGATAATGATGAAGAATATAGCTAGCGAATAGTTAACGAATAAAAAAATAGAAGACAACTTGGCGTCGTTGTTGATTACATCATGAAAAACAACGACGATCATTTATCGAACAAAACAACTATGAACTGTAGAAATAGGCTAACGAATAACTGAAAATAAAAATCAACACAAGTAATACTGGTGAAAAAATATACATAGCCAAAAAAAACAGCTCTCCGTGTGCTTGTCAGTATTTTGTGTGGTGTGAAACTTTCCTAGAAAATAAATCCGTTTTATAAAGGAAAGGAAATAGTTATAATGTATTGAAAGAAAATTTTTAGGAAATCTAGACAAATTGGAAATGCCGGCAACGTCCTACTGAACAGGGAATCGTATTTTAATTCTCTGTAAATGTGGCTTTTCATAAAGTACGACATAGACATGGTGAAGAAGCCAAGTTCCATTTTCATTCATTTTCTCTCTGATGTGATATATCTTACGAGAAAAAGGAAAAATGCGTATATATCGAATTTTTACAAACTTCACAGTGAGATAAAAACTTCGATATTGGAAACTTCCCCATGGGCATGTGGAATTTACTGGTTTCTCCCATTTGGAATTCCATACTTAGTCATGTGAACGGAAAATAAATTGACGAATAAAGTAAGCATGATGTCATGATAATCTTACCTGGAGGAGTTGTAGTTGACTTTCATCGGAGGCTTGACCACCTGGCTGTACGGCAAAGGAGTGCTCGGTACTGACCTAGACGGCAGCATCTTCACCCCCACCCAAGAAGTCTCATCACCGATACTATGAGACCGAACAGTCCTCGGATACCCGACATTATTGTTCAGCGGATAGCTGTTGTTGTTGTTGATCAGCTGCAGCCCAAACTCTTGCAAACAAGCATTACTGGAGTTGATGTCCAGATTGAAGATATCGATGTTGTTGTTGTCCAGCGAGCTCAAGATCCGTTTGACGTTGTCGCTTTCGGCCTCGGGTATGGAATCCATCTCGTTGAAGTCGCTCATCTCGGGGACGACCATCTTGTCCATGGGTCCCAGCATGTTGTGCACTGGGACGGACTGCGAACGGTACATTTCTAGGTTGGACTCGATGTTGGAGGCTGAGAAATGGCACGCTTCTGGCGGGACAGTAGGCGTTGCGGCGTACCCGGGGCTATACGACACTCTGCTGGTGGAGTTCAGAAGCTTCTGCAGCACCGATTTGCTGCTGGCCATCGGGCTAACCGGTGCTGACATCGGCAACAGTTGATTAGCGAAGTTATTCTCTTCACTAGGGATTTCCAAGGTCAGATTAATCTCGCGTTTTGCCTTCAGTGGTTTCCTCAGTTCGTTCTTCAAGATACCGGCGTTTTGGTGAACTGTTTTCATTCTGACAACCGGCGTGTTCCTGAGAAAGATGAATAGAAATTCAAATGGTGTAACCACTTCCTTATAAACAACTATGTTTCTTGGGGTAAGAAAGAACAACAACAACAACAACTAGTTGTATTATTAATACTGTGACTTGAGATATTATACACAAATGACACTTTCTGAAATTAAATTGACTATTCGGAAATACAACTGGAAAAGGTGTAGTGTGTACAATTTCATTATAAACATCTCACCTGGGACTCACGAAAGGACTTGCTGTGGTACTGGAGCATTTCGATTGCATCCCGCTGGGGCTCTGAGGTCCCGGCGAGATCGGCATGAAACTGAAGTTCTTCCTTCTGGTGTTCGGACTGGGCGGCACCGCCTCTTCGGTGCCTATTTCTAAGCTGATCCTTCGTTTGGTATTTGAGCCCAAATTGGGCAAACCGTGCCGATGGATAATGGGGGTTATGTAGGTGGTTTCCGTTTGTACTGGCGCTTGATTGACGGTGTTCGGGAAGGGAAGGCACCCCTGGGACAGGGGTGGCTTGCAGTCGACTATGTTTTGTTCGAGGAGCAGCCGGAGGGTGGAGATTTTGGATGTGTTTTCTGTGTCAGTGGGTTCGGTGGTGATGTTGTTGTTGTTGCTGAAGTATTTGGAGAGTTCTTCCTCGTGTTGGCTGTTGTTGGTACCTGGAAACGACAAGGAATTCATGTCAGTTATGAAAGATTTAAATTTACAAATGATATTTTCATGAGACAAAAAGGGCCTATCCACTGTAACTTTGAAACAATCTGTGGAGTATTCTAGCTGTTTCGCTATTTTCAAGTTCATTTTAGATAGTGATTACAACATATAGTTGCCTTACTTTTCAACGTAGAATTCACTGATGAATTTTTTCAATTTCTATAATAGTAAAATTTTGCTCTAGATTCTGAGAACCCTATGGGATATTATTGAAAAGTTCTCAATGATTTGGGTAGTTATTTGAATAGAGTAGATCCTGAAAACAGCTGGTCTGGTTTATTTTGTAATTCGACTTCGAGATTGACTTTTGCCTTACAAAATATGAAAAATAGACAACTACGTCGCGGTCACATGACTTTCGCCACACGTCCAAAATAAAATTTCTGTTCAAAAAATGTTAACCTACGGCCCCTATAGAAAGTAGGCAAGAACACACGAGATACAGCCTCAGTAAGTAGCTCTTTACGCACAGTAAGCGTATTGCACAGTTTTCGTTTAGTTATTTCTGTAATAATGAAAAAATTGTAACTCCAACATAACTGTCATAAACTTTGGTCAGAAAATACATGAAGTAGTTCGATGATAATTCTGATTGATGACATGATGACAATGGCATCATTTTATTACTGAAAGAATACATTTGAATGAATTTGACGGATTATTTATGATGGGAGACTTCGGCACCTTTTTTAAATCAAATTAATTTCTAAAATACGGCTGAAGATGGACTTTTATAAGTTCGAAACATGTCCCGTTGAATAACTACATCATTATTGAAGTTGTGGAGATGACTTTGAGCTTTCCTTCCTCCTTTTAAAAATTCCACTCCACTTTGAGCAAACATGGACTTCTACCAGAGATTATTATTATATCGTCTCAACTCGTCGTGTAAGATCCTGTACATCATCATTATGAATAGATCTTCGTCTCACCCAAATACTCGTCCATGGCATCCTTCGATACGCTGCTGACGCTCTCGAGCCGCTCCCTCGTCAAAGGAAAATCTGGCACCTCGTCCTCCCTGTCATCCTCTTCCTCCTCCTCCTCGCTGTTCCTCTCCTTAATCCTACTACCTAAACAGGGTTGCGACGATTCAAATCAACTGATTTTTATATACACCGTGTCCAGCTAAAATGTCCCCTCCCCCCCTATAAAAAATCAACCGCGCGATCGAATGATGATGCTCACTCGAAATATGCTATTGCATAAATCGTAGGTATACCGGGTCACACCGAAGTGCACCTAAACTTTCCTATTTGAATAGGGACACCCAGTATATTATTCCATATTCAAGTAGAGTTCATTATTATAAATTCAACAATACCGGGTTTGATGGGATTTTTTCAGAAGACTACGAAGATATTGCAAAAAATAAAACGATTCAATAAAAAATTTATATGATTGGATTTTATTAATATAACACCATTGAAATCGAATGAAAAAAAAAACATTGAAAGCTCAACTGCTCAATATGTCGTCCATTCTGCTGCAAACATTTCCTAGCTCTTTTGATAACGTTCATTGTGACCCTATGTATCACGTTGCGCATAAATTTGTGATTTTCTCTTTTATTTCTTCTATATTCACAATTGGCGGCTCATAAACCTGTTGTTTCAAGTAGCTCCACAAATAAAAATCAAGTAGGGTGAGGTCTGGCGACCAAGCTGGCCAGTTGCTATCACTATCGAGACAATTGGTGGTTATTAGATCTTCTCCAAACCGATGGCGAAGGTAATCCTTTACGGGTATGCAGTTATGTGCAGGACACCCATCTTGTTGGAAGAATATATTGGCGCAAATATTGACAGGCACCTCTTCCAAATATTCCTCTAATTCGTTTCCTTTGATATAACTGCAGCAGCTTCCGTACTTCGTCTACATCCCAGAAATATCGAGTAAATATCTCTCTTGATATGAATAGCCAGAACTATTTCTGATAAATAATTCAACACAACAAATATTCACTGTCAGATTATTGTCATTACTTCATTATTGGATGAGTATCTACAGGTCTATAATATATTTTTCGGTTTCATCATTATAACTCTTCTTTGATCTATTCAAATAAGAGAGTTGAGGTGCACTTCGGTGTGACCTTGTATACCTACGATTTATTCAATAGCATATTTCGAGTGAGCATCATCGAACTACTATGTGACCAAATTTCAAGTCATTCGATCACGCGGTTGATTTTTTACAGGGGAGAACATTCTAGCTGGGACACGGTGTACAATAAAAAATCGAATTTTCTTGTTTCACCAGGAAAGCCGCGGCACGCTGCTGAACATTTTCATTTCAACACAAATTTTTGTGAATGTCGCCGATGAGATTTTCTGAATGTGAATGATAAAAAATAAAGTTCATTCAAAAATGTTGAAATAATATAAATTAAAAATTTACATATTGGTATTGAATAAACCAAGAAAACCCTACGAAGTATAACTTGTTGTAAGGTATTTAAAATTAAAATTATGGGTATTATATCAATTTATCAATTCGAGACAGAAGTAATTCATAAATGAAAATGTATTTTTTTTATATAACATCACTCAAATTCGCGTTCATTTCCAGATCTTTAATAATTATAAATTAACTTTTCCAAATTGAAACATCCAGTACAGTGTAGTTTCGATCAGGTCAGCGGAGTTCATAGACTTCAGCTCCTGTAGAATTTGCAAAAACCGCGTACCGTGCGATGATACCAAGGTAAGCAATATCGAAAGGTAATGACATTGCATTGCAGAAAATTGCAAACCTAGCGTCGATTCCGGTATAAATAGTAACCGAGTCGATGAGGCATTTTTAATACAAGTCATTAGTAATTATCAATTAAAAATGTTCGCCGTCTCCCCGAGTTGAATCCTGTCGGTCAACCCCATGCTAGACGTTGTAATGTGAGTACTGTTTTTTTTTTAAGTGTTGTTTTGCGATGTGTTTCATTTGGCAAGCCATTATATGTTCGTTTTCTTTGCTAACCTACCATGTGGCCAGCTTTTATCCACGATTTTTCCATTTGATCAATAAATGTCAAATTTTATATGAAAACTGTCTTGACTCTTTATTTGGCAGCCCAGGCAAGCTGGCCAAAAATGAACCGTCGCGTGACGTTTACAAGGCAGTCAACACTGTCAGCAGCTTATGGTTTACAGCAATTTCAAACAATTTTTCAATATCAACACAAATTCATCTCATGCACAACATATTAAAGGGAAAATAACAAGACAATTGATTTTTTTTATAGCTAATTAAGAATATTACCAACACATAATAAATCGAGTATTTAACAAAGCTTTGAAGATGCTAGGGTTCATCAAACGATCAACAAAGGACTTTCATAATATTGTCGCGTTGAAATCCCTTTACTTTTCATTGGTACGCTCTCAACTTGAAAATAGCAGCTCTGTGTGGTGTCCTGTCTTCCAAGCTCATATCATGAAAATAGAAAGAGTTCAGAAACGTTTTTTGCGTTATATTGGTTTCAAGCTCGGTATTCCTATGGAGGAATTTGATTATGACAATATTTTAAATCGCCTAAACATAAAAAGCCTAGAAGAGCGTAGAAGCAACACTGGCATCATCACTATTCAAAAATTATGTAATAATCAGATTGATTGTCCTGAATTATTGGCCTCCCTAAAATTTCATGTTCCTCAAAAACGATTACGTTATAGCAGCACATTCAATTTAGAAACTCAAAGAACTATATATGCAAACAATAACCCGATAAACAGGATGATGGCGCTGAGTAACAGAGTGAACTGGGACATTTTTAACACTGGCACTGAAAGAGCCAAACGCATTCTTGCAATAATGTAATGTTTTTATTTTTATTGTTCATTGTATTTAAAGTGTAGATATGTATAAATCAATCAATGTTCTGTGATATGTTGTATAGGCTATATATATTCATGTTTTTTATTTTTTACACTGGGTTCACCCGTTAATAAATAAATAAATAAATAAATAAAAGTTACCATCCTTATTTCAACATAATGGCAACTGTGCTACGGTCTGCCCATACTTACAAAATGGTGACAACAGTTTTTATTTGGGGTAAATCTATAGCCGTTTGAAAATTACCGTGGCAATATTGATGATTTTAGAACCTTGAAATCGACCAAAAAAACTAAAAAAATATGGATTTGAAAGCTAATTGGGCAATGATTCTATTTGAGAAAGAAATAAATAAACTACACAAAACGTTAGGAATGATTGATTGTCTTATTACATAGTTGTTTATAATAGGGATACATAAACATTATACATAATGTTATACATACAATTATGAAATTATAATAAGATATAACAAGTTAAAAAAAAAATGCAAATAATCATGCAATATCAACCTAGTCTTTTATAAGTAGGTATTCAAATAAGAAATGGAATTATCAAAGTCTCTGAAGCAGATATTTTTTTAAGTTAATTTTGAATCTAGTTGCTTCCTGTATATTCCTCAAATGACTTGGTAATGAGTTGTATAGAACGATTCCTGTGTGAAAAATTGATTGTTTGCCGATATTTGACTTGAACGTATCTCTTATGGTTTCCGAGATCCCCATGAAAGACATTCTCATCTTGGTCATATAATCCAATTAAATGGTAATTTCACTTGGAAAAAATTCAAGTAGTCGGTTTCTCTGTGGTTTCATATTTTTTGGAGGTGCTGAATTCGAATCTGAATTTTGCAAACAAAATTTTCTGGAGAGTTCCGAGATATTCGCGTAAAACAGCAAAATTTTCGGACTGTTTTCGGTTTTTGCCCGTAACTCGGAAATTATAGGTTATATCAAAACACCGCCCTTTAGAGAGTTAAAGTAGCTAAAATTTCCTGAATATAATTCTTATTGCTCATGAATGTAGGACTAACGAGTACGGAGATAGAGCTAGTTGAATTGACCAAATTTGCGTACTTTTCAACAAATAGCGTTACTCGTCGGATTTCGCAGATAATTCCAAACCTACGCATTCCTTAAAGAAACGAACTACACTGTCTGATGATGTGAATTCTTACCTCATCAGCATGTAACTCATGACTCTCGACTTGTCACTGTACTTAAGTATATTCACATCAACTAGGAAGAATATTCAACTAGGAAAAAGCCAAATTCTCAAAGTGGAATGCAATGGTTAAAAATAGAGAGAAACTCAGTCATTACCATAATAGTTCATAAAATGAACGGAAACGGTAGGTAACGAGAGAAAAACAACTACTTTCCTGGCTATATGCCACGCAGAACATTGAATTACATCCGAAATCTATGCAATAATTTTTATGCACTAGCGGGCCGTAAAGTGCACTTTACCGCCCGTTGTTCTCAGTTACCTCATATCCACATATCAATTCATGAAAAACCTATGATCATTTTACTAGATTCTAATATCCATCCAGCGGTATAACATAAACTTCTTGTTTATCCGATTCCATATCTATGGCTATTATTATTATTACCAATTTTCAGTCAAAGAATGACAATTCAGCTCGTTTATTGGATGTATTGATATACAGAGTGGGCCTTTGAAAACGAAACAGAGGCTCTGTAGGTCGCCAAAACCGGATTATGAAAAGAATCTGAAACACGTCAACTACGTTTTCGAGGGAGACATCGTCCTACAATATTTTCAGCCCTGCGGCGTTGCCGCTGCTAACGAAAAGAAGCAACAACTTTGTTATTTCAAATGGAACACCTTGTATTTCATTGCATTTTTAGATTCTCCCCGAAGAGCTGATTTCATCAATGCATCACACTTGGGGTCTAGCTGTAATGGTTTCAGGGATATAAAGTGTTCAAAATCGAGATTTTTCAACTTTGACATTTTTTTGTGTCGAAACTATTCATTATTGGTCGAAACGGCTCTCATGTCCCTATCTCAACTTGTGATTTACTATCTACTGACATTTAATTGGAACAGATACAGGGTGATCAGAATTCTGAATCTTGAACCACCCTGTATTTGTTTCAAATAAATGTCAGTAGATAGTAAATCACAAGTTGAGATCGGGACATGAGAGCCGTTTTGACCAATAATGAATAGTTTCGACACAAAAAAATGTTAAAGTTGAAAAATCTCGATTTTGAACACTCTATATCCCTGAAACCATTACAGCTAGACCCTAAGTGTGATGCATTGATGAAATCAGCTCTTCGGGGAGAATCTAAAAATGCAATAAAATACAAGGTGTTCCATTTGAAATAACAAAGTTGTTGCTTCTTTTCTTTAGAAGCGGCATCGCCGCAGGGCTGAAAATATTTTAGAAAGATGTCCCCCTCGAAAATGTAGTTGACCTGTTTCAGTTTTTTTTTGATAATCCGGTTTTGGCGACCTACAGAGCTTCTGTTTCGTTTTCAAAGGCCCACTCTGTATACAACAACCATCAGCTTGATTGACAACGTCAAAATTAGTTAGGAATGTATACTGGGTGTGCATATTGTAAAATTCTGAAGAATGAATCTCTTCTAGAGATCAAAGAGTTTTACTATCATGATAATTGCAACATTCATACGATAATTTTCATATGTAAATCATCCATGAACATTACGCTTCTCTTGATTACTGAATTTATACGTATTTCAACAACAAATTAAATTCGGGGGAATATTAGTTTATCGAAATCTATATAGTCATTACTTTTGAGTCAGAAAATAAACCACTAGTGCATAAACTTTTTAAGTATCACGTGCGTGAAATGCGTTTATGGCCTTCAGCGTCGTGTAATGGCCCTCGGCTAGCGCCATCGGGCCATATTTCACGCCACCTGCCATAAACGCCTACTTTACGCCTTTGATACATAAATAACTATTATAGACGAATAAAATCGCAAATTCCGCTATTTTTTGCTAATATCTCGGAATCTCGGAACGCTCCAGGAAATTTTGTTCGCAAAATTCAGATTGGAATTCAGCACCTCCAATAATATGAAAAACCACAGAGAAACCTACTACTTGATTTTTTCCCGGATTGGGTCCTAATCGTTACCGTTTTACTGATCTAACAGTGTATACCTAAACAGTGTAAACGTTGAGATCTGGGTCCGTCGACCGCCGCCGCTGGCTGGTCCAGCGCCGGGGGCGGTTTCTGGTTGTACGACGCAATATCACAATGGGGTCGCAGTCTGGGCCGGAGCGATTTGTACTTTGCTTGCTGCTGCGGCCGCCGCCGGGAGGCGGGCAGGGCCGCAAGGGCGGAGGCGGCAACCGGGGGCGGCTGCAGTCGCGGTATGGCCACCTTATTGGTCGGCGCCGCCGCTGCCGCTTCCTGGAAGAGATATTCATTTAGTTATTTTCAATAGTGTATCTAAATAAAACCGGAAAAATTCAAGGGGCGATTCTTCGTGATATTTGAGGAAATAAAGTTCATATAAACATGTGTCCTAACATGCTTCATTTTCGACATACAGGGTATTAATATTTCCACGAAAAATCGATTACCGTAGTTTGGGGTGACTTTGCCGCGAAGGGAGAGATTGCCGGATCAGGAATTATTTTGTTCAAATGGAAATTTCTCAAAATACGTGTTCTGGCATTTTGTCGAGGTACCTTTAGTTGCTCTTTAGCAGTGAACTAGTGCGCCGGAAACACCACGGTTTGTAACAGCTTCAACGTAAGTAAAATACCAAATTTCTGAACATTTATTATACTCAAATGCTAAGGACTCTAGAGAGATAGTTGAATATCCTCTGGGGAATGTATACTACAGTGGACCATATAGTTCAGGCGAGTAATAGACCAGTTTTTCAACAATTATCTCCTCGTGTGAATTTTTGATTGGTTGATATGTAAAATCATGGCCTTTGCGAAAGTGACTTGGAGTTACTTTGCCCATCAAATTAGTGGAACATTCATGACTATAAACGATGTTCATTCTGAAAGTGGAGCAGAGAATATTCATTCATATATATACAATTTCAGGTTGTTCACAATGCCAAGAAAATACTCCAGACGGTTGGGTTCAAGAAAATACAAAGACTACAGTAAAATACAAGTTGAAAGAACTGTCGGAGCAGTTGCTGCTGGCATGTCCTATCAGCAGGCCTCAGATACATATGGTGTTCCCAAGCGAACTATTTGGAATAAGCATAACCACATTAATCTTACCCTTATTTTTTTTACATTTTAATAGTTATATGTTCAGGCAATTCAAAATATTGTCATAATTAAATTCCTCTATAGGAATACCGAGCTTGAAATCAATATGACGCAAAAAAAAACGTTTCTAAACTCTTTCTATTTTCATGATATGAGCTTGGAAGGCAGGACATTCTTTCGTCAAATTTGGTAAATAAAAAATGGCAGATACAATATGGCGGACGAGTTTTTTAATTATTATCTATTAAAAAATTGTATCTGCGGTTTCGTCAAAATTTTAAAATTTAAGATGTCGGATCCAATATGGCGGACGAGTTTTTTAATTATGATCCGATTCTATTCAAAATTGGTATCTGGGAAGGTCGGATATAATGATCCTATCGTCAAGTTTGGTCAATTCGAGATGGTGGATCCAATATGGCGAACGAGTTTTGTAATTAAGTCCCAAATCTATTCAAAAGTTGTAACTGCGGGTTTTCGGGATCGAAAATTATGATTCTTTCATCAAAATTTGAGAATTCAAGATGGCGGATCCAATATGGTGGACGAGTTTTGTACTTATAGGATCCGATTCTGGTGAATATATTGTGAATACAATGAATTGGGGAAACAAAAATAGAATGACAATTGCATATAGGTGTACACGCGAGAAATTCAACTTGAACCGGGCGACACTACGAGAGACAAGACACCACCGATCGGCTAGCCGACTGCAGTAATGAGCTACGCGAGCGTTTCAAGGTAAAGCGGTGTTTTTACGATGGGATAACCAGATGTCGTAGGTCCTGAATTAGTTCGTGATTTTCGGCGTAAATTCGGATGGCTTACCTAAAAGTTTCAGTGCATGAAATTCAAATAATAGTGGCATAATAGTAGCATAAAAATAATGAATATTGAAACAGTTCCGAAAAAAAAATCAATTCATCAAATAGTTCAGCTTTTTTCTACTACGGCTCGGCCTACTCTGCCGTCCCTGACTAGCCGTCACTGCCCTGTATAATATTAAACCATTGAAACATACCTGTCCAGTGCTGGTGGCGAGCTCCTCCGTGGGTTCCGCCGCTGCCGGCCTTTGGAAACTATCGAAGTCAGGTAACGCTGGTAGCTGAGTAATGAAATCTGGCGATCTATCACAGACTGTTAGTTTTCCCTGCAAGAATCACATTTTATTGTATGATAAAAATGCTACAGTACAAGTCTCAACTAGTATAATTCAAATGAAACATCTTATTTGCTTCTACACAAATAATTTCTAGTTTTATTGGATCTAAAATTTATAATAAAATACCATCAAAATTAAAAGGCCTAAATATAACTTTCAAAAAAGAAGTTAAAAATTAGCTTATAGAAAATGCGAAAAAAACGATAATCTCCTTTAATCAACCCTATTTTTCTTTATTTCACTTTCTTCTCATTTTTGTATGAATTGATTATTTGTATTCAGTTTGAATATTTATATTATGAAAAAACAATTTTATACGTTGAGCCAGGGATAGGAATGTTTCTAGAATTCAAGTCACGGAGTGTATATTGTTGAGTTTGGAAGCATCGGCTCGGGATAGTACTGCACGATTCACTGTTGCGTCCCAATTAACAGTACTACTCTCGAGGTGGCGTATGGAGTAAGTAACAAAGCCTGCACAGAACACACAATTCAGAACACTTTGAGCTGGAGAACCTCAATAGGAGTCGATGGCCAGTTGGTATGTGGAAACATACCAATAAAGTACATACACTACTTAGATTTCAGTTACTAAAATAATCAAAAATCCTGGAATTCAGAAGAACAATTCTTCTTGTCGGTGAGACATAATCTCACATCATAAGTAGAGCAAAATAAGAACGTTTTATTATCTGAAAGGAAAAACTACAAAGTTACCATGTGGCTTGTGTACACAACGCGAGACCACCAACTTTGCGGCGATAAATAAAATTATTCTTTGGTGGAATTTCTGTTTTCTTCCTACGATGACATTCTTCAAGGAGTTTTTCACGATTTTGCAAAAGAAAACCCACCTGCCATATCGAAAAACGTGAAAAATTAGAAAGAAACAGTTTTTTAGCAAATGCCATATGAAACCACGTTCATTAGTCTAAAATAAATGTTTCCTCCTGGGAATAAGCGGGATAGTAGGCGATCCTATCAGATGAAGGGATCAATATGTGTCTACAATATGGATACTCTAGGCGACTGAGTGAAAATTATTAGAATTGTGTCTCTATAGTGCGACCACTAGTATACAAAGGGTTAAACGTTGACGTGTCTCGCGAATTTTCAGAAAAATCATTCACTCCCAATGTAGCGAATTATTCCAGTTAAAGTCTCCACCCTGTATGATGCTGTGGTGAAATTCATGGTTATTACTTCCTAACCTGAGCGGGGCTAGCCGTGCCGCTGTTGCTGCTGCTGGCCGTCGAGCATTCGCCCAGGCTCGTCGAGCCGCCTCCCGCCGTGGGATTGGAGGAGGAGGCGCCCCCCGGAGATACGGCTGAAGGGGTGGGGACGCTCTGCGACCGCCACTTCTTCGGGCTCGTCTTCTCTTCCGATTTCGGGGACTGAAAACGAATCCATCAATAGAATTTGAATTATAATTATTTTTTCTACAAGCGTGCGTGATTCACCCTATACCCGCACGCAATTTAGTTTGGGAAGTGTCATTTTCCCGCAACAGTGCGGGAAAACAAAGATATGATAAGATCGCTAGTAATATAAGTGGTTGGTGATGGAATATAAAAGTTTAAGTTTGTTTGTTGCAGTATTAAGTATGTATGTTCAGAATCATCCATCAAATTGCACTATTTATTGTAAAAATCAAGAAATATTGAGAAATAAAAATGGATTTTTATAAAAATCCCCCTATAGATTTGGATTGATCTGACGGGAAACGTCAATTTGTCATGCCAATCAAACCTCAAATAAGTTTTAAATTGTCGAAGTGACAGACACAGCGTTACTGTCATTTTCGATTCAGTGGAAATGCCACAATGTGATCAAAAACTTCTAGCTATAGGGATTTGATACAGATGCGTTATCACCAACGAAGTCTTAAGAAAGGTATGAGAAGTTATACACGCGTTTTATTGAATGGTGCAACAATAAAGAAATGAAAAAACCGAATGAAGAATAGGTATTTTTGGCTCATTTCCTAGAAGTGTCTGGAACCTAGAGACCAAACTCCTAATGGGCCTGCTGGCTTCCGCAATGAACCAACATAATGCGTCAAACTGTAAGTTCACAATAGCTATTACTAATAATTATTAGATAAAGAATATATATATATCTTGTTAGTTGTTCCTATTTGCTTGAATAATTAATTGAACGATTCAATCAATTTCCTACGCTTGTAGAAAAAATATTGTTCCTAACTCATGCGGAAAGTTTCTTTCCCGCACTCGACTGCTTGCCCGAACTCCGCTTCGCGTCGTTCGTGTCAACGGCAGTCACGTGCGGGAAAGAATCACTTTCCGCACTTGTTAGGAAAATTATTATTTATTGTTCACTAGCTGTGCCATGCGCGCGTTGCTATGCTACTTACTATACTATTGAATTTATTTCATTGTCATTTCAGTCATTTCATTGATTATAGCTGACCCAACAAACGTTGTTCTGCTATTTACATCATTTCTAGAAAATATTTCTTCAGTGGATTATTAAACAACACACTTTTATCATTTCATTTTCTACTTCTGTTTAGTTTGACTAACCATAAAAACTTGTTTTCATAGTTTCTCAAACTTCTATTTATTTCCTACCAATTTTCAGTTCTTTAATCTATCTCTTTAGTTTTCTGAACTAGTATTGATTTTCTACTTATATATAGTTAGGCTACCTACATGGAAACGTATTTAATTAGTTTTAATTACAAGGCCTCTTCAACATATTGAATCCGCCATCTTGAATTTTCTAATTATAACGGATGAATCATAATCTCCGACCCCGAAAACCCTGAGATACCAACTTTAAATAGAATTGAATCATAATTAATAAACACGTATGCTGTATTGAATCTGCCATCTTGAATTTCCATTATTTGATGGAAGGATCATATTCTCCCCATCCAAAAAACCCCTGATACCAATTTTGAAAGATAATTCATTATATAATTATAATTCTTTCATCTTTTGGAAATTCGAGATGGCAGATCGGGTTCATTAATTATGATCCTATACTATTTGAAATTGGTATTTGAGGGTTTTCGGGGTCGGAGATTATGATTCCTCCGAAATAATTAGAAAATTCAAGATGGCGGATTCAATGAGTCGAACGAGCTTTATAATAAATAGTGTTTCAAAAACTAATTAAACACCCTTTCATGTAGATAGCCAAACTGAATAGAAGTAGAAAATAAATAGTAGTAGTTTGAAAAAGTGAGAAAACATGCTTTTATAGTTAGTCAAACCATGTCAAACTAAACAGAAGTAGAAAATACAATAATAAAAGCGTGTTGTTGAATACTCAACTCAAAAAATACTTTCTAGAGATAATGTACATAGCAAAACAACGTTTGCCGGTTCAGCTATAATCAATAAAATGACTACAAAAAAAGTTCAATATTCGTGTACTGCCCTTGCTTAAAAATTTATTCTAGTAAGTAGCAAGTGCTCAGGGTACAGCTTGTATTTTATAAAACCTCAAAAAAATCAAAACCGGTTTGTACTGTAACACTCAAATTGAATGAGCTGTAAACTATGAGGATCAAGTTAGCTAGTTCAATTAGAAGTGATATGGAACCACTCAGTATTGCTAACTAACCTGCATCTTTCTCTTTCTCTCCTTGCTCTCATTCTTCTGCTGAATTTTTTTCTGAAGCTGTAATTGCATTTCCCTATGTTTATTGCCACCTTTACCATTAACATCTTCCCCTGCAAAATCACATAAAAGCTTTCATACTGAAAAACTTGATTCATGTTTCAAGAATACTTGTTATGAAAGAATATCTGAATACTGCACAGCATTTGTGCTGTCAACACTCATGAGCTATGAAAATACACTAGAAAATCTAGCTTTTCACACTACAAGTGTCTGAACTCATCAATATTCAACCTGGGTAATCAATTCTCCCTACCAATTACAATATTAATATTTTTCATTATCATGATGTTTTTAGGAAACTAAGTTGATTTTACCAAAAAAGTAATGTTTGTTATTTATCCTTGAATGTAAAAGAGCTACTTACATCCTAGGAAATGACTTTCTGAATCAGCATTGATTGATATCAAGTGTGATTTCTGATGTCCAAATAAATTTTCGGAAGTTATGATAAGATATAAAAATATATATTTTATTATGGATGATGTGAACAGTGAACAAAATAAGGTACTGAAGACAATTCTCTCCTCACTAATTCATTTCCCTAAATGCTAATGGAACCAGAACATAAAAAAAAACAAATAGAAGAATGTTCAATATAACTTATAAATAAATTATGACTCCACAAATAAAAGTAAATATATGAATGAATTTGGTCAAGTGCTATAGAACCAGTGATTTTTTACCTTTGAGTGAAGATTCACTTGCAGTAGAAATTTTTGTAGCTGCTTCTGATCCCATGCTGACAGAGTGGGTGAGAAGAAGATGGTAAGCAAGAGACTGAATATTGGGGAACTGCTGATTCAACTGCTGTTCTGACCATTCCTTCACAATCAACCATGCTGCTGAACTCAAACTCGATTGTGTGAATGGAGCCTCTGTTGACTGACAATATTATTCACTTAGCTTTCTTCAAACTTGTTCAGAATTTATTGGCCTTCCATAATAGAATAAAAAATGAACATACAGGGTGTTTTGTTTGAATTCAATAGATTGTTTATTATACCAGGAAACATTTCTGTTTACATACTCATAAGAATATTTTACAATGAATCAAAACTATTATCAATTCTTTAAGAATGTCCAAAAGGCTGTTGCATTACACTGTGTAATTAAATTCATGGCTTTTTCTTTGCAAATTATAAGCCAATGTGCTCTTCAAAGTTGTTGAAAAATATAACCTGTATATATGAGAGGAAAATTCGGACTTTTCAGTGAGACTGTGACTTTATTCGTGAATTTGAAACATTAAAATCATTCAGAAAATCTTTTTAGAATTGAAAAGAACAATAGTGTGAAGAACAAGAATAAAAATATAAACCTTTATTGAATCAGTTAGGTGAATAAAAGTTTCAGATAAACTATAGTATGGTTTCAATATAAAAAAATACAATACAATTAAACATCATATAATAAAATCAATGATACCCTTAACTGAAGGTTGATATGGACTTGATATATTTTTGAATACAAACATATGAAATTCATTAGAGCACCTAGCTATAATCACCTATAACCACTGAACAAGTGAAAAAACTCAAAAAGTAGATTTTCCTGGAGATTTTCTTTGAAAATACTAACCATTGGTTTTTCTGCTAAATCTGGAAGTATAGGTGACTTCAAATTCATGCATCTTCTCAAACCTGCATAACAGTATCTTGAATTTCCTCTTGTTCCTAATCTTCTGGCTCTCACACTAGGATAAACTTGCTTCATAACTTTACCAAAATCTGCTTGGGATAGTGGCTTGATTTCATTTTTTGCACAATAATTACTGAAATAAATATAGTCCTAAACTATACTGATTCCACAAATAATGCAAAGTAGGATGAATAAAATCTGAAGCCTCTGAAAATTTCAAATAATGAAATAATAATTGCTGTGGCAAATATGTATGTTTATATTTCAGTCAAATTTGATTGTCAAATTCCCATAAATATGATGATGAGCTTATTATAACACTGAATAGGTATAAATTTGTTTGTACACTGGGTTCTCCTGTAAATAAATAATTGAGTAAATAAATGAATAGGCAAATTGTTAGTTGAATTCAATAAAACAGATAAGTATCCTGAATTTTCTCCTTCAATAGTAATATAATAATTGTATTCTAATTCTGATTTATTTGGGATATGTACAAATTCAATAGCAGTTGCACAATACTGACTTGATTAAATATGTTATAAAAAGTTCAAGGTTAGTAAATGTTAGACAAAATAACAATGAATCTGAGATCTGATATTCTCAAAAGCTTTGAGAGTAAAGTAAAGTGAAACAAAAAAAATCTTATAATCAAATGTTCAGTTAATACATTGAATGAAAAATTCAACTTGAATCATGTCTTCCAGGACACTTTTCATAATACATTTTAGGTTGATCTTGAGAGACAGTTTCACAACTTTGTACATTTCGACTTACTGGTATTCATTGTAAACCTCTTGTTTTGGTAGTGAGATGTCCGGGTCTTCCTCTAAATGGGTCTTTATCCAAGATATGGTCCTGTAGATTTCTGATCTGCTCCCTAGAGGATTCAAAGGCTGCCTGAATGGGTCAACAGCATTTGTTACTTCTGTTGGCAATTTTAGAAAGAGAAGGAACTTCTCCACTTGGGACAGTGGTTTAATTTGATCCAGAATAACCTGTATTGTATGCTTAGCTTTCTCACTGGAAAATTTTGGGAAAATTGAACATTTTCATTTTGTTTATATTAACATAAACATAAAACATCCGATCACCAAAGCAGCTCAGAGCACAGCTCTTTTAGTTTGTTTATATTGGACAAATGGAGGGCTATAAATAAATTAATTAATTATCACCAACCTGATGGTAATGTTGATTGGACCAGGATCATGTTCGGCTGGTTCACTTTTAATGAACTTTTCGAATTCGTTTCGGCCGGCTTCATTGGGTTCACCTTCGTCTCTTTGGGTTCCTGTTGTGTTGCCATTGTTCAGATGATGATCCTCTGTCCTTTCTAAAATTGTCGGCACAGACTGTTGATAATCTGCTGCCCATAATTCATTTTCCATTGCTATCAAACGATCACTAGGTGGTTTTAATTATTTTTGGCAATAGCCGCACGATATTTTATCACTTTTTACAGAAGCAGCGGCTTCTCTGAACCGGAACATTTTATTGTCAACTCAGATCAGCTGGTCCCCAATGCCCCCAATGGACGACGATCTTCCTTATTGAAATCTCAGAACTCAAAATGACGTAAAACGTAAAGTACTAGCTTGACGTCAACGTCATGTCATAGATAAAAAAAGAGCTTTCTTGGAACACAATATTGCTTGCCAGCAATAATTCAAACAACCATGACTTTCGGTATACACACATTTTTTGACCAATCATAACGGTTCTTTAATAGGCAAGGACGCAAATGCGTTTGATAAAAAATATGCAGTTATATTTCAAAAAACATCATTTGAATATTCATTATTCCAGATTTTTTGGGATTTTCTCTCCTCGTTTTTATAAAATAAAAATATGAATATTATTTCAATGTACGTTTAGTAAACAAATCAGATGATTTGCCCCAAAATGTCACTGCGTCAAAAGAATTTTCCTATCAGAGAGCCTAAAAGAAAAATTCACTGACTTGTCAGTGACAATTTGTATTGAAAGAAGTTTGGAGAAGAGAAATAAAGGTATATAGAAAAAATATCGAATTTTTACAGCTATGGCCGTTTCGGGAACGAATCTGCTGAATTTTTTGTATCGCAAATTCGTATTTGTCCTGACGCTTTTCAGTTATTAGTGTCAATTATCTTGAAAACGGGAGCAGATTCGTTTCCGAAACGTCCAAAGCTAAGTAAACATTTGATATTTTTTCTACATACCTTCATTTCTCTTCTCCAAACTTTTTTCAATAAAAATTGTCACAGCTAGTGAATTTTTCTTTTAGGCTCTCTGATAGGAACATTCTTTAAACGCAGTGACATTTTGGGGCAAATCATCTGATTTGTCCTTACTACACGTATATTGAAATAATATTCATATTTTCATTTTATAGAAACTAGAAACGAGGAGAGAAAATCCCAAAAAATCCGGAGTAATGAATGTACAGTCGTATTCAATAAAAAAAGCATACAAGTATTAAAAAAAGAGGGGTTTTTTAACCTACACACAGTATTTATCTCAGGTATTTATCCTGTGAATACCGTACAATTTCATGGAAAATAGCGTTCGGCGGCGCCAGTACTCAGAGCTATTCAACTCTAATTAATTTCGACTTCTTTTTCATAAAATTCTCAAAATTTCTAGAATAATTTTTTTTTCTTTTTGATTGGTCAAAAATGCACTTGTATCGAAAATCATGGTTTTTTGAATTATTGCAGCTTCTCATCCAATGTTGACGTAATGACGTTTCATAGTTCATCGTTGTCACATTTTGTCAAAGTCATTGCCATTGCTAGTTTTTTGTTAATTAATCATCTTTCGTTGTTCGTTCATCTGATTTAAATTCAATTTATCCATCATCTTATCTCTTATCATCGAATACCATTTTGGTTTGTATATCAGTGAAATATTTCAGTAAGTTATTTCTTTGTTTTATTGATTTGGACAATTCTAGTGCCTCAAATTGATTGATTATTAGATTCTTCCTTTTTATTATCAAATCATATAACCTCAGTATTGGAGATGACTCTTCAATATTCATTATCTTACAACTTCAGAAATGCCTGCTGGAGGAGCCCTTTTCGGAAGTGCCGCTGCCGGCCCTGGATCTACTGGCGGAAATAAGCATTTGATAGAAGTGAGAGCTGGAAAAATGAGCCTCAAAGGTAAATTTTCAACTCTCATTTATCCCTCTGTACTCTGTACATACTTCTTCCTTTCCATAGGCCGCATGGTTTACCCAGATAAACGCAAGGGTCTGATGTATGTGTACCAGAGTGAAGACTCCTTGATGCATTTTTGCTGGCAAGATCGAACCACAGGTGTTGTTGAAGATGACTTGATCATTTTTCCAGATGATTGTGAATATGTGAAGATTCCTCAGTGTACCACAGGAAGAGCTTACCTGTTGAAGTTCAAGTCCTCAAATAAGAAGTTCTTTTTCTGGTTGCAAGTATGAAAAATGAAAAAACTGAGTATTGTCCATATTTCCTTGAATTCACATTCCCATATTTTTTTTTAAGGAGCCCAGTAGCAGCAAAGATGATGACAACTGCAAGAGAATCAATGAACTTCTCAACAACCCTTCAACTGCTGTTCAGTCCACCCCAAATCCTGATCAGGACTTGCAGTCACTCTTAAATAACATGTCACAGTCCCAACTCATGCAGCTGTTTGGTAGTGGGGTCAGCCAGATGGGGGGACTTTCTAGTCTTCTTGGAACAATTAGGTAAGACAAATTGATAATTTACCATCAAACTGAAATAACTGAAAAATCATGTTATGATGTTCCAGAGGTCCAAACAGTGGTAGTGCACGTACAAACACCACACCTGCCATAACACACCGAACAACAGTACCTAGTACTCCTACAACTACCACTACTACAACAAATCAAGCTGCTACTCCATCTGCTGGACTTATAACTCCACAAAGGTATGTTTCCGTCCCTAACTAATTGTGTGGAGGATTTATTACTATTCAGAATAATTTATATGAATGAAGATCAAATGTTTTTACTACCATAGATGGTTATTTTTCTTCCAGAGCAATTCCAAATTCAACCCCTGATGCTCCCAAGGCTAAAGCAAACTCACGTGTTCCAGATAACAGCACTCCTGTCCCCTATTCTAATCCTATTCAGCTGTCTGATTTGCAAACTTTCTTGTCAGGAATTGCCCCTCCTGCTACTGCAGAAGGAACCCAAGCTCAGTCAGGTAATTTTTGATGTAGTAAATGAGTAATATAAGGTTCACAGATTGACCTACATTTCATAAGTATTGACATCCACAGTGGATTTGTCTACTGCTCTTACTAGTGATGCCTTGACTGGGGTTCTGAGCAATCCAGATACTTTGCAACAACTCCAGAGCCATTTGCCAGCTGTTGATAGCAACACACAAGAAGCACTAAGGTCTACCTTGGCTTCTCCACAATTTCAACAGGTGAGACATTTTTTTACATGGTTCTGTTTCATTTTACTTATATTTTATACCACAATTTCAACAGGTGAGACATTTTTTTACATGGTTCTGTTTCATTTTACTTATATTTTATACCGTATACCTATACAAAAAAACAGTTTCTTCACAAACTAATATTTCATTGATGCTCAAAATGTTGAAAAATGTTCTTGGTTTTCACAACTCATGAATCCATACCAAATATTTTGATAAAACATCAGAAAAACCAGTATTTGAACCACTATGGAAGCTCACTTGGAACAATAATGAACCAAATTTTCCTATTCTATGTAATCTGTCTCAAAAATCTCTGAATTCTTAGTTGATAAGTTGAAAAACCTCAATTAGAATGACAAATCAAAATGTGTAAATGTATTTTTTTTTTATTTATTTTATTTTATTTATTTATTGAACAAATAACTTCCGGACAGAATAGGCTCTGGTATAAGGAAGTACATAATTATATACCTATAGGTAAACATATCATTATACAAAATATATCAACAACTGTAAATTGACAAACAAAGAAAAATATTTGTAAGAAAAAAAAAAGAAAAAAATGGCATGTTCAATTTTATCCAGTTTGCTCAGAAATAATCAATTTTTTCACTTCATTTTTGAATGAACCTATATTTCTGCAATTTTTTATATTGTCAGGTAGTTTATTGAATTCAGTTAAGGCTGAATGAGTGAATCTTTTTTGTCCCATAATGGAGCTAGCAGCGTCAAGATGAAACAAGTTATATTGTCTTGTTTCATGATTATGAATTTCAGAATTCCATATCAACATAAAATTCGTCTTCAATTTTTTATTTATGATATTATATGATATTTTGAGAGTTTCAATTCTATATATTTCATCTAAAGAATACTTTTTAAGCTCTTATTTTTTTATTTAATTCTAAGTTGAGTTGAATTTATAAACCTAGCTTTTATGATTCACATGATTTACAGTGTTTGAATAGATCAAGAGTGATATAGTTTTCTCTTTCTCCAAAACTCATATTCAGTATAAAAACCGATCGGAACATTGTATTTTGAAAATGAGAATTTTGGGACACAATCTTAGTTACTGTTTGATTTCATTTTCACTCCAGGCAATTCTTACAATTATTGTGTACTCAAAATACCTTGATTTTTGATTAGGAAGCTAATAATTAGTTAACAATATGAATTATTCTCCAAAATACTTTGTATTGGGAACTTTTTTGGAGATGAAACCTAGCAGGTTGAATTGTTCATTACTTTTTAGGCCGTTTCTCAGTTTTCTAGTGCCTTAGAATCTGGTCAATTGGGTCCTATAGTCTCCCAATTAGCAGTCAATCCAGAAGCTGTGGCAGCTGCAGCACAGGGAAATATGGCAGACTTTGTGAAGGCTTTGGAAAAAAGTACTTCACACACTGAAGGAGCTTCATCAGAAAATAAGGAGCAAAGTGTTAAGAAAGATGACAAAAAGGATGATGAGGATCAGATGCAACTGGATTGAGATCTTAGAAAATAAAGTACTCATGTTTGATGTTTTGTGCACTTCATTGTAGAAATAAAATAATGCTTCAAATAAAAAATCATAGGGTCCCATGTGGGTACCTATTTTATTATCAACCATAAAAAGCTTGTGACTTATTGTAGATTAGTAACAAAGCAAATTTTTTTGCTGATCATTAAAAGTTTACTTCTTTGTATCAACTTTTTTTTTCTTTTTAGAACTATTCTCCTCACCATTTTCATTATTTCCTTGGAACTTTTTCAGATCAGCACAAAAAAGTACCTAGAAATTCAATTAGTAATTTCAATCTTTTCTCTCCAATTTTCCAAATCATCTTACTGTGTGAGCCCATCCTGCCAGTGGACCATATAACTTCCTAAAATGGTCTCCAATTTCATTATAAATCTTGTCTGTCACTGTTTTATTGTTGGCTAGTTTGGGCATATAGAATCGTTTTGCTATTTGATAGACATGAGTGTCTACTGGTATGGATTCTAAATGGCCTAGAGACATCAAGCATATACAATCTGCTACCTAAACAATTTTCATTATATTTTGTTGAATGATCCAGGACATATTCACCTTTGCTCCAATACCAGTTAAAACCATAAGAGATTTTTTGGCATCAGGATAATTCATATTTTTCAACTCATCTAACCATTCCTTTCCTCCTTCATTTACTATAAACTCTGCTGACTTGCTGATATATTTAGCACGATATCCAAAACCATTTGATTTGAGTTTCTCTTCCACTGATTTTCCAGCCAGAGTTTCCACATTTGGAAATGAGTGATACTTTATCCCTTTCAGTTCACATATTTCCTCACCATAGAAAGTGGCTAACTTCTCCACCATGCTACTTATCCTGAACATAAATGATTACAACTAATACAACTAGTACCAAAGCATCTCAATATCATAATTACAAACCTTGAAATGTGATTATTTGAAGAACATATAAATGAAAAAATATTTTCAGTGACATCCTGCTTCAGAATCCTGATTCCATAAAATTGTTTTGCAGCATCTTTGAAAAATGGATCATTCTTAGACCACTCTGCATAATACTGTTCCAGGTTCAAGTCTAATTGAAAATACTGCCTCAGTAAGTTGTTATAAAAACTTTCACTTTCTAAGTCACACTTGCATACTGGTTCATAAACTTTATAAAGGATACAATCAGGTTCTTGAGTTAAAATCCATACTCTATTGGCAAAAACACCTATCCATTGTTCTTGGATACCTTCAATGCACTTTTTCCACCTGCAAATTGTATGAAGTCTCAATTATATGATGTTACATTACGGTTGAATATTTCATACAGACGAACCTAAAACTTTGCCCTCCATTGAGAGTGCCAAGTAATTGCAATTCCGTACTTTTGCATAACAATTTAAACCATTTGTTATTAGACATGTTCATTGTTTATTTTCAAATGAAAACATAACCTGTCCTGCTGTCTACATATTTACCGCTATGTCATTAATTGTGTCATCTGTCAAAGAAGACATCTCTCTGATTTAGATGAGGCTTCTGACACTAGGGGACTCTAGTCTCAATATCTCTTTTCTTACAGTTTCCTGCGAAACATTGTTTTTCTGTGAAGAATATTAGATAATAGTTTGATCGTTGAGTGATAGATGACGCATTTTCACAATGCAACCAAGGTTGGTAGAACTGATGAATATTTGTAGAAGAAGTTGCCTTGATCTGAAGTACGCTGACACTTTGGAGAATCCAGCGTACATACCTTCGATCATACAACTGTTCGGATGTACAGTCGTATTAAAAAAAGCATGGGAGAAATTAACTCATCTTATTTATAAATTTATAAATGTTTACCAAATGATGACAGTAGAGTAATCATATGTTCTCAAAAACAAAAAGAATTGGCTGAGCCGAATTAACACAACGAGAACTAGAATGCCGAAATCTTCTATGTTTGATATTTGTACGCTTTTTTATTGAATATGACTGTACATACATTTGAAAAAAAATCAGTTGGCCCATACATGTCCATACATGGACTGAAGGCTCTTCAAAAATACCCATGATTAAAACATTTTTCACTGGGCGAACAAATAACAACACTTTATTTTCCTATAAGTATGTGTCCGCAAACGCTTCGTTGCCGATATACTGAGTGGAAATGGAAGATTATCTGACCAATAACTAAACAGCATAACAATAACTGACGTCACTATTTATTGGACGTATTGTCAAATGGCGGCCATGACGGTTCGTTTGATATGAGCTCTGAAATTCAGCAAGTGTTGCGAAAATTAATTTAGATTCCTAACGACACAGTGGCACACCCTGTATTTACCTGTAGAGGTACCTATCGATTTTGTGTCCTTTATATTTACTGATGAAATTTGTTAATGATTGCACGATCTAGAGAACTCCCAGCATATCGAATTTTCACCGAATATCCACTTCATAATTCAAAACTCACTGGGAATTTCCACAACCTTTTTCATTAGGGAGGAAAAAGAGAGTGCGCTTCGCAAACCATAGGAAACGTGATAGTATTGTGTTTCCTTGATAGCACCGGAAAAACCTTTGGATACAAATTCAAGATAAAAAAGAACTCTCGCAATTTTATTGCTCTTTTCCTTCGAGCGGAAATATAGGTAGGTATGCTCGAACGCATCTTCAACAAACGACCAGAAATACCTTCTTCCTACATTTTTCATTCCAAAGGACAACGGTCTGCTCAGATTTAGGCAAATACTCTGAAAAAGAAGGTATTTAATTATTAAGAGTATTAAATACTTGAGTGGGTTGGAAAGTGGCTAACACTACAAAATGAGTTGTGTTTAATCGCTGAAGTAATTTCGTAACGGCAATAGTTTTTCATGATATGTACCTAGATTATACATAGCGTTATACCATCATCAGCCAGGCCCGGACTGGCTACTATTTGACCACCGGGCATTTTCTTTGACCGGCCCCCAATTTTCAGGTCAGTTTTCTTGGGTATAAATAATCGTAATTTCATTATGATGGTCATAGATTAAGAGTCGTTAATCTATGTGATGATACAAGTGTGACCGGTTTAAGTGGGGCAAAAGTGGTGCATCCAGAGCAGGCTTCGAAAATTTTCAAAATCATTTAGTTTTTCGCATTCATATTGAAAAAAGTTGAATTTTGTAGTTTTTGTTATTATAGAGTTATGAAAAATCTGAATCTAGAACTTAGAATTATACAGAGTGGTTCGAATGTGTTTCTACCTAGTTTTAGAATTATGATCAATTTCATTTATTGTGAAGAAAATTGAGTCAACACACTGATACATTATTGACTGGTTTTGATGATCAGAATTACTTAAAAAAATCTTATCACCTATGACAAGTTCCATCTAATTAATACAAAAACAATTTATTTTTCGATGTCTTCAGTTTTTCTAAGTTCAATAATGCAATAATTCGTTCTATTAAATAGAGAGTACATACATAGTAAAGAGTAGGCGTTGTAAATAGATCGGAATGAAATTGGTTAAATTTGAATGAACGGTTCATTCTCTATATCTGCTCTTTGATTTACAAAATCAATAAATATAAAATTCCGCAATACTTGCATAATGAATTAATCAGGGGAAGTAATGTCCACCAAATAATAGAACAGCTCATCAGCAGTTCCAGAGTACATTTACATATATTTTCCCACAAAAATATTCAATGAGTTACCAAGTTTTATACAAGATGATCCTAATATAAACTCCTTTATGAGACATGTCAAATTCCACCTAGTTGAAGTGCGCACTCATCTGTGAAGTTGCTATATGTTACATAATATAAGCTTGTGAAACTATGAAAATATAAGCTGATAGCTAAGTCAAATATCTGTTCTACTTTACCACTATTATTTGTACTTTTCTTTTCTTTTTTCTTTTTCTTTTGCTATTTTCAAGTTCAATTTCTAATTGTTTGTATTGTTCGACATTTACGATGTCAATTTGAAATAGCACTTTTGGGGGAAAAGCAACGATGTTGAATGTCGCGCCCCATTTACAAATTGTTCATTGTATCAATGGTTTAGATGAAATAAAGACCCATTATTATTATTATTATTATGAGGACTACCGAAATAATATATCCATTTCTCCCTTGTGAAGAAAGTATATTTTAATTTTCGCCTCTCGGCTCGTATATTGAATCTGAATAAGGGAACTATTTTCGAGCGATTTGAATCTCGGTATCTCGGTTTCCACCAAAATAAGACGAAACGAAACTCCAACAATCTCGGTGCGATATCTAAATCAAAACTTTTCCAGTTCTTTAACCAGAAAGCGAATATATTCAACACATGGAACGGACTAGAGCAGCGCCGCAATATCAGAACTTGTTGGCGTATCTCCAACTTTTTGCATATTTCGTGAAATTCTGGGACGGCCAAGTGTGGCCTTCCATGACAATCTATGGCTTTGAAATTGCCCTCGATACCGATGTGTACCGTTTTGCATTGCCCCAGGCGGGATGAATAATATGTTTATATATATTTGGTGTGAACTCGTGAGGAAAGAGACCAAAAACCAAACAAAAGAAGTACCTATATGTCATGTAGGGTATTGTAGAGAGATAAGGGTGACTTCATAAATGGAGTGACGACAATAGTGGTACACTTTTTGATTGGTCAGACCTTTGATATGGAAGTGCATCTGCATCTGTCTTGTTTTCTCCATTCGCATTCAGTTCTACCATAGATCTAAATTTCGCTTTGTCGATGCTTTGTCTCTGTTTTTTGTTCTTTGGACACAAAACATCCAACAATCAGACGACATAAAACTCTATAAGTCAGTATCTTGGATATTAATTATTAGAATCCGTCTTTTGTGACATCGTAAGTCTCAGATTATTTAGATGATGACTTGAAAATCTAAAATATCTGTACCTATAACATCGGGTGGGCACTTCGAAGGCTTATAAATTCATTACTGCATGGGAGATACCCTTCAGTATTTGATCTACTCACTCTAGAACGATGCTCTAGATTTTAAATAAAAGAGTAGCGGTCAAGTAACTGAATCAGAGCCCCCCCCCAGAATTATATCATGGAGGAGGAAGGGACACACAGAGATGAATTAGCATCGCAGGCATTATTTTTAAGGTAAAGGTCATCGGAACTTCAGAATTATGAGAGAATGCTACCCAGCGAGCACAAACATCCCTGGGATGTTTTGGGATGTTTTGAAAATGTTGGCATGAAGATGTTATTTTGGGACGTAATAAGCACTAACCAAAGAGGTCTTTGAAGGATATTAAAGTATTGTTTTTGTTCTTCTGTGGCATTTCTTTGTTTGCCTACTGAGAGGCATCCCTGGGATGTTTTGGGATGTTTTAGAAATGTAGGCATGAGGATGTTTTTTTGAAGCGTAATATGCACTTCCCAAAGAGGTCTTAGAAGGATATTGAAAGTATTGTTTTTGTTCTTTTGTGCCCTTTCTTTGTTTGCCCCACCACAACGTCTCATGCTTACGTCACAATACGATGAATTCTGCTTTGTTTTCGATTTTGTTCTTCTTGTTCGCAATTGGCATTCGCGTTTGCAGCGTGTCACGCTTACATCACGCTGCTAATGAACAGAAAGGAATTTGGTGAAGTTTATTGTGTTCGAAGACTTATTTAGTTTGTAATAATGACCATCGGATGCAAGATGTGTTGTTCGGTGCCTCAGTGTAATCAATATATAAAAGTACGAAATTATAAATACACAGCTTCTCCGCAGTTGCAAAATTATGCATTGTGGAGAACATTTCAAAAATTGGGAAACCTATTTCCAATTATATGTTTGTGTGTAGTAAGCATGCACTACTCAGAAACCGATTAAGAAGGTAATTTCATATCAAGAAAATATTTTTATGTTCAATCTACTTTTAATGCATTTTTTCATTCAAGGGAAATGGAATCCTAATGCAAAAGTTCATTTTGACAAAAGGCTTCAGAAAAGTACCTCGAGAATGGTTTTTTACAGTGATTTAATGTGCGGCGCAAGACGCGTTGAAAATGTTTTGTTGTGTCCATGAAAAGGCTTTAAAAAGAACTAGGGAGAAGGTAGTTTTGTGACATATCAAGGACATCTCGATAATTGCCGCCTGTGGCGGACATTGGCTGTTCTATAATAGTTCTATTCATGTGTGAACAGATCATCGCAGTGGATGTTCAATGTGTCGAAATCTCGTACTTTTAACATCTCTGAGATGTTTTTGTGCTCGCTGAGTAGCTTTACCCTACCATGAAATAGTCGATAGCTCACTCATTTTTGATTTCACGATAAAAGTTCACAAGACAGTTCTTATTTAGGATCGAATTTCTCATCGATGATAAAAATATTGTACACTGTGTGTCCCATTTAAAAAAGTTGAACTTTTTGACATACTCGTAAACGCGATATTAGATTTTTGTTTCGTTTTCATCATCGTGATCAGCAAAAAAATACTACTGGTTCGTTG